CGCTGTGGCGCCCGCAGCTCATCATGCAGAGTTCATACAGGACACAACACAGAACACACAAGTGCTTCGCGGTCACGCGTGTATTCTTTCAAAACTTGAATTCCCAGAGGGCCTACCTGCTCTGTCCCCATCTTACACACGCATGTGTCCGCGGCATTCTGTGTTATTATGGGACGCATGGGCATGCGTCAAATGCGTTATTTTTTTAAACAAAAATTAATTAACTTGCGTTAACGCAATAATTTTGACAGCCCTAATTAAAATATTTACTGCATTAATTTCATAGTTAACTCTTGATTCGTCGCAATTAATCAAATAATTGTTCATGTTCTAAATGTCCCTTGATTTGGTTTTAAAGTTGATTGGATTAAGCCAAAACCTTAAATAAATCCATTCCCCTCCAAAAAGAAAGTATTTGAATTGAATATAGGCTCAATCTCTGCTTTGTTTTTGTTTTTTTCATATAGAATTATTTAGAAATGTCAAGAATAGTAAAAAAAAATAAAAATAAAATAAAAGGCCACTTTTTGATTTATGTTTTCATTGAAGTCAGTTTGTACGATCAGTATTCATTTTACTACATCACTTTCAGCAGCAAACTATATAAATATAGATAGATACATGTCTAAGTTTCTCTCGGGGAAGTCAGAACTGAGATGCACCTCAAATGTCATTTCCTTTTCTCAGTCTGTGAACATTTCTCTCAGACAAACACAAGACTATGGACCTATGCAGAGCGCTGTTGTGTTTTCTTCAGATTTTTACGACTCTTTGTTTCGGGGATCCTACAGGTGAATTAACAGTTTTTTATATGTTTAATTCATAATTTTGGACATTTCTAATTGTTGTGTTTGATGCTGCAGAGTTTAAGGAGATTGAGACAAGAGCAGGCATGAGTCACACGACTGCACTTTGCACCAATTCCACTGACAATTCAATCACTAAAGTAATTTGTGAAATCCAAAAAGCAGAAAATACAGATGTTTGTAAATTAAGCTTTGTGCCTGAAGTGAAGAATGAGAGCGACTGTGACTCCAGGTTCAAACTGATGCTACAAAACCAAACTTTGTCCTTACACCTGATGGACCTCACACCAGCGGACACTGGAACGTACAACTGTCATTGTTTTACAACAGAGGGAATTTTAACATTTAACCTCAATGTCACAGTTAAAGGTACAATATCACATCCAGTCACCAAAATGTAACTACAAATTCAAATTTTCACCTGAATATGTTTTTTATCTACAGAAAATGTACCTGAAAAATGGCGTATTGTAGTTGGTGCATCCGTGACAGTGGTGATGGTAGCAGCGGCTGTTGTATTTATAATCATTATCAAACGGAAATGTCACAGGTAAGACAAAGCTCTCTATATGTTTTTACAGTTTTGTTTCATAAACCGGGTTAGCAGCTCTCACTTCCTGTCCTCAATGCACCACTGATGTTTTAACTTAATGTTTTCTTGTTTGTTTGCAGACAACAGCTCGATTCTCAGACCGCGGGGCCAGACTTGGTAAAATAAATCTTATGTTTATTGTCCGTTAATGTGCGATGGAGAACTGATTTGATCTGTTTCAGTCTGAAGAGCCAATAGAAAACAGCACTTTTATTGGGACAAAAGGTGGACTTTATTCAACTCTAACTTTGAAGAATATGTGAAAGAGACCAGTGAGCATGTGGAAATGAAAATGTACTTTGATATCGATATTTGTGACTATATGTGGTACTTTGATCGTGTCATGACGGGGATTTTTATTGATTTATTTTGTTGTCTGTGCGTATTTAGACCCTGTGCTCCTGTCCTCTTGTTGTCTGCTCTCCCTTGTTTTGTTTTTCCCTATGGCTTGGATTTCTACCTTTTATTATCCTGGATTTGGTTTCATTGATTTAAATTAAACTCATATTTGCAGCTCCTTTTGTGTTTTTGTTTTGGTTCTTTCTTTCGTATTTAAAACATGACAGATTGTGCTGTCCTAAAGCATGGGTGTCAAAGTCAAATCTGGCCCAGTAATGAACGATCTCCGCCCTCGGGATGATATTTGATTAGTATTAGAGCCGGCCGCATGGAGTCATACAAAAATATTGAAATATTAATTTAATGTTCTGGATATGTGTTGTCACTCTGAAGGAAGTTTGTTTTTGTTTGTGAGCTGTTGAAAAATCACTGACAGAGCCACAAAATTCATGAAATAAGATATGGTTCACTGTGTTAGGTCTTGGTTCAACAGGTTATAGCAACATTATAACATATTGACACAGTCTGGCATCCCTGCCCTAAAGCTACTACACAAACAAAACGTGTGTCTATAGATGATGGGGAAATATCTTTTAACATTGTTTATTGTATCAAGAAACGAAACTGAAAGTAACGACTAGAAGTGAACCCGAGGTACTTTACTGTGTGTATTTACTGTTTCAACATGAGGTGTCGCTCCAGCTGTACAAAGTAAAAACTAAAAGGGAGAAATAAAACTCCTTCCTCATTGTGATTACTACTTGCTTGGTCAGATTTATGTTTACAGCACATATGAGGTTGACCGCTCCCAAAGTGCGTCACAATCCCTCCCTGAAGCAAAAAATAAAATAGATTAAAAATGCAATAACAACGTTTAGGGAAAAAAAACTATTCCGTCTTGCCCAACGACACAACAATAACCTCGTACAGTGGAATGAAAAATTGTGCGCACTTTCTGTAAACTTTATGCTATAGTTAACTGACATTTCTTACCCAAACAACCAATGATTTATAAAAATGAAAATCGTAACAGATATTATTGGTGCTCATACTTTTTCATACCACTATATTTATATTATAGGTCTCCTATCCATGGCCTTAGTTCGCTTCTGGTTATAGATTAATAATAATAATGCATCGGTCTTATACAGCGCTTTTTTGGACACTCAAAGACGCTTCACATGTGTCATTAGTCATTCACTCCGCACACGGTGGTGATAAACTACTACTGTAGCCACAGCTGCCCTGGGGCACACTGACAGAAGCGAGGCAACCAGTCTGTGCCATCGGCCCCTCCCACCACCAACCATTCACACACACACCACCTTATGGAGCTGGTCTTGGTGCGGTTCCATGTGGACTCCAGTGCGGTTCGCTGCTGGTGAGAACGCTGACCTGTTGCGTAGCTCACTTTTTGACACACACATTGTGTTTTTTAAATGATACTGTAGAATAGTCCATATTTGCAATAATCAATAGTGAATAACTGATGATTCTCCCCCCCGGGCGACAGTAGCTCAGTTGGTAGAGCATTGGCCTTAAGCCCAGAAGGTCGTGGGTTCAATTCCCACCTCTGCACCTTCTCCACCGACTCCCACTGATGACTGCTGTCGTTGTGTCCTTGGGCAAGACACTTAACCCCACTTTGCCCAAAGCCCTCACTGAAAGATCAAGGCTATGCTCACACTCAGAGAGCAGCCGTCCTCCTGTGGACTCACCACCTGCAGAGGGTCAGTGAGGGGCTGGTGCTATGAGACTTGGGTGGCATCTCTGACTGCCACCCCCCTGACCCAGAAATGGATTAAAGGGTAGAAAATGGATGGATGGATGGATGATGATTCTCCATTTATCCCCCGTCCATTTCCCTTTGTCCGTCATTGTTTTGCGCGTGGCAAATAGGCCAACAGTTCCCTTAATCCTACATGATGAGAGGAACATAATCTTGGCGGAAAGAATTCCGAAAATGCCTCCGGAAAATAAGTTGGTTAGCAGCTTAGCTCTTTTTCGGAGATACTGGTTTGCAACACGTCTTCTCCGCTCCAAAAACAGCCACAGAGTGTTCCGGTGCTGAATCCGCGATACATACTGGAACAACTGCAACAACCGCAGAGTTTGTGCTTTCTGCACAAAGCAACGATGAAAACAGCCACAAACGCAGAGTAGCACAGTTCATTGTTAAGGATTTGACAAGTTTGTTTTCTTCCGGGGTTTTTCTCTCTTCACATCCTGCGCCAATCAGGTTTCACCTACGTCATACAATACACGGTATTCTGTGAACATCCACAGTGGTTGGTTCATTTGCAAAAATACTGGTGTGAATGAGAACTGCAACAACTTTAGGGCCCAAACAAACCACTTTACTGGACCAACAGGTGTGAAAGCACCCTAAGTGTCTTGCCAAGGACACAACAACAGCAGTCAGTGGGAGTCAATGGTGAAAGTCGGGCTTATGACTACTACTATTTGAGTACTCAAAAATGAAGTATATATATATATATAGAAAAGATTGAGATTAAGAATAAGGTTAAGATTAGGAGATCCTATATTCGTCTCGCTGTTGGGGAAATGTCAGTGTTGCATCACCAGGTACAGAACAGTAGGAACGAGGAGCACACAGCACAAGAAAAATAAACAATAACTCTATACTAAATAAAATAATAAATAATAAAATCTGTAATTATATCATAAAAAATAAACATGTATCATAATCTTTAGCATAATAAGGAAGCAATATAAAATATCCATCTTTAGCAAAAAAAATAGGTACAACATGTCTGACTTTAGCGTAATAAATAACTAATTATAAAACCGTTCTAATTTTAATATCATGTGAAGCTGGACTCTCGGTGCTTTCCAAAATGAATTATTCATGGTAATTTAATCTCCAGAGAATTTCCTGCAGAGTCACACGCACGCAGCATATAATAGATAGGGAGTTTTTTATTCTAGTTTCCTGCATCATTTCCCTATAAGATCAATATTTGTAACTTTTGTGTGGTATAGCGCGTGTATGTGTATGACCAATATGGAGGAGGAGACAGAAATACCACCGAGCTGTGACTTCTTCTTTTCATACGTTTCATTTCTATCCAATGAGTTTGCGCAACACGTGTAAACTTGAGTGCAAGGACAACAATTATTTATTTGTTCTCAATAACACTGTTGACAGAGGTTCAAATCTTACTTTCACTTTCTCTTTCTCGGCATTTAAAGTACGCGCTTACAGTCAAACCGAAACAAAACAGACAGAACTTTCCGGAGAAATGTTCCTTGTGCTCTTCATCGTCCTGATCCTGGGTTTTCACGGTGAGTCTATGATAAAAAATGTTTACACACATTGCTCAGAATATCATCACAAGACGTGTTCAGTGGCGAGGTTTGTTGGAAATGCAGCTATAGCGGGAATGTGTTTTATCCATATTTAGATGCAAGCAGGTGAGTGAGTATTTATCGTCATGTGTGTGAGTCTGAGTTGATGGCTAAAATAGCTAAATGATACGTATTTATTGAAGGCCATCAGTTTACTCATTGAACAATTATGAATATTAACTTTATTATATAATTTTCAACACCAAAATATATACATTTGGGTGTTTTATTCTCTCTCTTTCTTTTAAATGACTTTTTTTTGTTTTAAAGTCAAACCCAAAAATGTACCATCAATCTGTTCTTATTCATCGCTGATATGGAAATGTTGTTTTTATTGTCATTATCATAAGCAGAGTTCAGCCACTCCCTCTATAATTCATTTAATATTTATAATAACACATATAATGAAATAATCAAAACATCGTAGTGCATGATTTAAGCAGAATAGAAAGAGGAAACAGCACTCCGTTATTAGAAATGGAATTGTCGTGTATTGTCAAGTCCACGGCTTTTAAATAAAATAAATAACGGTACACCTTACATACAGCCTTTTCTGTCCAGGCCGGGCCTCAAAGATTACTGGACATGGGAGCACATTCGCAGACTATGGCGGCGAGGCTCACTATAAATGCAAACTGGAAGACCCCAAAGGTATAGTAGCTAACATTTCAAACACAGTAGGATATATAATAACGGTAAATGTATTGTTGCTGTTGCTATGCAGATGTGCTCCAAGTCACATGGCAGCGGCTTTACAAGGACAACTCCATAGAGAACCTGGCCACCTATAGCAAGCGCTTTGGGGAGCAGGTGAACGACCCGTACAAGGGGAAAATCGCGTTCACGGAGACGTCGCTGCAGTTTTCATCCATAACTGTGAGAAATGTGACGTGGGAGGACGAAGGCTGCTACTTATGCTCGTTTAATGCCTATCCCGGAGGCTCAAAAAGACACAAAACTTGCCTCAAAGTGGAAGGTAATGCCAAAGCCACGGTCTACGCTGCAAAATGTGATGAGAAATAAGTGAAAAACTGCTAAAATTTGGCAAACTCTATCTTGATTTGAGCACATTTTGACCGCTTTGAAACAAGATTTGCCAATGTGATCTAGAAAAAGCATCTTGTTTTAAAACTATACAAGAATGTACTCAAATCAAACTTTATCAAAGCAATCATTACTTCATATTTTGCTGTGTAGTTTTTATTTGAACGTACTTTTTTATGTACTTTTTAGGGGTTTCTAATGTGCAAACACTGGTGCACAAGCCGCATGGAGGATCTGAAAACACAGCCATATTCAGCTGTTCTGTCACTGGGAAACCGGCGCCTGAAATAAAGTGGGACTATTCAGCTCCAGTCACGGTCCTGGAGCAGTCCCAGACATCAGCGGTGGGGAATGAGGATCTCACCATAACCAGCTATAGTAATCTCACTCTGCAGCTGTCTCCAAACTGGGAGGGAAAAATAGACTGTGTCATCAACTCCAAGAAAGGAGAAAGGAGAGAGAGCGTTGTTAGGTATGAGAAGAAGAAAGATGACATAGAAAAAGGTAAGTGTCGTTTAGTTTCAGACTTAATATTTCATCGCAATCTCTATCCATTCGAAACATTTCATTATTCTTGGGATTCATTAAACTGGCCAGTAGGGGGCTCAGTTTTGCTCCCATTGAAAACCATGTAAAGTCTGTGTTGGAGTCAAAAGGCTCTCCTCCTGTGCGGTGTACGGTTGTTGGAACTGTCTTAATCGAAGACACTCAATTCTAAGGGAGTATTAAAAAATATTTCTCAAAAGAGTCATTGGGGTGGCCTGCAGGGGGCGCTTATCTGGGAAAGCCTTGATCCACTTCGCCCGCCTCATTCCAGTGATTTATTTCAAAGTGTCCTCCTTTATATGAGGAGGTTTCTTGTTCCGCAGTTGGAACAAGAAACTCTTGTCTTTCTCTCTATTTGTGCGGTTGCTACAAGCGTACACCGCACTAAAAGATGGCATTTTGACATCTCTTCTTCTTCTACTATATCTCTGTGTATAAACCCGGCAGACTGCACCGCCGGGTACGTCACGTCCTGTCCTACGTTTGTTATTCACGCCACTGCCCTGACGTCATATGAAACCCAAGAATTGTGTAACCAGTCGAAATGGTCCACCTAACTGTCTTAAATGAGAAAAGTATTTTAGTTTTTTAAGTTTATCAAAATCTTAGCTCCCTTTGCTGACCAAGCCCAGCAAGGATTTCAAAAACAAACCTTTGACTCATTTTACTGCTCTATCTTACACCACTTTGTTATCCTCAGAAACAGAAACTAAAAAAGTAGAGAATTCTGAGAAAAGGAGAAAGGCAAGAGGCCCAGAGTTGAAACCTGTGAAATGTTGGCAATAGAGGTTTAGGGTCAGATCCTGGACTTTGCTCGCCAATAATGAATGTTAGTAATCCATCTTCTATCTCAGTTCATTTCAATGCGTGGGAACTTTATGAACAAAATCACAACATTAAAAATACATCCAATATCAAAAAGCATGAAAGGTTCACAGCTATGTACATTTCTTATAAAAATATACTTTTCTTTCAAGATGATATTGCATTGGTGTTTCCATTTGTGCACCTGCGTTTGGGTACAGCGCCACCGATTGAGAACCACTGCTTTAGATTCTTTTCTATGACAGACTGAAGACTGCAGCGTTTGTTTTTGTTATTTCACAGATGATTAAAGGAGTTGAGCAGGAAATGTACTCAATGACCTTTGACCTGAACGATACTGACCTGTCGTTTTCTGTCCCACAGAGCGCACCGCCTCATCCACAAATATTATTATTATTTCTACTACTACTACTGCATTACTCTTCTTTGCATCTCAGCTGTTATTCTTTGGTTAAAATTAAGGTAAGCGCGTGTGTGAGGTTTTACATGTTGTTTATATTTTAATGATTTGAATGTATTTTTCAGGTACCATCTGGTGACAAAAGACGCATCTAGCACTACGAACAGAAACAATCAACATATGCTCCAATAAGCACTTTATCCACATTTCACTTTAATATGAATATCTGTTTTGTATTTATATAATTTAAGTAATATTTATGAGAATGTTGATGTCTGGTTTGTTTGTCGAGTGAACAGGTTGATTCTGATTGTGAGTTATTTAAGTTCAACTGTAGTTTTCATTTTTTATATAAAAAGCTTCCGTAATGTGTGATATTACATTATGTGAAAGTAAAGACAGGAGTAGGATCTTTATTGTTTACTCTTTGTGTGACTTTATTTCCAATCTACAAATACTCACTGTGTTATGTGCAAGATATACACAAGTTAGTCTGATACATTTCTCAATGACATTATATAATACAGTTCAAATGTCAATCTTTACACAGCTGCTTCCTCTGGCGGTAGACTTCGGTATCTCCTCAAGATTTCACTCTGGCTTCTCAGCAAGAAGGTCCTTGGTTCGAATCCCTATCAGAGCAGGTCCTTTCAGAGTGGAGTTTGCATGTTTTCTCTGTATCTATGAAGGTTTTCTTCCGGGTTCTCCGGTTTCCCCCATAGGCCTGAGTGAGTGAAAGGATGGTGTTGAGGCTTTGATCCGCCTTTTTGCCATTTTGCTTCAATCATCACATTCCATTCCAGAACAGAGCAATAGCTAAACTCTGAACATTGTAAACAGTTAAAAATACACTATATAAAAATAAAATTACTTTCTTTATACCAGTTGAACATTAGACTTGTTTCACATTCACCCAAGAAGTGCGCATATGGACCTGACAGCTCCTGCACTGAGCTTGTTTATTATATTAATGCTTCCTGTTTTCCATGACGGTAAAATTACTTTTGATATCATTTTATTAATTTGATCTTATGTCTTTTGAAGACTTGGATTGTCCACATCAGCCTACTGAGCTCTAATAGTATTTGTGTTGATGGTGCACATGGCGCACCATCTTTATAAAAAAACAAACATTTGCAGAGACAACACTAATAATAATAAGATTAAAATGATTCCAAGGATCTCAGTTTTTCACTTGCAAAGACGTGCGGAACACAACAGTTAAATGCACTTAATGCCTCTCGCAGCGTGATACTGTAATCTACATTTAGTATGTATGTGTTTATATTTGGTGAAAGTAACTGTGATGCAGTAGTATTGTAATGCTTTACAATTCAAGGATAGTAATATTGAAGCATAACACATTACTTTGAAATAACAGTAACAAATACAGGTCCTTCTAAAAAAATTAGCATATTGTGATAAAGTTCATTATTTTCTGTAATGTACTGATAAACATTAGACTTTCATATGTTTTAGATTCATTACACACAACTGAAGTAGTTCAAGCCTTTATTGTTTTAATATTGATGAAAAACCAAAAATGCCTATCTCAGAAAAATAGCAAATCATGAAAAGTAAAAACTCCCTGGTTCATTACTCAAAACTGCAATCATGGGTAAGACTGTCGACCTGACTGCTGTCCAGAAGGAAATCATTGACACCCTCAAGCAAGAGGGTAAGACACACAAAGACATTTCTGAGCGAATAGGCTGTTCCCAGAGAGCTGTGTCAAGGCACCTCAGTGGGAACTAAGTCTGTGGGAAGGAAAAAGTGTGGCAGAAAACGCTGCACAACCCCAAGAGGTGACCGGACCTTCGGGAGGATGGTGGAGAAGGGCCGATTCCAGACCTTGGGGGACTTGCGGAAGCAGTGAACTGAGTCTGGAGCAGAAACATCCACAGCCATCATGCAGAGGCGTGTGCAGGAAATGGGCTACAGAAACCACAACCAGAAACAGCGGCAGAAGCGCCTGACCTGGGCTCCAGAGAAGCAGCACTGGACTGTTGCTCAATGGTCCAAAGTACTTTTTTGGGATGACAAGGTGCCAGAGTGTGGAGGAAGACTCGGGAGAAGAAAATGCCAAAATGCCTGAAGTCCAGTGTCAAGTACCCACAGTCAGTGATGGTCTGGGGTGTCATGTCAGCTGCTCAGCACGACCTGGTACCTGCTCACAGTGCCAAAACCACTGGGAAATAGTTTACTGACCGTGGATACTGTACTCAATTGGCCTGCCAACTCTACTGACCTGAACCCCAGAGAATCTGAGATATTGTGAAGAGGAAGTTGAGAGTCAGCAGAGCCAACACTGTGGATGAACTTAAGGCCACTGTCTAAGCATCCACGCCGTATTGAAGAATTCATTTCTACAAAAGGATTCCTGATCAAGTATTGAGTGCATAACTGAACATCATTATTTGAAGGTTGTCTTTTTTTTTTAAATTAAAAACCCTTTTCTTGTATTGGTCGGATGACATATGCTAATTTTTTTAGATAGGGATTTTTGGTTTTTCTTTACTTTTTTTGCCAAAATCATCAATATTAAAACAATAAAAGGCTTGAACTGCTTCAGTTGTGTGTAATTAATCTAAAATATATGAAAGTCTACTGTTTATCAGTACATTACAGAAAATAATGAAGCTAATTTTTTTAGAAGGACCTGTACATAATGTATTATGTTTTTGGAGTATCTTTCTCAACACTGCTGCCATGAGCCAGAGGGTGAAATCCTGAGCTGGACCTTTTTCAAAACACATACAATGTACAGAATCAAAAATCCATGTCAAAAAATGAGGAATCAAGTCAAACTTCTAAAAATGGTTTGAGTGTGATTCTCTGGTCCTCATGTGTTTCAAAGAGAGTTTCATATGTTTTAAAGTGAGTTTCATGTGTTTTAAAGAGAGTTTCATATGTTTTAAAGTGAGTTTCATGTGTTTTAAAATGAGTTTCATGTGTTCAGGTTTGAAGCTGGACCTAAAGGACCATGTGGATGTCTCAGTGACGGTTGGAGGCGTGGCTCACCTGCGCTGCCCTCTCACTCCCTCCTCAGACGTCCTGCAGATTATGTGGCAGAAGCTGGAGCCTGAAGAGCCTGTCACTGTGGCCACGTGTCTTCCGACCAAGCACAAACTCAACCCAAAGTTCACTGACGTCTTTATCCTCAGCGGAGCAGGACTGGAGGACTGTGATCTGGAGGTTCTATCCGTGAAAGAGAAGGACCAGGGCTGTTACCAGTGTCTGCTCATCACCCCCTCTGATGTGATCGACACTGCTAAGACCTGTCTCTGGATTCAAAGTGAGAACTGGAGAGGGACAAGCTGCAGATTAAAACACAACTCATACTTTTTATTTGTTCCAACAGAGTTAATGTGAGAATAATGTGAACAAATCAGACCCCAGCATTTTTTATTTCCATATTTAACCAGGAGAGTCCCACTGAGATTTCAGAATGTCTTTTTCAAGGGGTGTCCTGGCTCCAGAGAGAGGGGATGAGGGTGGGTCCAGGGAGGATGTTACAGGGGGCTACATGTTTTGTGTTATACCTGTTATAAAGTATTTCTTTTATTTCTCTCACCAAACAGCTGTTGGATCTATGAAGCAAGTCTCTGGTCCAAGTCCTGTGGCTCATGGTGAGTTTCCTACGATCTGTCATCCTTCTGTATCTAAGTATGTATTAATATTCATGTCTGTCTTAGGCTCTGTGCACTGGGCTGTACCCTGCAGTGTGGTGGGGGTGGTGTTAGTGGCAGGGGCTGTGTGTTTGCTCCTCTTCTTCAGGAAACACAGGTAAATCCCAATGATCTACAGATGGATATTTGTCCAGAATTTCTCATGGACCCAGTTTTATATTTCACAGAGCCACAAGAGAAAAGAGGAATGTGGAAACCGTAGAAAATGCGTAAGATGCTTTTACTGTACTATCACTTATTAGATACTGATTGAAAGATGCAAGACACTTAACCCCACTTTGCCTGAAGCCCCCACTGGAAGATCAAGGCTCCTGTGGACTCAGCGCCTGCAGGAGGATCAGTGAGGGGCTGGTGCTCTGTGAACTGGGTGCTCTGACTGCCACCTCCCCGACCCAGATATGGATTAAGGGGAAGAACATGGATGGATGCATAGATAATGATTTTTATTCTGATTATTGATTCATGTTATTTCCATAGAATGATAACACCAGATCCCCATGAAGGCGGACGTTGGGAGCACACGTATGTGGAGGACGCTACAGACCCTGATGACAGAAAGTCATCATCACTCTCCTTTACTGCGATGTAAAAAGCTTTTAAATCAATCTTTAAATAAAACCAAACAGCTGGAAATTACTTATTATGTGAAAAGCAGATTCATCGAGCTTTGACATGTATCTATATTATGGCACGTGCACACGAATTATTATCTATTTGCTGTGTGGTCAACTTCATGAAACATCTTCCTACAGTAGGAAGGAACTACTGTAGAATGTATGTGGCCCTGTTCTGTCAGTCAGATGTGGTGTCCGATATGCCATGGCGCCATCCCCATGAGAAACTATTTGACTCTCAGGGCTGAGAGCTGATTGGCTGAGTGAGGGTGGTGCCATCTTTTTCACCTTTCCGTCTGAAAAATCTGATCTAAAGACGTGACAGAGGCCGAGAATACAGTATGCATGTGAAAACTAGTGATAGAAGCTACAGGAACTACAGATGGATTTTATAACATGGGTCCATATTTTGTGGTTTGAAAGTGAGGTATCGAGCTTTAAATGGGTTGTTCCAGCTTTGTGGTTTCATGCACTTTGGTTTATTATTGTAAAATTGATACTTTATTATGTAAGTGGAGGAGCTGACAGCACTAAAACAACAGCAGCACTAAAACCCATGTGTCTAAACTCACATAAACGTGGAAAAGCACAGGTGGTCAGCAGCAGTGTGAGAATCTCTGGTCAGCACTGATGTCTCCTGGTGGAAGAAATCCTCGAGTGAAAGGTGCAGGGCAGTGTTGTAGGGATTTCATAACACTTTGAAGCAACTATTGTTAAAGTTCTAACTTCATTCTTACATATGCAGAAGCCTGTACTTTTCCATTTGATGTTTTGTCTATCTGAAGGCCAAGCTACAAGCACACCGTGGCAGCTGCTGATTGGAGGTCTCTGTTTCTCCTGAGTATATTACCACTTGCTGTCGTAACATCCCTTGTTCGTGTTGTTCATGCGTCCACCATCAACAATAAAACATGTCTTCTGTCTGAATTAAAGACACGATCCCAGACTTTGGCTGATTCCTCTGCAGTGTTCAAACTTATTGTGTTTTAATTCACTATTATGCATCAAAAAGACAATATAGAACCCTATTCCCATGCAAATACATTGTTGTCCCTTACAGCTATCTTTGCTGCTTTGGTTATGAGCCAATGTTTATGAATGAATCAGTTTTCTATCTGTTCATCAGCTCCATCTCCACTTCACACTCACTGCAGCTTCACATTGGGCCTTTTCTCTTTTTGCTGTGCTGTCAAAAATAACATGATGTAGTTGGGTTACCTCTTCATTTAATACCAATGTTATGATTGTCCGTTTTGTTATATTTGAACATTGGTTTAATGTTATTTAATATGGTTCTTTATAAATCCAGACTTTAAAACAAAGCTCTTAGGATTGTTAATGACTCTTCTGGCCACCCTGGGAAAGCCATGTTCCAGCTTCTTCCCTCTGGCAGAAGATATCGCTCTCTGAGATGCAGGACATCTCGTTACGCTAACAGTTTTTATCCACAAGCTGTTATCAGTGTGAACAGAGCCCTTTAATGATTTGCACTTGTTTTGAAACTGTTTTAGTCGATCAATTTCACAGTGACTTTTGTTTACTGTTTTATTTGTTTTATTTTTGTCTTTTAATGTTGTTTTATGTCTGTATTTGTCTGTGCACACTGGAGACTTTTGCTAATGTATTCCAATGTGGGCAAATAAAATGAATCTGAATCTGAATCTATGCATTGTTCCTCCTCAAATAAATAAAATACAAGCCACAATTAAGTTCAGCACCGCCCACCTAATTAGCATACAGGAACACAAAAATACACAAATAAATAAATGAAGAAATGTAGAAATACATAAATAAATAAATGAAGAAATGTAGAAAGACAAAATAAATAAATGAAGAAATGTAGCGACACAGAAATACATAAATAAATAAATGAAGAAATGTAGAAATACATAAATAAATATATGCAATAAATGGATAAATAAATAAAGGAAAAAATGTAGATATTGATAAATAACCTAAATAAAAGTATATTTATTTGATTTCAGAGTAATATTTAGCATATTAATGTAAATATTTAGTTTTTATTGTCCAAAATGAATGTATTTATTATTATATTCCTGTATTTATTTATTTATTTATACTTTAGTCATTTTTGGTCCTCCATACTATAATAATAACCCCGAATCAACAAATGAAAACCAACAGCTAGAAAAAGTAAAGCCGTTTGAGAAAAGCAAGATCAGCTTTGACGCATATTTTATGACACAATCTTTTTTTATTTACTTGCTGCGTGGTCATCTTTCTGTGTTGTAACTTTTCATTCTCTTTTGTTTAATATATATAAATACACAAACATACACATTTGTACACACGTTTGTGATAAAAACAAAACTATTCAAAAATAAAACGGTTTGCATGTTCTTCCCATCTTTGCATAGGTTTCCTCCAGGTGCTCCGGTTTCCACTACCACTAAAAACATGTACAGATTAATAGATACTTTATTGATCCCTGTAGAAGAAATTCAGGTGTCCAGCAGCAGAAGACTCATCCAGGTCTGACAGCCGAGGGAACAAAGGATCTCTTGCAGCGCAGTGATAAAAGTAAGAAACTGTAGATTCATAAAACATCTTCCTACTGTAGGAAGGAACTATACTGTAAAATCTTATGGTAAATGTCAGTAAGTTAAAGTTATATTTATTGCCAAAGAGCAATGAGGAATAATGTTGATGTCTTGTTTGTTTGTCAAATGTAATATGGACAGGTTTGTTCAGACTTTTTCAATCCACAAATACAAACACTAAATTATGATCGATGGATACAAGTTTGTCTGAAACATTTCAGACTGAGTCCATGGATGTTTTATTACACAGCAGTTGTTATTATAATAACAAATACTATATTATATAGTTCAAATGTGTGTCAATCTTTATACAGCTGCTCCCTCTGGCGGTAGACTTCGGTATCTCAGGGACATTTCAGTTCAGCTTTCTGATTGGCTGATATAGTTTCGCCCGCCCCCACAGTCACCTGGGTCACTATACACTTTCACTTTCACCAATTTAAAAAAGAAGCGCGCAGATGGAGGTCACAGATTGTGCACCGGGACTAATAATTATATTAATGTTGGCTGTTTTCCTTAACGGTAAAGTAACTTTTTATGTTATTTGATATATTTGATCTCATGTGTTTTGAAGACTTGTCTCTCAACATTTGCATTTGCATTGTCCAAGTACGTTTGTAAATGGGTACTAATAACACAATTGTAGTATTATTATTATCAGTGGTGGTGGTAGTAGTACTAGGTTTTGTTGTTGTAGCATTTCCACTATTTTGTTTTGTCTGAATGAATAAAAATCCCCAAACCAAATGCCTCCTGCAGCCAGAGAGCCGGATGGGGAAATCCTGAACTGACTTTTTGCTTTGGTCTGTTTTGTTGTGATTAAAGCCTGTGAGAGGAGACAGAAAATAATGTCTACAATCAGAGATTTGTGAAAGCAATTGTACAATAGTTTTCTGTTCAAATCGACACATAATTGCTCATGTTTGTGCAATGTCTGAGTTTAATTTAAAATTTTACAAAACACATTCAATGTACAGAATCAAAAATCCATGTTAAAACACCAGGGATCAAGTCAAGGCTCTTAAATGGTTTTAGTGTGATTCTCTGGTCCTCATGTGTTTTGAAGTGAGTTTCATGTGTTTTTAAAGTGAGTTTCATGTGTTTCAAAGTGAGTTTCATGTGTTTCAAAGTGAGTTTCATGTGTTTTAAAGTGAGTTTCATGTGTTTCAAAATGAGTTTCATGTGTTCAGGTTTGAAGCTGGACCTAAAGGACCATGTGGATGTCTCAGTGACGGTTGGAGGCGTGGCTCACCTGCGCTGCCCTCTCACTCCCTCCTCAGACGTCCTGCAGATCATGTGGCGGAAGCTGGAGCCTGAAGAGCCTGTCACTGTGGCCACGTGTCTTCCGACCAAGCACAAACTCCACTCAAAATTCTCTGATATCTTTCGACTCAGCGGAGCAGGACTGGAGGACTGTGTTCTGGAAATCCACGGTGTGAAGGAGAAAATCCAGGGCTGTTACCAGTGTCTGCTCATCACCCCCTCTGATGTGGTCCACGCTGCAAAGATCTGTCTCCGGATTCAAGGTGAGAATTGGAGAGAGACAAGCTGCAGATTAAAACACAACTCATACTTTTTATTTGTTCCAACAGAGTTAATGTGAGAATAATGTGAACAAATCAGACCCCAGCATTTTTTATTTCCATAATTGGAGAAGACAGGCTATTGTAGATTTAAAGCTGGGGTACCTAACTCAACTTTCCAACAGAAAGTCTCAGAAAAGTAAAACGTGAACAAATCAGATCACAACATGCTCTCTTCTAGTTTGAAGACGTGTTGTATTTGTAGTTTCTGAAAGTTAGATACCCCAGCTTTACTGAGATGTCACTGCAATTTTTAAAACAGAAATAACAGATTTAAGAAGTGCTGTGAAAAATTGTTAATTTAAGGACAGATTTAGACATTCATTTGCAGTTAAAACATATTTTGCCGTGATTTTGTCTGAAAAGAAAGTGTTTGTGACATCAGCGTGTTGTGTCGTATAAAAACAAACTTGGTTAACGGGTAAAAAGGAGAACAAAAATGTCTGCTCATTTTTTGTTTGTCTTTTGGCTGTTATTTTTGGGAATGAAATACGTTTGGACACAACAGAGAGATCATTTTTAATATTGATAATTATCAACTTGCAGAGCGACATGGACTTGACCCAACTCAGTCCAGTCCAGAGGAGGTGGCCCCATCATCATCATCATCAGAGGAGGAGGAGGCAGGATCTATGAAGCAGGTCTCTGGAGCTGATGGTGAGTTTCCTACGATCTGTCATCATTCTGTATCTAAGTATGTATTAATATTCATGTCTGTCTTAGGCTCTGTGCTCTGGGCTGTACCCTGCAGTGTGGGGGGGGTGGTGTTATTGGCAGGGGCTGTGTGTTTGCTCCTCTTCTTCTTCAGGAAACGCAGGTAAATCATTGTCCAGAGTGAGATTTGTCCAGAATTTATCATGAACACAATTTCATATTTCACAGAGCCACAAGAGACAAGAAGAATGTGGAAACAGTAGAGAATGCGTAAGATGCTTTTTCTGTATTATCACTTATTATATCATGTTTATTCATGTTTTTGATCAATGTTTTTGTCATAGAATCAAAACACCAATAAAGAGCCCCATGAAGGTGGACTGTGGGAGCACACGTGAGCGGAGGACGCCACAGACTCCGAGGACAGAAAGTCATCCTCACTCGCCCTTATTGCCTAAAACACTTTTTTAATTAATCTATAAATGAAAACCAACAGCTGGAATTTAAAGCCTTATGAGAAAAGACGATTCAGCATTTACATGTTTTCTGACACATGGACACAGTCTATTTTTTTTTTTTCAACTTTCTGTGTTGCAACCTTTCATACAACTTTATGCACTAACATTTTGTAAAAAAGTAAAACGGATAAAAAAAATAAAACAGGCGCAATAACTGTGTTCTAAAGCCGTTCTATGTGGAGTTTGCATGTTCTCTATCTCTGCATATAGGTTTCCTCCAGGTGCTCCGGTTTCTCCTACCACTAAAATCATGTACAACAGGAATGAATGTAATGAGAGTGAACAGATGGTCCGGCCCTACAGTGCACCAGTGTGTTTGGAGTTTTGCTTCTGTCATCACTGTGTAAAGGTAAAGGTGCACTTTATTGATCCCCGTAGGGCAATTCATCCTCTGCATTTGACCCATCCTGATGAGGCTTACGTCAGGAGCAGTGGTAACAGGGCCCGGGAACCCATTTCCAGATGTTGATGCTCTGCGCTGTGTGGAGAGAATGGAAATGTATTAGTACAGTTTTATATAAACAAAAGACTCAGGTGCAGCTTTCAATAAGTATTTGAGATTATACTCAGAACATTGTGCAAATGTCAACATGTAAATGTTTTGTGTCAGCAGCAAAAACTGCAGAATCTTGTATTTTGTTTGGGATTGGTCCTTGGTGACTGTAATTTCCGGTGTATTTTTTCCCCAAACACTTTCTTTAAAATGCGAACAATTATGGTCTTAAAAACAAAAGCAGCAGATCTGGTGTGAGGCATAGAACGGCCTCTAGTGGTGAAGTGTGAAACTGCAGATCCATACAAGAAAAGCTATATTCCTCTTTCTAAAGCTACTGCTACTGCTAATGATAATTTTGACTGACTTCTTGTTCCGTTCTTATAGACCTTCTGTTATCTAATGAACCAATGTTAGTTTTTGATGTCCCGAAACATATTTTTTCATGATATTGTGGTAAAATGGTAAAAGAGGCAAAAGGACAACATGATTATTATCAACATTTCCCATTTACTGAAGGTGCCGACAACAAAGTGAGTCCATTCACAGATGGTGGCAGCCTGGTCTGAGAGCTTTGGTACATTCTGTGACAAAAGGGCAGTGCAATAGTGTGGACATGTGAGTGCAATACAATCCTTCACTTCATCATCGTCAAAACACCAGGAAAACCGTGTCTGATAAATATGAAACTGTGACGGAGACAGACTTTTGGCAAGCCTTTTATAGAATCAATAAAAACCAATAAATACATCTGTGATCATAACGCCTTTTTGTTATTCTTTTTGAAAACATTCTTTGTGCAGAGGTGACGGACATACTATAGTGAGCACAGGTCACTACTGTGAAATATAATCCATACTTTTGGTGGAAATACAGAAATTCACATGTTAAACCTTCTATTCAAATGCAATCATGATAAAAAATATGCACAAATGACTTGCATGTTCATAAAATAATACGTTGTGTGGCTATAACTATGCAATAAATATCTCCACATTGAAATAAACCATTGTTCTTACTATGATTTCCCTGCAAAACCGTTTAAAATCACCGTTCGATAAAATCTTAGTGTCACGACGATATTCTTCATACATTTGTCGTCTTCGGCTGCGTTTTAGAAAAGCTATTGATACCAAAGTCGTTCACTGGGAAACTCCGCAAAGATGAAAAGAGAAATCTCGACGGTGCGTTCAAAGACGATAGAAAATTCAGTCGTGAGATAAAATTGGGTTCAAAAGCCTCTGTTGAGTTCTGCAAATGTGAAAAGAGGCAGTGGTCGCTTCTTCACGATAAATCCGGATGAATAAGTTCCTTCCAAATATTGAAAATTAGTCCCGATATTATCTCCATAGTCCTGTTGTTTTGCAGAAGGAGAAACACCATAAATGAGTTTGTATAAAGTGGAGTCCAGTGCTTTTGTTCAATATTTCCTTTTCTCCTTCGCACTGATGGGTTATAAATATCTCCTTTTTTTGATTCATTCAAGTCCAAAAGTGCTGGTTTCTTCTACTGCGGTGAGCATCTTCTCAAAGAGCATGGAGAAAGAGGGGTACGGAGGCAGGTCCAGGCGGTTGAAGCAGGTGTGGGCCCTGGACAAAACAAAACAAGATTGGATTCGTAAACAAGATGGCTGATTTTAGCTGATTTTAGCTGATTTTAGCTGATTTTTAGCTGGAAGTGAATGAGGTTAAGTACTGTAGAGTAAAAATGACTAATTATATATTTATCTGTTTTTCTGTAGCTACATATGTCCTTAGTCATCAATCCTTCAAAAAATGTGAATCAAGTCTTTACTTTGGTCGTATCTGCGTGTTACTTTTGTGATAAAAAATACATAAAGATTATTTAAATGTACAAAAACAATTGTAACAAAAAAGGATTAAAACGATTACACAAAAATAGCCAAAATAATTCCCAAAAACTACAAAATAATACAAAAATACTAAACAGTTATTCATAAAATGACGTATATGTCGTGGACAGTTTTCCGACTTACACACAAAGGCCCACTAGAGTTGTGTGTCTTTGTGTACAAATATATATAAAATTAGAATATATAGAGACCTGGGGAGAGCCGTCACTTTTCCCCACTTCTCCACACAGAACCGGCGAGGTCCGTTGCTCCCACGCAGAGCAGCAAACCCCTCGTACGGGATGCTGGACGTCCCGGTCACAAACTGAGGACACACACACAACACAACACACACAAAGTTTAAACACAAACCCTTAAATAACACATTAGTCCAAGACACAGACCTGCAGGAGTCGGAGTCTCTGCTCATTGTTGAAGCGCTCCACCGCCGCCCAGAACCAGCGGATGACGATGTGGTGGTCATGGTAACCTACAGGGACATAACAACACAGGCCACATTGTGAAATAGAATACATTTGGTAACCTTGAAAATTTTGGAAATGTTTTGATCATTGCTGCTTTTTAACGTAGGGTTTGGGCCCATTCTTCTCTTGTTGTGGTTTCTATAATTTACTACTGTTTTTTGTACCATAATAACAAATCAGGAATGAAAATTGTATTCAATGTAAGAAACTGAACCAAAGCAACTGTTATTTTATTACTTACAAGATCTATAAAGCTTTAACTGTGCATGTGTAGAAGTTTAATGAGTTTTATCAGAAGTGAAGCAACCAGTATGTGCCATTGGCCCCTCCCACCACCACCAACAATTCACACACACAAATCTCTTTCTAGGCAATGTGGGTTAAGTGTCTTGCCTAAGGACACAACAGCAGTTTGGCACTTTACAGCCACAGCCGCAGCCGCCGCACTGTGGCTGATGTTCCCAGAGGTCTCCCATCACAGTACTAACCAGGCCCTCCCCTGCTCAGCTTTAGAAGTCTAACGAGATCTGGCTTTTGCATGCAAGTATGGCCACAAACAGGCAAAGTAGGGTTGCCCAAGGACACAACGACAGCAGACGTCAGTGGGTGTCAAACCAACTGAGGCCCCAAAGTTTCTGACAAGTTTACACAAGAAGCACTAAAATGACAGCAACGATACAAAATGTCTGAGCCGCTGATAAACAATGTTAGATGTTTACGGCGCCTGTCCCACCTCCTCTGTACTCCGTGTTGTTCCTCCAGTCCGACAGGTCGATCTCAGCCGTCCCAGCGATCACCAGCTCCAGCTCCCGGGCGTCGAACACAGACACCAGCCTCGCATCCACCACCTGGAAACAACACATCTAACTCACTTCACTTTGTTTTTGATAATGACCCCTGTTGAGGCGATAGATGACGCTTTGAGAGATTGTCGTAAATCCTATTCATTCTGACCTCAAAGAATCCTCGGACCAGGCTCTCGGTCTGCTGCACCACGCCGCGCTCGATCCTCCACTTCACCATCCGCTCGATGTATTCTTTCTTGTTCTTCTCCGTCACTGGGATGTTGGCTCCTCCAGGCTTCAGCTCGCGCTCCGTGATCTACAAAAGACAACGTTACACACAAAATGCATTCATTATCATAGCCTAACGATTCATAGACAGAGGTTAAAATGTATTATTAATGCAAGTATAGTTTTTCCGATTATTATTATTCTGATTTTTATGATTAAACCCTTTAACCGCAGCATATACATTGTAACCCTTGGGCTGTTCTTGGGTCAAATTATACCGCCAGTGATTCAAAAATACCCTAAAAATAAAAAAATTATAAAAAATCAAGCTGAATTTGTTGCTTTGACCAGTTGTGTGTTATTTAGATCCTATTTTAGGGTATTTTTCTTCTACTTTTAATCAGAATCAATTTTATTTTTGCTGCTACTGGACACCTATAATAAAGAATCTATCTATCTATCTATCCTTTTCCCTGGCTCCTATCCAGTTTTATTGATTTGAAAAAACCAATGTTATTAATTTTATTCAGCTCCATTCAAAACAGTAACAGGATTTCTATTTTTTCAATATTTAAATACAAAAATGTGCTTAGAAAAAACAATATTTGTGAATTTTTCTGTTGTTATCTCAATACTGCAAATGTCCTGTTGGAAAATGAAGGAAAAAAAGCCTAAACCAGATAACATGACATTATATGGATGGACACAAAAACAAAATGGCCTTTTAAACGCACATGCACATGGTAAATGGGTGTGATAGTTAGTCCCAGTCTGACCTGTCCAAAGACCTCCTCGTTGACGGTGAAGGTGAGGTCCAGCATGTCCTCGATGTCGTTGTCCTTCATCCACTGCAGGGACTGGTGGAACTCCTCGTCCAAGTACTCCAGGTCGCTCAGCTCGCACGGACTAAACGGATCGATAACGGTCTAGTCAGTGGTGCTCTCATTAAAAGGGACAAGTCAATTAAGTATAAAGCAGTTCGGATCGGGCTGGAAGGAGACATACATGCGCAGCAGGCCTTTGTAGAAGGGTCGGGTGAAGAAGGCGTCCAGGAGGTACTGGTGAATCAAGGCCAGACCCAGGATACGGCCGCTGAACCTGAACCTGGAACAGACATGTATTCAATTCAATGTATTCAATGGATCACAGGGACTGGACTCCTGCTGGGACTCTGAGGAGCACAGGGACTGGACTCCTGCTGGGACTCTGAGGAGCACAGGGACTGGACTCCTGCTGGGACTCTGAGGAGCACAGGGACTGGACTCCTGCTGGGACTCTGAGGAGCACAGGGACTGGACTCCTGCTTGTGCCCAGAGTCAGAACTAAACTGCTTTTCAGATTCATGCTGCTAAAATCTGGAACAATCTTCCTGAAGATGTGAGACAGGCCTCCTCTCTGACAATGTTTAAATCCAGGTTAAAAACAGTTCTGTTTAGCTGTGCATACAACTGAGAGATTTTATACTTTTATCTTTCTTTTTAATGTTCTGTGATTATTAATGCTATCTTGTCTTGTTCAGCACTTTGAATTTCTTTGTGTAAGAATTGTGCTATACATATAAACTTGCCTTGCCTAAGTATAGCCCTAAATCACAGCAGCAGTTATCTCAGAGGACTTTACAAAATAGTTCAAACTCAAGAAATGCAATCACAGAAAACACATTGAGCTGACGAGCTTGGGCTAATGATACACACGGTTGGTTGGATTCTTAAATTAGGGGCAGATGACCAAAGTCCATAAATGTCACTGAATCTTGAATGTCCTGGATCAAATGTATCAAAAATGTAAAATCTTGTATTGTCATGGAGCAATAGAGGTGTTGGTACCATTCGTGGTGATTGTCGACGAAGGCCGACATGGGGCTGATCTGAACCGTGTAGGTGTCGTTGGCGGAGTATTCGAACAGTCCGTAGTAAGGGTTAAAAAGCTCTCTCGACACCAGGAAGAAGAACTCTCTGGAAGGGCCGCTGTAGTCCAACCTGAGAAGCACACAAGATGGAGACTGAATACGGTAAGAAAGGCTCAAAACAACTGGAGGCAATGTATGAAGTGATTAAATACTGTCATCTGGTGTTATGGAAAGTACTATGGACAATTGTTTTCATTATTATTATTACTATTATGATTATTGCCAATATAACTAGTATTATCTATATTTTTTGCATTATTATTATAATCAAGTCCCAAATCCCAAAGGCACTGCAAACTTAAAATCAGACTTTTTATATTTCTTTTTACTTTTTTTTGCCACAAATAAATCAAATTATTCGTCCTTTGTAGCAATAGTGTCGAGAAGAAATGGTGAGGAAAAATATTGAAACAAATCAGGTCAGGGGTAAATAACTGAGAAAGATGGAACACTTTATGATTTTTTTTTAGAAACATGAAATCATATTCAGTTTCAATAAATAGCCAAACAAGGTTGAAAAGTGTAAATACGAAGGAAACAAAAATTAGGCCTCTTTATACACAATATTTTTGATTCTGGCACTGATTTTTTTTAAAGTTGCAGATTTTTTAAAAGAGACTGATTTGATGATGGCTGTTTAAATGTTTTTCAATATCATACTAAAACCAGTTCTTGTGTAATCTTGGAGAAACACTCACCCCTCTTCTCCGACGAAGCTGACGTAGAGCTTGCTGCGCTGGAGGTCCTTCCTGGAGTAGCACATGATCTGGTTGAAGGCGTCTTCCAGGAGGTGGTCTCGGCGAATGATCAGTCTGAGGGAAATGAGACAGTAAATAGTGGATTCTTTGAAAAAGCACGAGTCTAGGATACACGGCCGCGTACTTTAGCTTCCCTGGGCCCTGGCCGTAGCCTTTTGTTTCCAACTTCCTGTAAAAGTTGCGGAGTTTGGCCTCGAAGTCTCTCTTGTAGGGCGCTGGAGCTCTGGCGTTGGCTCGCTGGGTCCCTGCACGCAAAAATATGAATATAAACACAAAATTATACCATTACTGACATACACTGAGTAGTAACCACAATGTACACAAAAATATCAGGAAATAAATGAAAGCGTTTTCTGTTTTTTTGCATTTTGACTCTCTTAAAACAAGATTGTGCAAAGTTGTTCGGGTTTTTTTTCAAATGCAGTTGCAGTTTATTACTCATCCCAGAGGAGATTTTTTTCTTGTCCCATCTGCAAATCTTGTTTCGAGATAAAAATGTGCTTGAATCGAGACAAATTGAACCAAACATAGCTATTTTCTAAGTTATTTTTGTGAAAGAATCATAATTTTGTTTCAGACACACATGAAAACAGACAAAGGAGAGTGAATAGATTACAGACAAGGAAAAAAGAAATTCTTTCACAGTGCATGTAGGACACACAAAGGCTCCAACACACACAAAACTAAAAAAAGGTAAAACAATGTGTGGGTGGTTGTGGCACAAAATATCTGGTTTTGTAGCCTTCATTTTTTAATTTAGTCCACTGGATCTTTTGACAAATAATAATATATAGATATGTTACTTATTTTACTAAATGGATATAACATACAACTTAGAAGATTGTGATTTTTGAATGCTGCCACCTGGTGGAGGGAGAGACTTCCTACTGCCACTACCTCCCGTATTATTTCTACAACTTGACTGTTAACTATGAAAAATACTCTCCAAAAGGTGTTCCCCAAATCCAGTATCATTATAAAACTATAGATATTTGTCATGTATAAACGTTACAAGAAAACCCCTACAAAGCAAAATAAAGCCATGCGTTTCTGTATTGTGTTGTTACCAGGCGAGTTCTGCGGAGAGGAGACCGGCGATCCCCGTGGCGACTGGCAGTAGCTGGGGTGCAGTAAGGCGTGTGGAGGCACATAAGACATCACCTCGTCTTCAAACAAACTGCAACGAGAACAAAACATGAGAGAGGAGCTAACGGGACAGTCCTGCACAGTGTGGGCGGGTCCCGGCTCAAAAGTGTCCAAAATGACGTGCGCTGACATGCTGCAATACCCCCCCGGGCCTGTGGGGGTGGACCCAGAATAACAATTAGCTGACCTCTCTCAAACGTCTTTACAGGATGGTCCAAAAGTCGTATCTTGGCCCAAAGCTCCGTTCCACATGTGTGTCAATGCTGAGGGGAGTGAATTTTTTTGGACCAGTCTAGTTTAGTCGCTGTGGATTTTTTAAGTCACTCGTTCAAATGAATGGAGCTCGTGCAGCTGACGCATGCGCAGATGTGTTTTTTTTTCACATTTTCCAGCCCCCGCGTCCATTTTGAAACTGCCAGTAGACTGCAGAAGTTGTGGCACATTAGTTAGAGCGGCGGAGATAGGCGTGACTACGGCCGTTAATATTTACAGACTATGGTCCTGCATCATCCAGGGAGGAGGAAGAGGAGGAGGAGGGGGAGGAGAAGAAGCGGGGGCTGGTGGGGAGACCGGGGGCTCACCTCAACAACATGACCAGGTCGGCGTCTCCAGACAACCGGGCCAGACCTGAGGCTCCGTCTGTGCGGATCAGCTGCACCTTCTCCCTGTTGGAGCAAGACCAATGATTAAAGATGAGGAACCTCTCACACAAAAATGACTATTATATGTATGGTGCTTTTAGAACACTTTTTGTTATTTTTTTCACTTGAAGTTTGGGTTATCTGAAGGTCGTTCTGCAAAAACGTTGGTCTTTATTTAACATCGATAATGAAATATGTCTTCTGTTGTACACGACCCCAGACCTCCGCTTTTCTCATTTTTCTCACATGTTATAAAAATTATCACATTTGTTCCTTGCTCACAAAATTGTTCAGTTCCTTAAATATTCCACATTCACGTATATTTAGCCTCTGACACATCTTAAGATCAGCTTCTTTTTTTTAAAAGACAGAAACATGGGAATAAGAGAGACCACCCACACACAGCCAATAAGCTACAAGCCCTAAAAAGTCAAATAGTGACTCACAGAATGCATACTTTTGTACTTATGTGTAATTTGTCACTTACACAAAACCGTTTCTGCGGAGACAAACAATATGTATTATTTATGAACAGAAACGTTAAGTACCCCAGCTTTAAAACAACACAAGACAAGTGTAGACATAATTGTGGTAACTATTATTCAGAAAAAATTAAAATATTGGGAATTTTACAAAATGTACGTTAACCCTTGTACAGTGAGTGATGAAAAACATGTATTATTTGGAGGTTGCCGTTCCTACCTGAGTGAATGATTGCGGCTGAGGTCGGGCTGTCTCTCCTGCAGGATCTCGAAGATGTTGGGTTGCCGTAGAAACGCTACAATCTTGTCATTGTAAGCTGAGGGAGGAAGTCAGCGAGGTTAGATCGGAGAGAAAAGTCTGTTTTAGAAATGGCTGAATGGAGGATGTTTACTGACCCACTGGAACCACGTCCTGGCTCTGCACTCTGCCTGAGGAGGTGAAGGTGTTGGAAGAGCGTGGGAGGACCGGGGGGCCGGGGTGACGGGGGTCCTCTCCAGCCTACAGAGACATACACAAGACTGCTATCAGGCACTAGCTTTGCAGGAGGCAGGACATGTTTATTCAAGGACATTTATGGACATTGGTCATCTGCCCCTTATGGACCAATGGCTCTGTGTTTTTTATCAGTGCATATCTTGTGTTTAAACGGTTTGATTCTCTGATCTGTGTTGGCGATTTCAACGTTTTTAGAGCTGTACAAAAATACATTGAATTGGTATGTTGAATTCGCATACATAACAAGAAATGCAATGATAGAAAACACATAGAGCCATTGGTCCATAAGGGATCTAACATGTCCATAGATAAATATGGATAGATATATAAATAGATAAATATGGATAAATAGATAAATACTTGGGGTGGGAAATACTGTGTTGATAAAATGTCAAGATATTTTTCATAAATTGGACTCTGAAAGGAAAAAAACAGCTGGATTGACGTTTTGTAGGCCCCTCACCAGTCTCCTGGGGCTGACCTCCCCTGCACTGTGGCTGCGCTGGCGTGTGAGGTGGTGCCTATGAGCCAGGACACTCGGGGGTCGCGAGCTCTGCAGAGGCAGCCGCGGGTCGATGAAGGTGGTGGCCCGAGAGTTATGGTCCACAAAGAAAGTCTGGAAGACCACAACAGGAGCTCTTGTTAGTTTTATCCAAATGTGAGTGCAAACGGCAGATTGAATATTTTTTTTATTTTTTTTGAGTAAATACAATAATGTTACAAATAAACAAAAAACTTACTACAAATTTGCTGTAATAGAATAACAAATAATAACAAATCAAGATTAGTTTTAAAGTTAATTACCACTTTAGACCTAGTATAGTTTTCACATTGCAAATTATTGTAGTCCAAACTGCACAGACTTCTTTAGAAATGATTGAGCCAAAAGTATCTAACAGATCAAGTTGTGACATGGAGAAAACACTGGCCTGTTTTAAATAGTTTAAAACAGCATGTTTATGGGAGGAAGACAACACACCCTCGATGGGAGAAACATTCGTCTTATGAGAGTCCGTGTGCTATTTTAAATATGTTTGGCATTGCGACCACGTAACCAGGACCCGAACACATATATCCTATATTTGTATCCACAATTTGCTTGCACTAAAATATCAAAGACATGCTTTTATTGATTAAATACAACCTAATAAAACCAAACCTAATTCAGTACAATTTTCCACTGCCCACTTTAGCTTCACTGTCCCCAAACATGAACTCAGGAACCATAATTCCACTCAAACCCACAGAGCGTGTGAAGTGGTACCTTGCCGGTGTGGTCCTGCTTCATCTCCCAGCCCCGCGGCAGCTCCAGCTGTTTGTTGGCGAACATGTTGAGGAAGGCCACCAGGTCGCGGTTGTGCTGGTAACGCTCGAAGTGGTGCGTGTCGCGGCGCACTTTACTGATCATATGTTTGAGACACGTGTTGGCGGTGAACATACGGTAGGCACTCTGAGGCACAGCAGGAGGTCCAGGCAGCAAGAGACAGAGGAGACAGATGAGACAGATGAGACACAGAGGAGACAGATGACAACAACCACCAGAAAGACTCGGAACAGAGACTTTGTTATAGAGCAGGGCTGTCAACCTTTTTGGGTCGGGGACAAATTTAAAAACATAAGAGCTGTTGGAGCCAGAAGTATAAAAGTGGTTTTCTTTTATTATCTTCTTAAAAAGTATTTATTTTTACATATTTTAGTTTTTGACACATTCATTTATTTTCTAATAGGATTGAATTCAACCACAACTGCGATTATGATAATTCAAAATCCTTTTAGCTGCCAGTAAACATGGCCCAGAAACAACAGAAAATAATATAGCTCCATATATTTTGTCATTTGTAGTTCTGTTACTTATCACTATGGACAGAACTCTTTAGAAATGATAAGGCCCAAGTATCAGCCTAAAATCCCAAGTTTCTAATTGTGATGGTTAAAAAGGCAGTATAATGGAAAAGACAATAGATAATGAGCTAGAAAACCCAGATAAATGTGTAAACGTAGAGTAAAAAGTGTGCGTACAAGGTTGGAATGCAGTACAGTGAAGAAGTCGGGGCTGGTGAGAAACTTGGCGCTGGGCGACTGGAGCAGGAGGGTGAGGCGAGAGCGGGAGCTGGAGCTGGGAGGGGCCGGGCTGGGGTCCCGCCGCAGGTCTGCAACAAGACACCAGAGAGTCTCATCATACATGGACCGGTTTGTACACACGACGTATGTACACACGACGTATGTACACACAACGTATGTACACATGGACCTTTAACATTCTACACAACATGTATGGACATTTTTCAACATGTGTTCTATATTCTTTATGTGTTTTAACTGTTGATTCTCTGATCTGTTTAATGGTTTTGTTAAGTCTCTGAGATGACTTCTGTTGTGATTTAGGGCTATACAAGAATAAATTGTATTGTAAACACGGACCTTTGTACACACAACGTATACACACGGACCTTTGTACACACAACGTATACACACGGACCTTTGTACACACAACGTATACACACGGACCTTTGTACACACAACGTATACACACGGACCTTTGTACACACAACGTATACACACGGACCTTTGTACACACAACGTATACACACGGACCTTTGTACACACAACGTATACACACGGACCTTTGTACACACAACGTATACACACGGACCTTTGTACACACGAACATTTGTAAGTATAACTATTAACGAACAAAGTGACGCCTATTTCGCCCACATCTAATTTGAAAAAAAAAAAAAAGTTGTCCTTAGGTTGTTTTTTTCATGATTCGTGAGAGTGAAAACCAGAAATAGAACCAAACTGTTTAGAGAGACAGGAACTAGTGGCATACCGATTACTTTGCTCATTTTTTTGTGGGTTGAAAAGTCAGGTACCCGAGCTTTAACACAGAGCAGAGAGACTCACCTCCGGATGAAGGCTGCGAGTCCATCTCATCTGACAGCAGCTCGGCCTCCGGCGGCGTCTCCTCCGGGCGACTGTCGTTGGTCATAGTCCGGCGAATACTCTGATACCTGGACACAACACCCAACAATGTTATTTAAGATTCAAATTATAAGATTCTTTAATCCTCCGATAATGGGGACATTTCAGTGTTGCACCGCCGGTTAAAGAACAGTATGAATGAGAAGCACATAGCATAACAAAAGTACAATAACTCTACACTAGAATCAAATCAAATCTCTGACTTTAGCTTAAAAAGAAGCAAGCGAAACATCTCTAGCGTTAGCATAATAAGGACGCAAATCTGAACTCTTCACCTTTAGCAGAATGAAGAAGCAAGCTGGTATTTGTTTGTACGTCTGCATCTGTATTGTGTGTCTATATTTTCACAATAAAAAAAAAAAACTAATAATAAAGAAGCAAGTATAAAATTGTATTTATATATCTTACATTAGAAAATACAGTTGTACGTATACATCTGTACATGTTAGCAGCATAAAGTCAGCAGTGTTTGTTAGTCCTCATTGTTCGTTGTACAGTCTGACAGGAGCAGTTTGACAGCTTAGAGTGAAAAAACCCCTAAAAAAAACAACTTATACTTCGACAGGTTCACCTTCGATTGAGCTGCTCCATTTGCTGAATGGAGCTGGACCTCTGCATGGTCTGGGGGGCAGGGGGCGCTGTGGGCCTCTGCCAGGTGGTGGTCCGGTTCACGTGGTCCACATAGAAAATACGGCCGTGGCTGTCAATGCGCGCTTCCCAGTCTGCAGGACAATAACAAAACCGCACACACACACAAAAAAACAAAAAACACGCAACATTAGGCTCTGGATAAACAACTAATCTAACTGAGATTTTGCCCCGTCTGTTGCCCGCGGCGACGAGGATGTGTTAACAGCGTGTTGAGAGGAAAGTACAAGCAGCCTGGCGCCAAATGACTCAAGTGTCTGGACGATTGGGCGAATGCTTCTGCGAACACTGGACACGTCTCAAAGGAAAACAGACATCGATGTTGTTTGTGGATTAGTGAAGGAGCTGAAAGCATGTCGACATTTTGGCAAGAGCTTTTCTCGTTAAGACTAGAATTTTAAATAATTATAGAGATGGACAAGGCTCTTCTACACCGCTTCAGGATGGTCAAAAGTGGGATGCTTCTCAGTGTGGCGTTGAAAATGAATAGGTTTTATTTTTTTGGCGCCATTCTAAGCACTCACGAGCACATTTGGAACAGAGTTTGAAACCCAATACTTTTATTCTACCTTTTCTAATATGAAATGAGTGTATAGTTCATTGCCTTTTTGTTTTTTAAATCACTTGTGGCAAAGTAAATTGTGCATGAATTGTCCTTATGATGCTATCAGATCTGAATCTCTGCTCTACACAAAACTGTATTTCACTGGCAGTATTTGTGCAAAAGCATGAGTTAAGTTAAACAAACAATTACATGCATATTAAGACAATCTCGTCATGCGGCCTCGTCTCCATGGCGATATCCAACCATCTCTAAAAACTCGAGCATTAGCGCCGAACGGCAGGGCACTCACTCGGAGGCAGCGGCTCGTCCACGCGCTGGTATCTGCTGATGTCATGGTGCACAGATGGCAGAGTGCGGACAGTCTGATGCCCATTGACCTGAGTGCCTCCACCTACACACACACACACACACACATATACACACACACACACACACACACACACACACAATCATGAGGAGAAACCAGGAGGCGTTTATTAGCACCGCAGAAACTGATGAAATTGAATCAAGAGGTTTCTATCTTAATTTGAGTACATTCTACTGTGTTAAAAACATAAATGTCACTAAATTAATTCATGTTTCTTTATTTTCTCATTTCAAAGGGAGACATTTCTTGTATCTTTTTAAAACAAGATCATTTTGCTTTGTCCCGTTGGCAAATCTTGTTTTAAGGCAGTCAAAATGTGCTCAAAATAAGATACATTTAGCCAAAGACATTTTTTATTTATTTTTAATCACTTTTTGCAGTGAAAGCCAGTGCAAAAAGTCAAATTATATGTAATATTTCTCCCTCTACACCTCAGCCCTGTTTTGGAATACTTTAAAAAAGGGATCAGTATGTGAAAATATGGCCAAAAGTGGTACTGCAGCCCCTTCCACTCTCCCCGACAACGGTTGCCAGATATGCAGACGAATCCAGCTGGGACCATAATAACAATGAAAATCTTGCATATCTTACATAGTTACACTTTTACTGACTTTTATTTTCATTTTTTGATTTTATGTGATGTTACTTTGGTCGCCTTGAGTTGTTGTAAAGCGCTCTATGTATAAAATATGAATTGATTGAATTTAATCCCAAAAAGGTTGCAATTTAGGGCACGGCTAGAATGTACGGGAGGAGAATATTTGGGGAATATCTGCGCCACGGCCTCTCCAGCCCCAAACACGACACATTAGCACTGAGAAGACCCATGTTTGAAGTTTTAAGTCTGTGTGCGACATCACTGCTTTTTCTTTTGTTTTGGCTCATGGGTCCAGAGGTTAAACAGCCACAACTGTCCCGTCTGTAATCCTGCAGCTTTTGGCAACAGCGCGGCGCTTGTTCCGTGCGGCTGAAATAAAGCTGAGGTCTTTCCAAATCCCCAAATGCTCAATCCTCTGAATCTGGGGAAGGGTCAGACTAAATATGATCTGTCTATTGTTACCAACTCATAAACGTAATGAAAACAGTGGTACGGGAACAAAATAATAATTCAGGATAACTTCAAGAACTCTTTCTTTTCACGATATTCTTTTCCGCAAATCATAATGTTTTGATATTGTTAAAGTATATTTTTAAACCTTAAAATTGACTCTCTACCAAGAAGTTCTTTGAAAAAACAGATATATTTTCATTCCATATAAATAAGGTCTCACCCCTTCTAGAGAAAACTATATCAAGAGTAACATTTCAAATTGGAGATATTGGTTTTTTGCAAATAAACTCTGGATTTGAAAGCCTGATGCTGTCATATCTCAGAAGCTAAGCAGGGCAGGGTCTGGTTAGTCCTGTGATGGGAGGGACTACTGGTACAGGCAGCTTTGGTCACAGCAGTAGTTTATCACCGATATGTACCAAGTGGATGAATAATGCCATGTGAAGTATCTTTGAGTGTCCAAAAAAGCTCTCTATGAAACCAAAGCATAGTTATTATCATCGTTAGTGCTGGTCTTATCTGCCTGAGGCCCGGATCAACACACACACCCTCTGACTTGGACTGAAACGATTGGATAGAAGCTGAACCTGAGTCTGGCGGCTGGTTTGTAGACATTCCTCCAGCGGCCTGTAGAGAGCGCCGTCTCCTCCACACGCCCCCAGCCTCGGCCCCCTCTGGCCCCTGAGAGCCCGCCCTGCTGCTGCTGCTGTTGCTGCTGCCGCCTCTGGCTCCTGTAAACCGGTTTTGTCATCACTGCAGCTGTGATTCAGACCAAACGAATTTTGTTTTTTTATATATAAACGCACCGTGTTCAGAATCAGCCGTTCTCTCTGTGCCCGATGTCTCCACTGGACCGTTGGCCTCACTGCTGGACGACTCCACCCCCTCCTCCTCTGCCTTGGGGGCCATCTCTTTACCCATGTCCACCTCCTGTTTCATACATAAAAGGCACATGTAGTTTAGTTTATTTAAAGTGGCAGAAACAGTGTGCAATATTGACTGCCAGCCGTTTTTGGTGCTTTCACTGACTTTCAAAACCCACGGAATATTGTGTGCTGTGACTATGTGAAATATGAAACCAGATTCTGAAAGACTGAACTGCCTACTTTTATCAGCAAAAATAAGTTGGTTTCTAGCTAGTTTTGTTCTCCTGTAATCCCCAGTCCAATAGAGGGAAGTTCGACAAAAATCACTGGTCTCAGACAATGGCAGTCAATGGTAATTTTCTTTTTTATATAATTAAAACTTTGAAGCTCTCTCTAATATTTTATATTCTGATAAAGATTGTGTATCAAAGTCTGTTATTAATGTTTTTAGGACATTAACTGTGAATAGAGTGAGTTAGAAATGTCAAGAGAATATCCACTAAATTACGGAAACATGTACAAATCTTTCAGGGGCCAGTTCTAAAAGATTACCATAGATTATTAAGTCATGATGTGTGTTATTGGTTACACTTTTATTTGTGTAATTCAAATCTCGGGTTAACGGTTTTAACTCAGCAAAAAGGCTTTATAATCTTTGTCACTCGCACACAGCCCTCTCAAACTCCTTAGCACATTAGCGTTATGTTTGGGATTATTCGAGTTCCCACTAGAAATTAAGAAATTCAGCTCAGCCAATCAGAGCAAATCTAATCTAATCTATCGACTCTCTCTTTCTATCTATCTCTCTACTCAATCTTCCATCTAATCTCCTTATCTCTACTCTCTCTTCTATCTATCTATCTAATCTATCATCCATCTATTCTTTAATCTATCATCTACTCTCTCTTCCATCTACTTATCTTTCTATTCATTTTCTTAATCTAATCCATCTATACCTCTACTCTCTCTTCAATTTAATCCATCTATCTCTCTACTCTCCATCTATCTACTTTATTTAATCTATCTATTTGTGTATTTGTTAGGATGGTGGTGGGACAAGCAGATGGACATGAGCGATAAAACACATGTCTCACCTCGATGGGGGAGAGAGGGCCACACATCAGGGCAGAGCTGCACAGGACCTCTTGGTTCATGGTCCGGTTATGGTTCTGGTTCTGGTTCTGGTTCTGGTTGGGACAGGTGCACTCCAGACCGGGGTCTGTTGCACCGGCTTCAGCCCCGCCCACTGCACCCGCTTCAGCCCCGCCCACTGCACCTGATTCAGCCCCGCCCATTGCACCGGCTTCAGCCCCGCCCACTGCACCGGCTTCAGCCCCGCCCACTGCTCCTTCAGCTCCGCCCACTGCTGCAGCTTCAGACTGGGCTGAGGTGGAGGCAGGTTCTGATGGACATCCCATATCGTTAGCAGCAGCAGCAGCAGCAGTAGTAACAGTGATCTCAGGGGTGTGGTTGGAGGCGGTCTCTTCTCCGCCTGGACCCCCACACGTCTCGGTCTCTTCGGTTTTGTTTTGACCACTTGAATCCTCTTGAACGTCCTGAGATGTCAAACTGGTTCTGTCTTTAGCCGCTCCGTTCTCCTGTTGCGATGTTGATCCTTGGCTTTGTTCTGCGGAAAGTTGAAAATTGACACCGAAAAAAAATAAAAATCTTGATAACAATCCAGCAAACATGACAATACGTATTTCTTTAAGGTATATAGGGGATTTTTTATAGATATATATAGAGGATTTTTTACGGGTGGATCATCAAGACTATTGGTCCTCCCAATTGCTTGATCTACCTTCAATGTAATAATTCAGTCATTTAATAATTTTAAAATAATTGGTCAGGGGCCGAATAAAACTGGTTTTCTTAGTGACAAGTTATTAATTTTTTATGTATGTATTTTATACCTTAGCAAAATCGTTTTAATTAGTTTGGATATTATTTTTTGTTACTTTTTTTATTAACAAAATGAGACAGTACCAACAGTAAAGAAATGCAATGTAAACAGTAAAATAAAAATCTTTAGCTTTATATAATTATTTTATTTATTTGACTCATTTGAGAGGATAAACCCATTGAGATGCATCCTCTCGTTTTCATTAAATGTTGGGTTCAAAATTATGAATGAATAACGCCTTATTAGTCCCATGGTGAGGAAATGACAAATAAAAACATACGGCCTGTGAGTTAATAATACTGCACTCCTTTTGGTTTCTTTTTCAGAAATGTGATGTTCTCAATACTCAAACTATTGTGCTCCTTCTGGTCCATTCCCACCTGTGCTCTGCTCACCGCTCTCCTCCTCTTCGTCAGAGTCGATGTGCAGCATGGCGTTGAGCCTGGTGTCGGTGGGGAAGCTGGACCTCAGTTTGGGGGACGGTCCCAGCAGACTCCGCTCCTGGGCGCTTCTCTGAGCCTCCAGCGCGTCCAGGTAGTCGTTGAGAGACACCTGTCGATGCGTGTGTCTGCTGCCTGCCTCCACCGCCGCCGCCGCACCATTGTCCCGCCCCTGACCCGGCTCCGCCCACACGTCGTGGTAGTAACCGGCCCCGTTGAGCAGGGAGCCCTCGTCGGAGCCCGTGGGGGAGGCGCCGCAGGCCGCGCGGGAGGACGAGGCGTGAGGGTGGGGCAGGTCCTCGTCGTCAGAGGGGCTGCCCGGGTCGCCGTTCACCGCACCGGCCAACATGGCTCCCACCGCGTCCGGAGAAGCTTCTGGAAGAAACGCCACAGTTTGTGATGGTGAGATGGGTAAGAATGATAATAGATTTTTGATCAAAACAACATTAAAAACTTGAACTCCCAGAGCGTAATTTTCTACCAGTTTTATTAAAAGTAAGACATTTATAGGTTTGTTTATTTATTTTTCTACTTTTTTTATAACATGCCATTGAAACAGTTTGGTGAAAGGCTACCAAAGTAAGTAAGTTATCTTTTTACAAGCAGATACCAACGGACATTTAACTGTTACGTATGAATTCAACAAATGAACGGAGCAGTGAAAATGACGACTACGGTTAAAAGTTAAAAGGTAGAACTACTAAAAATAAAGAAAATAAAAATCATAGAAAAAATGACATAAAAATAACCTTACACTTTCCGCTCTCTTAACCCCCATAGCATCACATGTAGCACACAAACCTTCTTGTCCAGTGGAGGTGATGGAGACTTTGAAATGCAGCTGACCGCTCACATGGTCCGTGGGAAGGCGACGGCAGAGGCTGTAGGTGACCGGCTGATCGCTGCACAACACAACACAACATAACACAACACGACAGAACACACAAGTCTCAGCTTAAAATCCTTGTGGAAAATATCTTTACAAACACCATTACCCTCTACACTGCAAAAGGTGATGAAAGATAAGCTGGAAATCGCTCAAATTTGGCAAAACGCATCTTAAAATGTATGCAAGATTTTCATTTCAAGTCATCGTTAAAGGGCCCTAATCTGTCAAAAGACATTAATAAAACATGCTCTTTTCTAATACTTCTTTAACTGATAACAGTAGGTCAGAGATTTTTGAATTTCAATATTTGTTTTGCAGCCCCTAAATCGTTTTCATTTCGATGTCTCGCCCTCCACTGTTTTACCAATCAGAAAGTCCGTGATCCGGGTTGCCAGAACTCACCGTACCATGTGGCCACTCTCAAATTATTAACGACAAAACAAGAAATAAAACCAGGATTTGTATCTTTGTGAAAAAGGTGTTGGTTATAGATTTGTTGTTGACAAAACTCTTGTCTATTCAGATGTTATGGTCCCAGCTGGATTCATCTGCATATCTGGCAACCTGAGTCAGGGAGAGTGCAGTACCACTTTTGGCCACATTTTCACATATTACTCCTTTAATTTGAGCACATTTTGTCTGCCTTAAAACAAGATTTTCAAATAGGACAATAAAAAAAAATCTCCCTTGATATGAGAAAATAAAGCAACAGCTCTTGAAAAAAGTCTAAATGGCTTTGTCCCATTGGCAAATCTGGTTTTAACACAGTCAGAACGTACTCTTTAAGCAATAAAACCACATATTTTTTGTCTTGTTTGCAGTGTTCTGGAGAATATCTTTACAAACACCATTACCCCTTACAATTACTATGCAGATAAACATTGAGCTCGGGACACAGAGAGTTGCAGAGGTTGCCCAGACTGTCGGATCAATAACCGGCCAACAATACACTGATTAGATTGCATTGAATTCTGCTCCAAGTTGAGCCAATATTTTTCTATTTTTTATTTTCTTCATTTGACCCCTTTCCATCTTCTATACGTACTCTGCGGCCGATCCATCCAGGAGCCTTTGAACCGGGATGATCAGCTGTCCCAGGAACCTCTTGATAATCGGGCGGCTTTTTGCAAACTTATCTTTGACCTCGATCTCCAGCACGTCCGTCATCAGCGCCACGAAGGTGTATTTCTGCAAATGGAAGAAGAAGAAGGTTAGCAAACATATGAGGTCATAAAGTGCTTAAAATCAAGTTGTTTTTATCTTAATACGAGTCAAAATGTGCTAAAATTAGGAATCATTTCACTAAATTTGAGGAATTTTTTTCCATCACATTTGGCTTTGTGTGTGTGTGTGTGTCAGAGATGCACATAAGTCTCTGACCCGCAAGTCCAAGTCCAAGTCCCTAGCCCAGGAGTCCAAGTCAAGTCAAAGTCGCTGGGTCCTGGGAACATTATGACCACGTTAAGGCTGCGCGCTGCCGCGTTGACAGAGCGACTCACAGCTCAGACACAACTGATGCACAAAGTGAAGAGCCAACGCGTGCACTCCCGCACAGTCAAGACCCGCGATCGAGCGTGCACAGCCAAAGAGCGCGCACCCTTACCAGCCGGAGAAATGGATGGACCTGGAGCGTCAGGACTCGCAATGTTCACAAGTCCAAAAACAACGAGTCCGAGTCAAGTCCGAGTCTTTAGGGGACGAGTCCGAGTCGAGTCCCGAGTCTTTAGGGGACGAGTCCGAGTCGAGTCGCAAGTCTCTAAAAATATCGACTTAAGTCGGACTCTGAATCGAGTCCAACTTAAGTCGATATTTTTAGATATTTTCTTGCGAGTCCCCATCTCTGGTGTGCGTGTGCGTGTGCGTGCGCGTGCGCGTGCGCGTGCGTGCGTGCGTGCGTGTGTGTGTGTGCGCGTGCATGTGTGTGTGCGTGTGTGTGTGCGTGCGTGTGCGGACAGACCTCTCCTTGCCACACTGGGTTGATGGTGTTGGCGATGATGGAGGATCTTCTCTCCTGGCCGTGGTGTGTGAACTTGGGCAGGGCGCTCCTCTTCCCCGGCAGGATGGACATCTTCAGGTACGGGTCCGGGTTGAAGAACATCCCCTTTTTTAATCCAACTGCTGCAATTTCTAATATGAAGAAGGAACAAGAGTTTTTACTTTGCATTCCTGTAACAAGAAAATCTAAACCACACCTTTTGAGTAAGAGGGCCACTTTAGTTCACCAGTGCTTGTCCAGGATTGTAAAACTATTTTTTGACTGGAATCGGTCTATTTTGACATGTAAAAGGAGGTACAACATGACTATTTATCTATATATAAAACCAATACATTATTATTATTAGGGCTGCACGATATCGGAAATTAGAGCAATATTCAATATGAGTGTTTAGTATTTCGGTAACGATATTATTGCGATATTTTTGTCTTTCACCTAAAACTCCAATCTGCATTAAAACGCAAGAGACAAATCACAAAAAATAAGCACAACATTAATGACATTCAAATGCATAATATTTATATACTTTTTAGTTTGTTTGTTTCTTTGTTGTTCTTGTTGAATGTGTCTGTTTTGTTGTCTGTAATAAAGGGAAACAAAAACATTAAAAATTATCACGCATCTTTTCAATATGGATATCGAGATAGCAATATTTTTTCAATATATCGTGCAGCCCTAACCCTAAACCGGCCATTATTATTATTATTATTATTATTATTATTATTATCTGTCATTTCAACGGTAATTTAGGTTAACAAGGCAGGGGCCACATAACAACCACAGCGGGCCGCAAATGGCCCTTGGACCCAAGTTTGGACATGCCTAATCTAAACCAATATTCTTGTTTAGTATAGACAGAAAGCTGCTCACAGACTTGAAGAAAGGTGATATATTGGAATTAAGTTAAGATCTTGAGTATATAACTAAGATTTTATTATAATAATAATAAAGCGTGTAGAAACGTGTATTATCCACATTTATCTGCACAGGGGGAATCGGTTCATGTGTGCTTTGCGTGATTTTGCCACACATTGTACAACCAAAGCTGTTAGACCCTTAATTTTTTATCACCATGTTTTATCTCAGGTTTGGGAAAATCGGCTGACAATTTTAAAATCGTCTCGCGTGAACCAGGCTTTAATGTGAATCGATCTTGTGTGGAGCGGACCCCTAGCGACCACTTGTAGAAGCAATGGAGTTCCAAAAAACCCCCCCAAAAAATCACGTAATAAATAAATAAGTACATACATAATTAAATAAACAACCAAAACCAATAAATATATAAAATGGACCTATGGCTCTATGTGTTAAAAACAAAACAAAAAACATTGCATTCCTTGTGTATGAACCGTTTGATTCTCTGATCTGTTATGGCAAATCGGCAACTTTTCTAAAATCGCCACTGCTGTGATTTAGGGCTGTGCAAAAATAGATACAATTGAAGAGAATAATAATAATAATAATAATAAAAACGTCTCACCTGCCAAAGTGAAGCTGACCAGTTTTCGACAGTGTTCGGTCCCCAGCTGTTCCTCCGCTTGTCCGTCACTGCCCAACTATACACCAACACAGCAACACAACAAACTGAGGCTACACAACTGCAAACACAACAGTCAAAAGGCGATTCCTGAAGAAACGGCTCCTTACTCCGTGTCGCCAACAGCCCAATGACATCCTGGTTCTGCATCCCTGCTCTAAAGTCCTCAAGGCAACTTTGCACCAAAACAAGAAATATTCACACAAATCCATTCAAACTGCAGCGGACCCACAAATAATCATTTCTAAACACACACACACACGCAAAAAATATATGTGTTTGCGTTCACACAAGCCACGCCAAAAAGCGGGAAACTGATATGTGTGTTTATTTGGTGAAGTAGAATGGGGAGGATCTACGCTGGGTAATCGGATCACAGGCAGCTGCAAACCAATCAGATGGCAGGATTAGGGATGTGGTCGTTTCATGTCAAATCGCACACACACACACACACACACACACACACACACACGCACACGCACAAACACCAGAGCCACATGGCCCGATAGGAGGGGGTCTAATCTCCACAAATTCATTTAAATAATGTAACTCTCGCTTCCATCTTTAAATATTGGCAGTTTTAGAAGTTACAGTGAGTGTGAAATAAGTTGTATTTTTAGAGAGATTCCAACGTCCATTCATCCAGATGTCACTACTGTACACACAACGCAAAAAATGACAAAAAACAAGTCACACAATTGCTATTTTTCTTGGTTTTAGTCCATTATGTGTTGCCAAAATGGACTAAAATCAGGACTTGCCAATGGGACAAGCAAATATGTCTTGTTTTTGAAAAAGGGGCAAATCAATTCTAACTTAAAAGAAATGAAAGACCTTTTTACTCGACTCAACGCAAATGTTGCTTTAAGGCTGACAAAATGGACTAATATCAAGATAAATTTAAAGCCATTCAAATTTCAAGTCACGATCCATTTTGTGTTCAAGAGCCAAGATAAAAAAAATGGCTCGATTCAAGGATTTACCCCCTTATATGCAATCCGTTTTGAAAAGATAATTAGTTAACCTTGAAGTTCAGTCAATATAAGTGTGTTATTTAATTTCTGTGTAGTTGCATACCACTTGAGCCTGAATATTAATGATAAAAAAAACTATTTACCAATGAGGGAAGATGTTGCTTAAACTGCAAAAAAGTCCAAATAATTTCTTTTAAAACTATTTTGAGTACATTTTGACAACCGTAAAACAATAAAACCATTCGTTTCAAGCAATTACGACCTCATATTTGATCATTTTTTACAGTGTAGGTTCTGTTGACATCATAATCAAACATAGATATGTGTGATATTATTCGCACGTTGGGTTTTTTTTTGCAGTTAAATGACGAGGACAGCTCTAATGTAGCTCTAAAGTTAAATGGGCAGCTCTAATGTAGCTCTAAAGTTAAATGGGCAGCTCTAATGTAGCTCTAAAGTTGAATGGGCAGCTCTAGCGTGTACTTACAGCCACTCCAGGGTTCCGGACCGTGATGCAGGGCGTGGTGGCTCGCAGGGCGCCGCTCACTCCGTGGTAATACTTAAAGCAAACCTTTGTCTCCGCTGCGGACACACACACACACACACAGACACAGACACACACACAGACACACACACACACACAGACAGACACACACACAGACACAGACACAGACACACACAGACACACAGATACACACACAGACACAGACACACACACACACAGACACACAGATACACACACAGACACACACACACACAGATACACACACACACACACAAACACACACACAGACGCACATAGACACACACACATACACACACACACACAGACACACACACACACACACACACACAGACGCACACACAGACACACACAGACACACACACACACGCACACACAGACACAAACAGACACACACACAGACGCACACAGACACACACACAGACACACACACAGACGCACACACACACACACACACACACACACACACACACACACGCACACACACGCACACACACACACACACAGACGCACACAGACGCACACACACACGCACAGGTTTCATCTCTATTTCAATCGAGTGCTATGTACAGGGCAGATTACAAACAAAAGAAACATATTAATTCGTGCCATGCTCCAAGTTTGAGGATTTCCACAACCTTCAATATCCTTTTGTCATGTTATAGCACGCACAATTCTGAGAAAATTATGATTACACCAAGATTAAAGCTCAATCATAAAGGACAGATCTCTGCAGACAAAAAGGGAGAAAAGATATAAGCTTGAATTCAGGAACGGTTCTCCTGATTTTAGTTTATTTTGGTTTAAAAAAGGAACATGGAAGTATTTTAAACCTCGCTCTTGGCAGAAGCATCATCCTTTTATATCTTTTTATCATTTATATAAACTGTCAACATGTCTTGCAGCTGGTTGAGAAGGTGAGCTCTCCATAAAAATGTTCTAAAATGTGTAGGAATCGAGTAATGAGGTAATATCTTTTAGACAAATTCTTCAAATGTAACTCTTGATGTTATTTTTGCTCTGAACAAAAAGAGACTAAAATAAAACACAGGATATCAAAAATCTCATTGCAATCTTGGTTAGAAATATCTCTTTTAGATAATTATTAAAAATCGTTCAGCCCGGGGTCTTACGATGGGATTTATATATAATTATCCCATATATTATATTATATTATATAATTATATAACAGATTTTTTCATGATTAAATGATAAATAAATGAGCAATAAAATTAAATAATAATATAATAGTATTTTCTAACAGGCCTTTGTTGATTTAAATGATGAAACTAAAAATATGAGGAAATACAACGTGTAAAAAAAAGTCACAACATTATAAAACACTAGATTATGCCCGTATTAGTGCTTCTAAAGTAAACAAATTAGAAAAACAGGAAGAGTAAGGTTGCCCACAGTCTATTTGAGGTTTTAGTGAGAAAAGGAGGTTAAGCCCCTCTCCGTCTCCGCTGCGGCTCTTATTTTTATCTTTCACATTAAAAATACATGTGCACAATTAACACACAGGCAGCGGCAGCGCACTCACCCTCCATGAAGTAGGGCCCCGGCTCCAGCCTCCACACGACCTGGCCCCTCTGGGTGCCGTTCACGCCGCGGTTCTTCGAGTCCCATACGTTCGCCACGCACGACTCATCTGCAGAGAAAAACAGCCATGAGCAATTATACACAATAATAATAATAATAACAAATAACTCCATATATTAACCAGTGCTAGTTTTAGTGTAGGTGTAACAAATTGTAATTGTCAAAGTGTAACTTTGGTCCTTTTTTTTTCTCGTTTAGATAAAATAATCTCTTACTTTTGAAATGTGAAGAGTTTTACCTTTTTCTAGGTAAAATTTGTATCAACATTTTATGAATGAAACCAATTTATGAAAGCACAATAATGTCTCTAGCTTCATATGGAGTGTGAAATTTGACACATTTTATCAGTAGCAGCAGGCGAGGATGTCAGTAAAAGTGAAGCACTCGTTTGAGGACACTGGGACCATGTGTTAGCTAAACTTTGGAAGATTTAGATGGAGTTACAGTCGTAAATAGTTATTTTGAATCACACATTTGCTCAGTTATGAGGTTTACAGTTGTAAACAGTATATTTAAATACTAAGTGGTATATGCTTAGTATTGTTTAGTATTGCTAAATGCTTAATCATAAACAATATAGCCAAGCTATGATGTGTCACTGATAAACTGTAGATTTTGATGTTGGTTTTAAACATTATCATTAAAGGGAAACTTTCATTGTCAAGAGAAGAACAATTGCTGTTAACAACTGCAGACAACTCTGAGATAGAGGACTTCTCAGATGGGGATGATTATGATCCTGCTTTGGATAAAGTAATTCCACAAGTTGCGGAGCTCATGGATGAGCTCCCTGATTCTTCACCAACTGATTCATCAGAAGATGATCCAGATGAAGAATACACACCACCTGATGCAGCTGAAGAGAGACTCTGAGAATGAGAGCCAGCCACATCATCCACAAGTGCACAGACGTGGCTGTAAACAAAAGCACTGGTACTGGTGAGCCAGTACCAGTGCTTCTCATCATAGACTCTTACAGGAATAAAAATATGGATTATTTTGGTTTTATAAAAGTGTATCATCATCTCATACCTGTCAGTCAGCTTCTGCTCCCACACTCTCCCTGTCTCACCAGCATACAGGCCCACACACACAAGCACACACATTGGCACCCAAACACACACACACACAAACTGTGGGAAACTCAAGTCTGTTTTTACTCTAGCTTTGTTGGTTTCAAAATGTTGAGTGCATTACAATAAAATATATTATGTTTTTATTTTTAGAGCTGGAAGAAGGATAGAATGGACATGGAGAGCCTAGAGTAGAACCCAGGAATGCTGGACGTGGAGAGCGTTGGAGGTCTGCTCCATTTAGCCCAAACTTAGTCCAGTTTCAGGTTGAAAATGATGATGACCTGAAAGATGAACGAACAAGCCACTAGATTATGTGGAGCAATACATTCTCTTACAGCTGATGAAACTCATTGCTGACTGTACAAATGCCATGTCAATTTTTTTTAAAACTCTTTTATTGATATAAAAACAAAATCTAGATGAAAATGCCAATACTTGCAGCTCACCCACACTTTGTACTGTACAGTCTGAAAGGCCCCTCTTAATGCATTTTTTTTTACCAAAACCCTGATTTCTATACATTGACTACATACCATCGACCCAGAAACCAGACATAAGTGGCCAAAGTGTTACAAAATGTCCTTCCATCGCATTGATTAATCCCATAATGAGCAAATAATTGAATGATGTGTGTTTAAAAACCCCATTTCTGGTTTCGTTCATTATAATAAATCATTATTAGTTGAATACGAGACGGGAACAGCTGGAGTCCGCTGGAGGCTCAGGGCTGCGCTTACGAACCGTGGGCCCCTGAGGTCTGGGGCCATCAAACATTAACGCTGCGTAGAAAACATGACAAATGGCCGGAGTCGTGTTAGATCAATGCAGAGCCGTCACACAGGGGCCCACACCACAGTCTCCGCTCAGGCCCTCGCCGCTCTGCTTGGAACCGGTTTAATCTGGGACTGTAATGTAGTGTAAACAGTGATCCAACTGATGCTGAATGTAACATGTAAATTGACCCATTGTGAGATAAATAAAGTTTTATTTAATCTTTTATCTTAATGTAACATTGACTTGGTACATATTTGGACAGTACAGATAGAAATGTCCACACACCGGTATTGAATCAGGTAATAACGGCTATTTTGTGCGCCGGTGTAGATAATTATTCTGTATTTGGTTTATGTTGAGTAAATGAACATAAACTAAAACATCTCTACATTTGATTTGAATAAAAACTAGTTCCTTATGCAATATTTTCTCGTATGTTTAAGGGAATTTAAGGTTGACATAAAAATCAAAAATCAAAGTGCAATTCTATTTCTTTACACATGTGTATTGACAGAAATTAACACATGGACATAATAAAAACGCAAATAACGTTAAAAATCAGTAGAAAAAATGTAAAGAATCTACATGGGATTGATTGAAAAGTTGAGGGTTGATAAGGATCTTAGAAAGTTGCGTTTTAATAATGAAAAGGTGACACTTTATATGTTTTGTAGATGTTATCTTTTGTTTTTGCTCACAGGGACCATGTTTTTTTCACCATGTTTGTGACGCTCCGGATCGCCGTATACAACAGAGCCTTCCAGTTCCTGCCAATATCCAGCAACTATCAGTTCAAGTTTCTGTGCTCTACCTAATTTCTGAATGAATTCTGACACCAAAAAAGGTTAACTGCTAAAACTGTAGAATATTTCCAACACACGCAGTCAGAGAAAAGCAAAAGGCAAGAATCTCCTCGGTCAAAATAGGCCGATACAGATTTTATTTACAGTTCTTCGAGCCGGAATCCTCACAAAACCTGCTTCCCCGAAGGTAAGAGCTTTGCCAAATCTGCTCTTCACACCTTCACAGGGGGCAACAAGGCGTTTAGCACAACCGACCTCACCGACAGCGACAAAACAATGCTATAGACACCGTTCTTACACACACACACACACACACACATAAACACACTCACACACACAAACACACACACACACATGTTACAAACCTTCTCTCGAGACCAAACTGTAGTATTCTATCTGGCGGCTATAACAATAATACTGAGACTTATTTGAGATCATTGTGGAGGATGCAGATGGGAGAAGCCGTGGAGATTTTAATTAAAGATAATAATTGGTGTTTTGGAGACGCCATTAATATTCGGTTTTTCCAACACCATAAAAAGATCATTCAGATGGGAACAGAAAGATATTTTTGAAAACGTGAGATAGATTTGTTTAAAAGACAGCTTCCAAGTTCCTAGCACCTAGTCTGCTTTTTACATTTCACTGTATTTTGGCCTGTTACACTTTTAGATCAGCTTTTGCAGCTCCCATTATGTAGAAAAAAAAGTTTATAAATAAGACAGCATGGCGGGATCTGATTTGTTCATAAAATCAAATTTCCCCAAAACAGATGCTGGAAAAGCAGCTTTTGACATAAAATATAGATCTAATTTAATTTACAGAGAAACAGGAAGTGCATTACTAACTCACCCCAAAGAACAATATGAATGTTTTCAATGTGACAGAAAGAAATGAGTTTGTACGGCTGTTAAATGTTTCATATGAATTCACTACAATTACTGAGTGAACACCAACAGTGGCCTGATGTTCTATAGCAGGAGTCCCCAACCTATTTCACCTGGATAGCTACTTTCTTTAGAGAAGTGTAGAAAAGTGCTACCAGCTAAATGTACATTTAAATCTTCTCCAGTGTGAGGGGACGCATTGTTAACGACATAATGAAAAAGATCATGTAGGGTGAACTCGGGAAAAATTGGACATTTCATTTAATCGATGAAATTGACTGTGGGGAGAAGGTTCGGCGATCCTTAATTTCTCCAAATACCGCACTTTGTGAGCCCTGACCTAACGTCCTAGTTTCACCGAAAATGTAATCGAACATGTGCTTGAAGCGGCCACTTCTCGATTAAGGCCAGGCAAGGCAAGGCAGCACTTCCACCGTAAGCTCATGCACAATCACGTGACTGGATGACGTCGATGCATCTGGTCAATACGCAAGAAATCAGTCCAATAGAGTCAGATCTTGTTGGCGAATTCGACTGTCTTGAAAAGTCCCCAGAGAAAACCACTGCTGTGATTTAGGGCTAACCAAGAATACATTGAATTGAGCGACAGTGACAACATTTTAGGGGCTGTTAGTCAAAGTTTTTCTAAATACCTTTTCAACCTCTCGTGGACTCACCGATGTGGTACAAGCCGATCCAGTCCGTGGCGTCCACCTCCTCCTTGATGTCCCAGAAGATGACCAGATGGCCCTGTCCCATGGTGAGCTGGTACGTGGACGCAGTGAGCGAGGAGCGGCTGTCCGACGTCACCAGGTCCGTGTCGCTGTTGGCGCGCTGCAGCCCGACCGCCGCGCTCTCCTGCGGCTCCTCGGTCTGCAGCGCCGAAGAGGGGGAGGAGGAGTGAGGGTGAGGCACGGCGGTCTGACCCGAACCCGACAGCCCCCGCAGGTGCTCGGGGCCGATGGTGTAGGGCCTGGGGTGAGGGGTCCGCCTGCGCACCGCCAGGAGGTGCTCACGCGCGCTCCCGTTGTTGGAAGACGAGGAGGAGGCGGTGGCGGCTGTGGCCATGGTTACGGGGGAGGGAGGAGGATGATGATGGTGGTGATGATGGTGGTGATGGTGGTGGTGGTGGTGATGGGGGGATGATGGGGTGGGCTGGGGGCGATGGCGAGGGGGGAGAACCGCCGTGGCCAGCGAGGGACGAATGGTGGAGGTCAGGAGAGAAAAGAGAGAGTGAGAAATAATAAATAAAATTAAAGGAAGGAGGGAAGGGAGAAACGGTGATCAGGGCTACATGAAGTGGAATACTGCGTGTGCCATTTAAAACGCTTTTGTCTTTCGAGGCGGGATGTCGGCGAGCAGGAGAAGGCGCTCACGGAGGAGGGAGGGGAGAGACTTCGGGCGGGAGACGGAGAGTCATACGAGGCCGGTTACGGTCCCATGAAGAGATCGGAGGTGGTGGGACGGTCTGAAAGAGACAGCAGAGAGAACGGTGAAGGAAACTTGAACGTAGTAACCAAAGCGGGTCTTTCGATCGAGAGCCAGAGGTGCAGATTTCAACACTTCGAGTAGATGGAGAGATGAGATGAAATATGGATGGGGTTCAATTAAAGCTGGGATACCTGACTCTCAAACCGCAACTGAACTATGCATTCAAATGTGTGTCACTATAGGTCCTTGCTCTAAATCCATTTGGTTCAATCAATAGTTTTCACGTGTTCTGGCCACTGTCATGTCTTTAGATGAGCCTTTTTTAGATGGAGAAGTGAATACATTTAATTAGTGACTCACAAGGCATTTTCTCACAATTATGCACAAGAAAACATTTATTCTGATGAAGTCAAAGGTAGCATGTTGAGGTCTGATACTTTCAAAACTTAAGAAAAACTCATTCTGTTGGGACAAACATAGATTCACATTTTTATTGCGTGTTGGCAAGAAATCAGTCAAAAATTGTAAATAAATGTTTGACTAAAACTGTAAGCTTGAGAAAGACAAGTAAAACTATGACACACACAGAGGACATAATAAAATACCCAAAACCTTTTAAAGTATTATAATATTTCTCAGTCTGTTTTTGACCCATATTGCATCTTTCTTAGTCATTTGTGCAAAACAAAAACAAAAAAACAAAAAAACAACAACCAACCCCAACATGCTCCGAGCTACAAATCCCGCAAACTCCACGCTCTGGCTGTCTACCTCCACTTCCTGACGTTGGCTGCATGCCGTTGTCATGGCGACGGGGGCAGTCATGATGCCGGCGACTAATAAAAGGAACGGTTCTGTTTCCTGACGACGAGTGCGAGCGCATGAACACGAGTGCCCCGGGGGAACGAGGAGGAAGTGGAGGCATAGATGCGTCGCAATAACTTCAACAACACAAATATGAACACACACAGCACCTGCCGACACACACCTCCGCCCCCATTTGTGTATCGCCCTAAATCACAACAGTATTTATCTTTGAGGACTTAACAAACCAACACAGATCAGAGAATCAGATCAAAATGATATTCTATAATAATTCAATAATCTGTTGCTGTGTCCTTAGGCAAGACACTTCAACCCACATTGCCTCGAATGAGTCTGGTGTGTGCGAGAATGATTGGCGGTGGTGGAGGGAGGGGCTGATGGCGCAGACTGGTTGCCTCGCTGTCAGTGTGCCCCAGGGCAGCTGTGGCGACAGTAGTAGTTTATCACCACCGTGTGCGGAGTGAATGAATAATGAGGTGTGAAGAGTCTTTGAGTGTCCAAAAAGCCCTGTACAAAACCAATGCATTATTTATTCATAATTATTTGTTATGACTATGATCATGATATGATTATGATTACGACTAGGATTATGACTATGATTATGACTATGATTATGATTATGACTATTATTATGATTATGACTATGACTATTATTATGATTATGACTATGACTATTATGATTATGACTATGACTATTATTATGATTATGATTATACTATTATTATGATTATGATTATGACTATTATTATGATTATGACTATGACTATTATTATGATTATGATTATTATTATGATATGATTATGACATGGTTATGACTATTATTATGATATGATTATGATATGATTATGGCTATGATTATGATTATGACTATTATTGTGATCACTCTAGTTCACCCACACAAATAGAGACCAATGTGTTTTCTCCAATCTGCCCATGAATGAAACCAAGTCTCTCTAGCTCTGTTCAAAAACATCAAAACAAAAAACCGGTGCAAAACCCTTCGCCATCATGACCTTTGTACAGTTACAGTTACAGTTACAGTTACAGTATGGACGCGTGAGGAGGACGGAGCTGTAAGCGACCTCGATCTCGCCTCGTCAGATTAAACAACGGGATGGGGAGGAGGGGTTGCCCCGGGTGACAGAAGTCTTAATCCTGGCATTAGCACGGAGTTCAGACCACAGCTGGAGACCCCAAACCGTCTGCGACAACTTTCACAAACAAGAGACTACAATAACAAGACGGAAAAGTTACTATGGCACCAACAGGAGAAAGAGAGGGTTTAGAAATGAGGCTGAATGGACTGGACTTAGGCAGAGGTCTGGGCCTGGACTGGGAACAGACCTGGCGGACATAGGGACTGGCCAATCCACGATTTGGAAGGGTTGCGTTGCTGATGGATCGATAAACTTTGATTTCAACTCTATGACATTAGATCCACGAGACTTATCCCAAGAGAGTCGCCTTGAGCAGAGATGTAGAAATGCATAAAACAACAATCACAATGCGCAATGGCTTTCTCTGTCCTCCTCGCAGAGAAAAAACATTTGAGTATGTATGGTGTAGTTTATTAGTCGTACATAGTGATTATATTTGAAATGGGCCATGTTTGCCAGTTTTTGCCAATCCAAAAAAAATAAAAATAAAATCACATGTATTATTAATGAAATCATAATTAATTACATGTATTTACAGCACAGAAAGTCCCAGATGATTTTTTTCAACTTTGTTTTTCTCCAACTTAATGATATATTTTTTTAAATTATAATTTACATTTATTTATGAAAAGACAAATTCATCAACAATCTGCAAAACAGAATCCCAAACAAATCAGTATCAATATACAACCCCAATAAAATCGGTTTTTTTCCCAATTTTGATGTAAATAATGACACCTACAAACTAAAATAATTCTGTAGAAAAAGCCAAATTACTCCAATATGAAAGATAATAAAGATAGAATAGATAATCGTCATACTCCAAGCCTTTTTTATGAATGACAAAAGAAATACTAGAGCAATACTGAACCTCAATACGCTTTTATTGCGGACAAACTCAGTGATTACAGACCCAACGCTCGTGACCGGGTCTGTTTAATAAAACGCCAGTAGTGAACGATGCGTGGAAGAGTAAGGCCATACATTTTCTAAAACGTAATTAAATCCCATCTCCATTGACCTTTCATCCGCCTCCTTCATTATCCCCGTGACAAAGACCGGTCGAGCTTTCTTTCAGGATTTTCCAAATACTGTTAACCCTGATGTGCCGGAGAGAGAGACGCAGCACAAGGTCAGATGGTATAGAAGGGAGGGGGGGTCTATTATTATCAAAATACTAAATACTACAGAAGAAAAGCACCAAAATAAATCCATAGTGATGTAGAATTGAACATGGATAAGTGGACATAATAATAGTAATAATACAATAGTAGTAATAATATTAATACTTTGTCAAGGAAAATAATCATATCTATAATGACATGCGTTTAGGGAGGCTGCTGTAGCATTGAGGCTGTGATTAATCCAATTTATCATGTGGAATACAACGCCCCAGATTGATCAGAGAAGTGGATTTTTGCAGCGTACGTGTGTGTTTTATTGGGGATTGAAAGTGGCATTTTTGTTATCTCGGTCGTTAAAAGAGAGATTGAAAAGAAACGAAAAAAAGGACATGATATCACAAAGTTTGGATGTATTTCCGAGGGTTCATTACACCCATTCTAAACTCACATCTAAACTCAATCCAATTCACATTTGTGGGCAGGGATGAAGGAGTGGGTGCAGGCAAAGGGCACACAAACCTGACCCAGTTACATCAGTTCTGTCAGGAGGAGTGGGCAAAAATTCCCCCCAACTTGCATTACACTGTACATATCAACCTTGTCTAAACCTTACTTCAGACCCCCAATGTACTGAATGTATTAACCTGTTTCCAAGTATTTTGAAAAGTATGACCCTATTGCCCAGAAAGTACAAATGAAATATCAAGAAATGAGAAGTATGTTTGCTAAGGTTTATATAGACTTCAACTGTAGTGAATATGAAGTGAATATAAACATCAGCTTTAAGATAACTAAAGGAAATTCTCTTTAAACTGTCAGCATCAGTGTTTATTACAGGCACAGCGATTTAAAATATGGTATTTTTATATAGGGATCTATATTTATAATTTTATTTTATCTCTATAACCGGAGAGTTCGGGGCGACTGCATCATATCTGCCTTTGACATGACCGAGTTAACTGAAAATACTGAGTAATCTTTAAAGTAACAATCACAAGGTCGCACTAAAAGTAGAGAATAATCCTGGACCTTTTTCTCCACATGATTTGGGAGCGCTAACTATCGCCTGGTTTTTAACTTCTTACTGATAAACCATTTCACAAGGAGGAGGAGGAGGAGGAGGGAAGAGCAAAAACCTCGATAGCACTCTCGCTTCTCAGCAAGAAGGTCCTGGGTTTGAATCCCGGTTGGAACAGGGCCTTTCTGAATGGAGTTTGCATGTTCTCCCCGTGTCTGCTCCGGTTTCCCTCCGGGTGCTCCGGTTTCCCCTACCACTAAAAACATGCACAATAGGTCTGGCATGTGCCTCCTGTACTGGCCCCGCCCCATCTCTGTGTGGAGTGAGAGACAAATGCCCAAAATTGTAAACCGCTTTGAGAGACTGGTTTGTGAAAGGCGGTATATAAATAAAAATGACTTACTTACTATGAAATACTTAAATCAAGTGGGGTTTTTTCTGCTAAATTTGAGTACATTCAGACTGTTTAAAATTAAAATACATTGACAAATTTGAGCAATGTTTTACTTATTTTTTTATCACTTTTTGCAGTTTAGATATGAGTTACTGATCTTTCATGTTTAGTTCTAAGATGGGTCCGTTTCTTTTGATATTGATTGATATAGAACCTGCTAAAAGTTCTCTAGTTCCCTTTGAATCACCCAATTTTCCAACTCGAATATCCCAAAAACAAAATGAAATGTAACATGGGATTTTTGCAGTAATACATGCGGTTGCCAGATCCTTCAAGAAACAGCCTGTACTTTGTGACTGTAGTGGAAACCAGTACAAAAGGATGAGGAGTAAAAATCTATAAATACATCTGGTTCCTCATGAGTGTGGAACGGCAGACGGCGTGGCGGGCAGGAAGTGCACTCATCCATGACCCCAGACCTCACTACATGATGGAGATCCATTTACAGGCCGTGAGAGACACCTTCTCTGCATGACCCCATTACGCCTCCAGGGACGCAGCGAGGAGAGAAGGAGGAGTCAGAGTTTAACACACTACAGTATGTATCTGCGCCAAACTGTGAGCGCAAAGTGAAATATGGTTTGCAATTGTTCTAGCGGCAAATCCATGATACTTCTGTTTGTCCCAAAGTTCAGCGAGGGTGATCAATGTTGTGGATCACCTGGATCTGATATGTGGAAATGTGATCTGCAGGATTGAAATAAATGAGACTCATTCATTTTTGCACCCTGATTATCAGCCTGGAGCTTCTCACCCTTTTCTCTTTTAATTCAAATGTGGTAGTATTGAGATAGATAAGTATTAAAGGGGCCATGACAGGTCCAATGACAGACACTTAAAATGCTTATATATATATATATTTTTTTTTAAATCTGGACCAAATGTCTGTTATAAAGTGCAATAATAATAATAATATTTTGGTTTTATATGAATGTATTTTTGAGATTATGGGACACTCTACTATTGTGTCATGGTTTAGATTTATTTCTAGTGGTGGGAGGCTTGCGATACGATACGATGTGCGATACAAAGCTCACGATATGACGATGCAGCGATGATCGATATATTGGTCAAAAATATACCTTTTATTTATGGCATAAATTAAGTGAAAAAATACACTTTATTTCAAGATAATTCAAGATAAATGGATAAAGTGTCACGTGTAACATTAAAGTGAACAAGCAAAAACTTTATCTGTCTCACATCCCAAAAAATTATTATGAACATACATCCATTCATTTTCTACCCTTTAATCCAGGTGGTGAGTCCACAGGAGGACGGCTGCTCTCTGAGGGTGAGCATAGCCTTGATCTTTCAGTGGGGGCTTTGGGCAAAGTGGGGTTAAGTGTCTTGCCCAAGGACACAACGACAGCAGTCATCAGTGGGAGTCGGTGGAGAAGGTGTAGAGGTGGGAATTGAACCCACGACCTTCAGGCCTGAATGCCAATGCTCTACCAACTGAGCTACTGTCGCCCCTATTATTATGAACACGCTACAGAAATTGAAGAATGCATAATGTCACTATATATTAAGTATTAATACAACACTTTATTATTATTAAATCGATACTTAGCAAAAGTATATCAATAATCGATTGTGTGAGAAAGTATCACATTACATCACCATATCGATATATCGTCAATTTATTTCCTGTTTGTTAAATCCTTGCGTCTTCTTTGGTTGTGTTGCCGTTGTGTGATTCCCTGCCCTCATGTGTATCACCATCAGTTGTGTGTTTTTAAATCCTGTGTGTTCCTTCCTGTTCTGTCATTGTCATTCCTCGCCTCTTTCAGTCCCTGTGTTTTCTGTGGATTTTGATTTGTATTACTTTTTTATTAAATCTCTTATTTTGCAGTTCTGTTTTTTTGGGCTAATATCATTTTACCCTTGTGACATAATGTATTTGTCAACAATATTATATTTTAAATAGTCTCTGTCATGGAATTAAGAAGGTGTGTATGTATTTTTATGTTTGTGTATTTTGTCTCAGTCCGACCCAAGATCCAGGACCGCAAGATGCACACATTACGAAATCAAAAACACATTTTATTTTTAGTCCCTGTGCTACATCCAGTCCTGGCCTGACTCCAGAGCGTGTCAACGTGTTTCCACAACCGGCACCGACAGGGACTGAACCCAGACCAGACCAGACCAGACCAGTTCTGATCCCTGCAGAACCACTTTTCTTCCAGCTTCAGCACCAGCACCTGCACAAGTCTCTCCCTGGCCTCGCACCAAACTGCATCTGGGACATGTCAGTGAACCATGAAGCTACAGCAAACCATGTATGAATACCATGTGAGCTACCAAATGCTAGTTTCACTCCATAACAAATGTGATATATTTCAAAAGACATAATAGAAAGTTAAGACTACACTGTCACTATAGCAACCAAGACATGTTAATGCCCTATGGACCTGCTGGGAATCTGAGGAGCACAGGGACCGGCCTCCTGCTGGGACTCTGAGGAGCACAGGGACCGGCCTCCTGCTGGGACTCTGAGGAGCACAGGGACCGGCCTCCTGCTGGGACTCTGAGGAGCACAGGGACTGGCCTCCTGCTGGGACTCAGAGGAGCACAGGGACTGGCCTTTTGCTGGGACTCAGAGGAGCACAGGGACCGGCCTCCTGCTGGGACTCAGAGGAGCACAGGGACCGGCCTCCTGCTGGGACTCAGAGGAGCACAGGGACCGGCCTCCTGCTGGGACTCTGAGGAGCACAGGGACCGGCCTCCTGCTGGGACTCAGAGGAGCACAGGGACCGCCCTCCTGCTGGGACTCTGAGGAGCACAGGGGCCGGCCTTTTGCTGGTGCCCAGAGTCAAAACTAAACATGGGAAGGCAGGATTTCAGATTGAAACAGCTAAAATCTGGAAAAATCTTCCTGAAAACGTGAAATCCGGGTTCCGAACAGTTCTTTTCACCCGTGCACACAACTGAGGGACTTTATCTTCACTCTTTTTAACGTACTGACGATCATTGCCTCGTTTTTTCCCGATCCCAGCGTGAGATACCGTGGAAATGAAGCCACACAGAGTCTTGAGAGTTATTTTTACACAGTGAGACTTGGGGACTAAAAATAGGCTACACCCGGTGAAAGCAGAGCAGACATCAATACAGTGCTGGTAACTGCGCACACGCCAACGCCAAAGAGCGCCGTCCAAAACAGCAGCGAATGTAAGTTTTTACACGGCAAGGCAAGGTTATTTGTATGGCACAGTTCACATACACACACAAGGCAACTCAACAGTGCAGGACAAAACAAGCATGTGGCCATTCCAATGCTTTTTTGCCATTTTTTTTTCTTTTTTGCAAAGGTGGGGTTGAATCCAGAGACGTGAGGAGCAAGTCAAGCGAGCCGCCAGCTTTGAATTATGCAAGAATTAAAAAAAAAAAGTCTATATTTTAGAATTGGGGATATGGGTCGGAACGATGTTTGGTTACGGTTGGGGATTGGGGTCTTGGCAGAAGAAAAAAATCTAAAAGAGCAACACAAAAGCCCTTGGTATTTCTGACCCGCGACTTTGCTTCAACCCCAAAAAGGTGTAAAAAAAAAAAAATAAAAATAAAAATGGTGGCGAGATGATGAGGTCTTGAAAATAGCTGTTGCGTGATTGGAAAACAATGAGGCGGTCCGTCAGAGGAGACAATATCCCGTCTTCCTCCAGTGCATTCCTGTGTGTGTGTGTGTGTGTGTGTGTGTGTGTGTGTGTGTGTGTGTGTGTGTGTGTGTGTGTGTGTGTGGAAGGGGTGGGGGGGTTGGACGGGGACAGCACTGGCGGAAGTTTGACCAATAGGATGTGACAGGGAGGAGTGCTCTGCCCCTGATGGAATTTAGGAAGTCTCACAGTAAGAATAGGCGACCGGTGTGTGTACGTGTGTGTGTTTGTGCGGGTCTGTGTGTGTGCGTAGTCTAAATATACCTGCCAACAATAAACATCAACACATATATACTGTATTCTCATCCTCTCACCCCGTATTCTGCAAATATTCCGCACAATGTTTTTTTTTGTTGTAATTTCTTTGGTACTTGTTATTAAAAATACATGTACATTAATTATAAACGAAGGTAAATTGAAAGTACAGTTGTGTTTGTGTGGATAAGCAGCGTCTGTAATGTTTCGGGCGGTTTCCCAGACGTGACATGCTCCGGTTTAGATTAAAAATTGTGTGTCTCTTTGCACTCTTTGTTATTTTGACATTAAAAGGTTGACACACAATTCAGCAAAAAGGACGTCTAAAATTATTGATACATTTTCTAGATCGTACAGTAGTTATATATTTAGAACACAAGCCTATAATTGCATTGACTATACATTGTGTTTGAAGATACATGGAAGCATTTAACATAGGTAAAACATTTGGATTAGTTTTTCCATATTTGACCCAAAAACAACAATTCCTGTACACTCAAAATACACGTTTTTAATTGATCCTGTGAGAACTAGCACCACTTTCAACCGGATGTGTCACAAACAGGTCTTAATGGAACCACACCTTCCCTCTCTCTCCATCTGTCACCTCTGTCTGAAGCTGCAGGTGCAAACACACAGGCAACTTCACAAACTTTACAAAAATCCCATTTTGAAACCCCTTACAATTAAAAAAACAACACAAAATCCACCCGAGAGTACTGTCAGCAGCAGCATAAGGTATTTCCCCTTTACTACATGGCCTACAGCTCAGAGTCAGAGCGCTGGGGTCACGTCCATTAGGAAGGAAACATGAGATGAGAGTGCTACTGGTATTCTCTAACTGATCTAATTGTTTTTGCATGGGGCGTATTAAATATGTTTCGTGGAATGAAGACAGTTTTTTTATATATGTGTATGCATGCATGAACCAAAACAACCATGAGAGCTTTGATATTTTCTTCACAGCCTCCTCAGCATCACCCAATATGAATCTGACATTGCATTGATACGCATGCATTATAACTGTTGCAAATCAAGGATGCGTAGTGTAACGTAGAAAATTAGGACATATTTTGGAAATTGAATGACCAGAGAGGAAGAGAATCTCGCAGAAAACATCCAAACATCATGCCAAAATACTAGAAAAAAAGGCAAAAGGCAAAGACTGCACTTACGTTCGTGTGGTGTTTTTGGCCTGGTTGGGGTTTGCAATGCGTTACAGCGTGTTGCCCTGAATCACAAACATCAGCTTTAGTCTGATATCCCTGCACCAGGCCCAAGGAGACACCACCGCAGCCCTCATTCGCTTCAAAGCGGCGTGAGGAGCGTCGAATCCCGGGTACGCGCGCCGCCGCTGCAGCCTCTCGGTGTGGCCAAAACATCTACGGTTACGCGTCCAAAGCCTGCTTCAAAATCGCACATCCGTTTGCGTTGAAATCCACGGCTGCCATTGCGTCTCTCTGCTTCTCCTTTGTGATATATCCAAGCTGGGAATCATTTCTTATTTATCTGCCCCGGACTGGACAGATTGACGTGACATCGAGTCCAGTTGGGTTCCTATCTACGCCCATGTTAGCCGTGCGTAAAGGAACCAAAGTGGGACGTTTTCTGACCAGGACCGGGGAGAGAAAGCGGTGATCAAAAAACAGGTTATGGAACTTTTAAAACAAGCGGATGGTGGTGTTCCCAGACTACACTTGGCGACCTCAGCGTCAAAATAACTGCTGAAGCGCCTCCCATCGTCATCATCACCCCCTTGTGGAGCAAGCGGGGAGTCCAAAGCGGAGGGGCGCGGATGGTTCCCGTTAGCACTGTCATAACGATGGACAATAACAAACGGATAGGGCTGGGGCAAGTTCATATTTTGATTGTTAAAGTAGGCCTATACACTGTAAATAACCTATGCACAAATTATATATATTTTTACAACTATACGTTTAAGAGATTCTTCCGACCCCTTTTGAACATGCAGAAGTGTCAAGTTTAATTGTTGACATTTTTTATTTTTTGTTGTTTGGGTTAGGCTCTTGTATTTATTGTTTATTTTGTTCTTTGTTTTATTCTAGTTCAAACATTCATTCATTTATTTCAGAAAGTGACATAATAGTGACTTCTTTCAAGCTTTTAGTTTTTTTTTTTACTTTCTGAACTGATATCTACAAATAGTTCTACATGAAGCTCCAAAATCTTGTTCCGTGTGTCTATGTTTTGTCAGTTTTGTGTCAAGCTGCAATACATGATAAAGCATAATGATGATGGCATAATTCGGCCAAATTTGAGCATTTTTTGACTTATTTTTCACTTATATAGTGCATGTTCATGTGAAAATAAGATTGAAATAAATAAATAATAATAATCTAACTTTTTTTAAATTTTTTAAAAGGTGTACTAGGCCCAAAACTTCAAATGCAGGTCAATACTATATATTATTATTTAAAGTCAATGGTCAATACAGCCAAACTCCAACCTACAAGAATCGGTATCAAACTAACCTTAGGATGTTTCTCTTCATCCACTTCGTGCAAAAACTTAGTTGATTAAACACAAAAGCACATTTTCAGTGTCTTTTCAAGGCCCTCGTGGATGACCCAGCTTTACTTTACTGTCTCTCTATTTTGTTCTTGTGTACAGCCCTCTACTAAAACAATTGCAGCCTTTCTGTCAAACTAAAATTGCAAATCCTGAGCTGAACAATGACACAGGTGTAATGTCTGTGCAGAAACCAAGTGTCAGCAGCTCAGTCCCAAAAGGAAAGAATTAGACACGATTTATTCTACATGTTTTTATAATTTCATCCCAGTGACACCGTCGGGCGCCTCCGCTGCATCTGAAGTAACTAAGACTTTTTCAGTGGTCATTGGATGTTTGCAGTCTTCTTGAAAATGTGATACCGGCTTCTTCTCTGATAATATTCAAATCCATGTTAGCAAACGGAGGGATTATATCTTTACTTTTTTTTTTATGTGCCGTGATGAATTATGATTTTAATGTGATTTTAGTGTGACCGTTTCTATCTTATTTTGTTCAGCACTTCCCTCATGTATGAACTGTGCTATACAATTAAACTCGCCAACACTTATTACTACTTCTCCAAAAGAAAATACAGAAAAAGTGCCTTTCAATCTTTTAGCTTTTATGCAAATTTGAGCATCTGCTTGAAGTCGTCGTAATCAGCGACTGTGTGACTGACTGCTTCATAAAAGTTCACAAACTCCTTCAACCGAAAACAACATAAATGTGACTTTTCCTGCTGAAAGAGCCACATTTTCTCTATAGCCACCTAAAATGAGTATTTAGAATGGGATGAGTGCTTGTGTGTGTGGCTAGAGGCTGAGGTCTCTTCTGATTGGACAGACGTGAGTGAAGGGATATAAAGGGGTCTATTTCCCGTAAGACACTTGGATCAAATTACATGTCGTATCGTTTGGTCAAAAAAATTGTGGCCTGTTATTTGCCTGGTGGGAAGCAAAAAGTATAAAAAACATTGCAATAACGAATGAGCAGGCGTTAAGCTAAGATCCAAAAAATAATTTGTTTATTTACACTCGCAGTAAACAAAACGAGACGAAAACACAATTTATAATAAACATATATACACACAGAGTAATTTTTTTTTTTTTTTTTACAAATGCACATCTTTCTGAAGCTATGTCTAAATGATGCAGTGAGTCCTTATGAGCTCATGGGCCATCTCCATGTTCCCGGCGGCCTGGTAGATCAGAGACAGGTTGAAGGAGATTTCTCTTCGTAGGTCCGCCTGGTCTTCATCTATGCCCTGGACCAACACAAACAGGAAAAAACTGGTCACATGACTTTAAAATCAATACAGATGAGAAGCACTATACCAACATTTACTACTATCAGACTATAATGTAGACAGCAAAGAGGTGTGTCTGAACGGTTTGATTCTCTGGCGAACTCCACGGTTGTGTAAAGTCCTCAGAGATAACGACTGTTGTGTTTTTGGGGCGATACCAGAATACATTGAATTGTAGCTAGGTTCTTTCTACTGCTTCTTTCTAATGGACTTCTGCTGATGCCAAGAGTCGGAACTAGATATGGGGAGGCTGTGTTTCAGATTCATGCAGCTAGAGTCTGGAACCGTCTTCCTGAGAATATGAGACAGGCGTCTACTCTGGCAGTTTTCAAATCTAGGCTGAAAACAGTTCTGTTTAGCTGTGCATACAACTGAATGTTTTTATCTTTTTAATGCACTATGGCTATTTATGATTTTAATCCCATGTGTGATTATACTGTTTTAAGGTTTTTAGCTACTATCTTGTGCTCTTAATGTGTGTTTTTTAATGTTTATGTAGATTCTAATGTTTGATGATTCATGCATAATGTGATATGGGTTGTGAGGCGCTTTGTGTTGCCTTGTGTAGGAAAGGCGCTCTACAAATAAACGTTGATTGATTGCTTGTGGATCTACAGCGTCTTGGAGCGGCACCTCTAGCTTCTCCGGCGGCAGACTCAGTGCTTTCTGATAGTAGTGAATGGCCAGATGCGTGAGGCCCATCTGATGCAGCGCTCGGCCCACGTTGTACATGGTCTCCTGGCATTCGCCCCGCAGCTCCACGTACCGCCACAGGAAGGAGAAGCCCTGGAGGAACGCAGAGAATGAACAAATAAATGTCTAAATACTGCTTTCTGTGGGAATGTGCGACAATTAAACGTCTCCCCAACCTGCAGGACGAGCGCGTGTCTCTTGGCCACATATTTCTGACAGGCCATGTGGAAGTAAGTGAGGCCCAGACACAGGCTGTACAGGGGGGTGTCGGGGTGGGTCTGGAAAGCCTGCACGTATTGACCTGGGACAGCAACAGTAAGTGAGTAAGAAAGTAAGACAGTGAGAAGGGAGGTAGATAGGGAAGTAGGTAAATATGTAAGTAAGTACTGTAGTCTTTATTGTGAGTGTTTTGGGTCTTGTCTGTGTGTGTGTGTGTGTGTGTGTGTGTCTCTTTGTATGTCCTATTGCCGTCATGTGGTTTGTTGTGGGTCTGTGTTTTGAGCCCAAACTTTCTCTACTGTTAAAGTTCAAGAATGAGAGGATGCCCAGTTTGAAACACGGCAGTATGTCATAATCACCCAGGTGCTCTTTGACTCTGCGTGTGCAAAGTAAAACAGCGTGTGCAATTTTACAGGTTTGACTCCCATTTCTGCGTGTGCATTGATAATCCGTTAGAAAACCCGTTAATAACCCGTGGATGCGTCCCAGCTACACCAGGACTCGACCCCAGACAAATGTGAGCGTGAGAGCCCCCGGTGTGGAGTGAGCGTTGTTGGGATGCGTACCCAGGGCGTGCTTGAAGCTGCCGGACACCATGGCGTTGTGTCCGCACAGCACGCTCAGGGCGTGGTTGTCGGGGTTCTTCAGCAGAAGTCTGAGGCAGAAGCGATGGTGGCGCTGGTGCAGGGACTTACAGGTCAACTGACGCAGAAAGATCCACAAAATACATACGCGTCAATATTTATTTAAGTGCTCTCAATCTTAAAATAAATCTTAACACAAGCTAAAAATGATGACAGCAAAACTAAATACTAACGGCTATAGGTAAACAGTGTGTTGCTATGGTAACTAGCACTTGCTCCCAGCTGAGGATGCTATGAGCCAGTCCAGGGCCAGTCTAAGATCGAGACTGGCCCTGGACTGGCTAAGATCTAGAACTTACCTGGTTAAACACATTCCAGAGCTGAGGTAGATTCACGTTTTCCATTAACATCAATCTATATCAAAAAAGAAGAGAACATTTGTCATTGTTCATCAAAGACCTGATAAAACATGGAGACTATGAATATGAATAAAAGCATATTATAATGTTCGCTTACATGTGTGTGTAATATAGTAATTTCTTCAATTGTCTGAGATTGATATGAAAATTATAATACAAAATACACACAGTTTGATTTAGTCTTTTTAACTCATTGTGTCCCATTGACGCATTAATCCGTCAAATGCCTTTTTCGCCATTTTCACGTTCCCAGATGTCTATTGTATCTAATATGTATGGGGATGACTTGAGACCATATTTTATCGAGCCAGCAGGTGGCAGCATTGCATTTCTCTCTGAATGGTTTGAAAACATGTAGGTGCACATGTTGTGCCTCTTTTTTCTCAACTTTCTGGTGATTTCTGGTGATTTCAGTAAAACTTCCCTCTACTCAACGGAGGATTACAGGGGAACGAAAAAAGCTATAAACAAAATTCTTTTTGCTGAGGAAAGTAGACAGTCCATTCTTTTAGGATCTGGTGTCGGATTTCAGATAGTCATAGTACACAATATTCTGTGGGTCTTGAAAAATCAGTAAAAATCATCATAAATGGTTGGCACTGTGGGAGTACCTGAAATAGGCTGGCATTCAATGAGTTAAAATGAAATATCTTATTTTTGGAAATAGAGTATATAGAGAAAATAAAGGTGTCAAACTTCAGCCTAAAACATTTGTTGTGTAATGAAAGTTAAATCATTTTCTTGTCGTTGTCGACCAAAGAATAAATAAAACCCATAAATGAATGATTATGGGTGAATAAAAGAGGGAGCAGGAGGAGCTGGTCTGTACCGGATGTAGTTGTAGGCTTTGTGGTGGCTGTGGTCCAGGATGGTGGCCGACAGGCCCAGGAACTCCAGCTCTCTCCTCTTCTCCTTGTTGTCGTAGAAGGAGTAGAACTCCATGGCCGACTCCACCAGGAGGTCGGTCTCCTCAAAGCGCCGCACCTCACACAGCGTGAACAAGCAGCTCAGCAACAACTGCCACCAGTCCTCTTTCGACAACACGTTGGTTTTTCCTGCACACACATTCACACACACGTTGTTAGATTCCTTACAATACAAATGAATCGAGTTGCCAGTTTTGTTTGTTTCAGGTAATAATAATAATTGGTTTTTATATAGTGCTTTTTTGGACACTCAAAGACGCTTCACATGTCATTATTCAATCAGTCTATACACAGAGGTGATAAACTAGTCTGTGCCATCAGCAGCTCCGACCACCGCCAACCATTGCCGGTGGTCGGAGCAGTTTGTCACTTCACAGTGGCCCCACTGTTGCACCTGGTGTTCCCCGAAGTCACCCATCACAGTACTAACCAGGCCCTGCACTGCTTAGCTTCAAAAGTCTGACAGGATCTAGCTTTCACATGCAGGGAGTGGCATCATCTCACTGAGGCAACACATGTCTAGTCCCTTCATAATTGTCAGTGGCACAAAAGTTTTAATAAATGAAGACAACCGAACACTGTGTATTTTTGTTTTGCACTGAGCCAACGCACGAAACCCACGCCGCCTCGCTCAAAAAGAAGACATTTGAAAACATATGGTACGACTTAGATAAACAAAAAGCTTGTTAGTTTAACAGGCCAACACGATCCAGGCTTCAAACTGCTCCCAACAATAAACAGCTTTGTGTTCACATATGGAACCTGCTAATTTGTGCTGACAGCAGGCGTCGTCATGCCAACAGCGCTGGGCTATTCCAAGAGCGATTAGTTTAGAACCGGCCGCACTGAGCTATTGTTGTGTGTTGTGTGTTGTGTACCCATGTTGTCCAGGTAGGCCGCCTCGTGGTCTGCAATCTCTGCCTCCGGAGCCTGGGCCTTCGCCAGCCGGAGGTGCGTCTCCCCGGAGATCTTCACGCAGCGGACCGCCACACGAGCGCGCTGCATGGCCACCTGCAGCGAGATAGAGCCGTGAGTCCAGGACAGAGCCGTGAGTCCAGGACAGAGCCGCGAGTCCAGGACAGAGCCGTGAGACCGGGACAGAGCCGCGAGTCCAGGACAGAGCCGTGAGACCGGGACAGAGCCGCGAGTCCAGGACAGAGCCGTGAGACCAGGACAGAGCCGCGAGTCCAGGACAGAGCCGCGAGACCAGGACAGAGCCGCGAGTCCAGGACAGAGCCGCGAGACCAGGACAGAGCCGCGAGACCAGGACAGAGACCAGGACAGAGCCGCGAGACCAGGACAGAGCCGTGAGACCAGGACAGAGCCGCGAGTCCAGGACAGAGCCGTGAGACCAGGACAGAGCCGCGAGTCCAGGACAGAGACCAGGACAGAGCCGCGAGACCAGGACAGAGCCGCAAGTCCAGGACAGAGCCGTGAGACCAGGACAGAGCCGCGAGTCCAGGACAGAGCCGTGAGACCAGGACAGAGCCGCGAGTCCAGGACAGAGCCGTGAGACCAGGACAGAGCCGCGAGACCAGGACAGAGCCGCGAGACCAGGAAAGAGCCGCGAGACCAGGACAGAGCCGCGAGACCAGGACAGAGCCGCGAGACCAGGACAGAGCCGCGAGACCAGGACAGAGCCGTGAGACCAGGACAGAGCCGTGAGTCCAGGATAGAGCCGCGAGACCAGGACAGAGCCGTGAGACCAGGACAGAGCCGCGAGACCAGGACAGAGCCGTGAGACCAGGACAGAGCCGCGAGTCCAGGACAGAGCCGTGAGACCAGGACAGAGCCGCGAGACCAGGACAGAGCCGCGAGACCAGGAAAGAGCCGCGAGACCAGGACAGAGCCGTGAGTCCAGGACAGAGCCGCGAGACCAGGACAGAGCCGTGAGACCAGGACAGAGCCGCGAGACCAGGACAGAGCCGTGAGACCAGGACAGAGCCGCGAGTCCAGGACAGAGCCGTGAGACCAGGACAGAGCCGCGAGACCAGGACAGAGCCGCGAGACCAGGAAAGAGCCGCGAGACCAGGACAGAGCCGCGAGACCAGGACAGAGCCGCGAGACCAGGACAGAGCCGTGAGACCAGGACAGAGCCGCGAGTCCAGGACAGAGCCGCGAGACCAGGACAGAGCCGTGAGACCAGGACAGAGCCGCGAGACCAGGACAGAGCCGTGAGACCAGGACACGTCACTCATTCACAGCGGATGTTGGTCAATATGGCTTTATGTGCACTTGTTTTTACATTTCATTCTTCAGTTTTCTCTAAAAACACATACTCCTACTGGCTCTTTCATACAATAATAATAATAATAATATAAATACTTACTGCTTTGTTTGAAGCCTATAGAAACACTAAGATTGACTTGAGTTAAAATTTTATCCATCCACTTTCGGGGGTTGGGAGGGTGGCACTCAGAGCTGCCCCCCAAATAGTATTTTTAGATCAATTTAAAAATATCCCACTATTGTTTGCTTACGTGGAGACAATTAATTTGACAACAACATGGAAGTGAGATGATAATGTTCCTTCTACTTGTTTTTGATAATAAACACCTCTGCACCTTCTCCACCGACTCCCACTGATGACTGCTGTCGTTGTGTCCTTGGGCAAGACACTTAACCCCACTTTGCCCAAAAGCCCCCACTGAAAGATCAAGGCTATGCTCACACTCAGAGAGCAGCCGTCCTCCTGTGGACTCACCACCTGCAGAGGGTCAGTGAGGGGCTGGTGCTATGAGACTTGGGTGGCATCTCTGACTGCCACCCCCCTGACCCAGAAATGGATTAAAGGGTAGAAAATGGATGGATGGATGGACCTCAGCAGTCATTTTAATCAGATCAAATGACTGGATATTCTAATCAACAGCGTGACGTGTGACTGTGTGAGTTCTTACCTTCAGCAGCATGGAGAGCATGCTGATCATAGAGTCTAAATATCCCTCGGTCTGTCCTTGTGTTTTGAGTAAAGTCGAACGATGCAGCAGCAGCTTCAGCTCCTAAAAATGACATATGCACCACAGACAGGTTGACTTGGCAGGATGCTATGCTAACATGAATTCAGCTCTGGGCCATGTGGCAATCTCTATTCATCTCTCCTCATGAAAGTCAGATTTCAAGCCTGGAGATTTGTCTAGTCCTAAGTGCACTCTTGCCTTCTGCGCGGCGGCCGAGTCCTGGGCCAGCGTCTCACTGTCGTACATGGGCTCCAGGGCTTTGAGAGCTTCTTTGGGACGTCCCAGCTGCTGCAGGAGCGTGGCCAGAGACAGACGGGCCTCCAGGTGCTGCGGGGCCTTCTCCACCACCCGAGAGTAGCTGTCTGCGGCCGCGTCCATGTGGCCCAGGGCTTTCAGGCACTCTGCACAGACACACACATCTTTACTGGAAGCTTACTGTGTGGCATTATTGTCAAAAACAGAAATAAGACCAAGCATTCAAGAGTTAAAAATAAAACAATATTTAATTATCTTTACAATTAAATCTTAATACAAAACTCTCGGAGCTATTAATTCCCTATAACTAACCCTAGAGCTGAGCCAATGGAACTCTCCCTCCAGGCCTGAACATGTACAGAGGACATCCAGGCGTGTCCTCTGTCTCTGTCCCTGCTCAGACTGCTCACAAAATGTCCCACCAACGATGACTTCCCTAGACCGACTGAGGCTCTGGTCTGGGTCTGGTCTAGTCCGGTTTTGTGTCTCAGGCCTTGTTCCGATAACAGAGACATCCTGTTCCTAAAAATGATACTTATATCACAGAAACCTTGTCCTTGAATCTTCCCTGAATTCACTAAACTCAGGCCACACAACCCCTCATTAATATACAACATTTTAAATCTACATCAGCATGTTTCTTACTTTACGTGCGCTTTTTTTACTCTCAAATACACACGAGAGGAAAGAAAAGAAGAAACAGTATACACATCATACCATCATTTTTAAATATCAAGCTGTTGGACTAAATCGCTTGATCCATTGACAAATTGTTTTAAGACAGTCGATTATGAACTCAGTAGTAGTGCTTGTCGGATGGTTTACCAGCGTGCCGGAGCCAGACCACGGCCAGGTTGTACTTCTCCGATATGACCAGCGACGTCAGCAGCGGCAGGGCTTGTATGTGCTTCCCCACCTCCAGATACGCCTCGCTCACGTCCAGGTACAAGTCTCCAATTTCCTCTGGGCTCTGCTCGGTCACAGACGCCACCAGGCCCTGTCCAGGAAGAGCCATGAGGTGGTGTGACAAAGTCTGGGCACCCGTCACTATTTGATTTCCCGACCAAATAATTAGTTGCTTGCATAAGAAAAGTCATTTAAATATATCACCAAGAAGATATTTGAGAAGTGAAATAAAGTTTGTATCATTGTGTGCAAGAATTATCTAAACCAAATTAGGTACATGCATCATTTTAGGCACGCTTTACTTTTTTTACTTTATTTTTACACCTTTAGAACTAATTTTCGGGACTCAAAATTGGGAAATGAAGTTGAGAGTTTCCCGTTTTTGCATCTTGTTTGCATCTTAGTGACAACATGGGAGCCTGAGGACAACTCTCGCACGGCAAAAAGAGATGAAAATGATGTGCTCAAAATTGGCAAAATGTATCTTCCTTTGGGCACATACTGACTTAAACCCAGATTTTCCAAAAAAAGGGAAAGCGGAATCTTGTTTTAAAAAGATACTGTGTCCCTCCCTGTTCCAAGAAATGTCTCGCTTGGAACGAGAAAATAAAGCAACAGTTCTTGAAATAAGACTGAATGGTTTTGTCCCGTTGGTAAATGTAGTTTTAAGTCAGAATGTCCTCAAATACAGATAAAAACCACTCCGTTCTAGCACCAATGACCTCATTTTTGATCATTTTTTGCAGTGTAAATGGCTTGAAAACAGTTCAACATCATGGTTTAGGGAAAGGATGCAGAGAACTATCAGAGATTTAAGATTTCAGTTGTAACCGTGAAGAACATTGTGAGGAATTGGAAAAGCACAGGCGCAGTTCTGGCTAAGGCCCCGAGTGGCTGAGCCGGTTGGATCTCTTTTAACACTTTTTAAGCCATTGCGGTTAAACCTGAGCTTGTCTTTCCAACGCTGTGCAGAAGTATAAAGGCCTGTGCATTCTGTAAAACTTTGGTCTTCTGCCTGTGAGCGCCTCGTCTCATTCATCCGTCCACTGTCTGTCTGTCAGAGCTACTTCATCATAACAAAGGTTCATAAGGGGCCGTTACCTCCAAAGGCTTGAAGACGTGGAGCTGGATGAGACAGACGATGAGTTTGGCCTTCAGATCGATCGGGACGCTGGCCGGTACCTGCACATCTTTAATCTCACCTGCGCAAAAAAAGCTGACGTGAAATATTGGCAGGAAGAAGCGTGGTTTTCAGATGCAGCAAACATTGACAATAAGCTATTTATGGAGAGAGATTTGTGAAGGAAAGAGGCGCTCTCGTCGTCGGCTAAATCTGTCGCCGGCACAAAAGGTCCTGCCACTCTGTAGTCAGTAACTACGATCACGACAAAGCACTTTTCAGTTAGTGTTGGACTGATGATGACGAGGCTCCACAATACTGCATTGTTCCGGCTGACATGGACTTTCAAAGGCCATTCAGGAAACTTTGATTGGAGGGAGGGGGGTCGAGAAAGCTAAAATAATGAATGAAACATGCTAACGTCGTGGGGGGCGTGCCCGGAACACCTCCCCAGAGAGGCGTCCAGGATGCACCCGGAACAGACGCCCGAGCCACCTTAACTAGCTCCTCTCGATGTGGAGAAGCAGCGGCTCTAGTCTGAGCTCTTCATCCTATCTCTGAGGGAGCGCTTGTATCTGCGGTCTTGTCCTTTCGGTCGTAACCCAGAGCGCAGGAGAGAAGGTGAGGGAGGGCGGAGGAGGAGTCCACGTATCGTAGTGTCTTGTTTTTAAATAGATTTATCTTTATTGTTGACATCGTTGGAAGATAAAATAAAGTTTTCCATCATGCGTTTGAGCAGTTGATAGAAAATAAACGCACCACATTTTTCTTCAGGATTTCCCTCCGGTGGCTGCTCCGTCTTCACACTTTCTATCACTTCTTCTTCTTGATCTTTACCCGTCGCTGACTCGACCTCTGCACTGCTCTGCTCTGAATCCTCTCTCACCACCTCAATACCTGAGAACTTTTCCAAAATCTGAAACAAAAAAGTGTCTCGGTAAGACTCCCCGTTGCTAAAAAGTGCCTTGTGTCCCTGAGAGCTGCAGGATTGCCCCGTTACCTCCACGGCTTTGTGGTACTGGTGGTTGGCGATGTAGAGCTCGCCCGCCATGTTGATGATGTCGTCGCTGACCAGGTCTGGGTGTCGCGTGAGGGCTTCCTCCATGACCCCCAGCGCCGCGGGGAGGTCGTTGCTCTCGTAGTAACTCCTGCGATCGACACATAAACCCACCACCTGAGTGCTCTTTCAATCCACTTTATCTATATAGCACATTTTATAAAACGACTGTGCTGCACAAAAGGGACACGTTTTAAAATACAGGTTTGCCAGCTTTATAAGTATCAAAAATAGAACAGGCAAAACAATTATGAAAATGTGATAAAACAATAAATTACCAGTTGCCCATTTCTCCTTTTTTCCTGCGCAATTATGACTTTCGTTTAATTGTTTTAACTTCATACATCATAATTGTTTTACCTGTTCTCTTTTCGATACATAAAAAAGCTGGCAAACCTGTGTATTGATCTGTTTTATAACATGTGCTACATAATTATGGACTGGATTGGACTGGATGACATTGAAATTTCCCCAACAAAGATTTATCTTCTATGAAGTGCACAGGCCGTGTCTGCGGATGCTTCTTATTCTACACTTCTTTTCTACCACAGTTGAACAAATAGAAGCTAGTGTCTCTGTTTACGACTTTAATTACTTTCATTTTTCAGCTTTTCATTCAATATGGCTTTGTAGGCCCAGAAGATCAGCGTGTAGGTTAAACTATCAGCCTGTGATTGTGGTAAAGACCATGTGAGCAGACTCCATCCTGCCCCCTTGTGGCCAAACCAAACTTAGGCCTCGCTCCTCTGAGGGTCGACCAACAAGATCTTCCAAAGTTAGTCCTGAATATTGTTTGAGTCTGGCCTCAGAGTTAGTCCTGGTGTAGGCTTAAATATATATATTTGAATGTTTGAATAGGTGCGTTTGTTTATGATCGAGGACACTCCACATTCAACAACATTTAAGGACATTGGTAATCTGCCCCTTACACTCCAAAGTAAAAAAAAAAAAGCTCAAATGTGGCAAAATGTAGCTTATTTTCACATTAAGGCACACAAGGCACATTTTGACTGCCTTAAAACAAGATTGTCCAATGGGACAAAGCAAAATGATGTTTTTAAAAGATACAAGAAAAGTCTCTTTTGGAATGAGAAAATAACGCATTCCTGAATAAGACTAAAAGGCTTTGTCCCGTTGGAAAATCAGACTGTACTCAAATTAAGAACCACTTGATTCAAGCAATTATGACCTCATATTTTATCATTTTTTGCAGTGTATGTGTTTTTATCGGTGCATTTCTTGTGTTTGAAATGTTTGTTTGATTCTCTGCTCTGTGTTTTTGTGAAGTCCTCGGAGATAACTGCTGTTGAGATTTAGGGCGATGCAAGAACAGATGAACTAGAATTGAACATGTGACATCACTTGGTCTCACTTGGCCATGTCTTTGGACAGCTGCATGAAGTGCTCGCCCTCCTCCAGGGGCAGCAGGCTCAGGATCTTGCGGTATCCGTCCATACACGGCCGGTGCTCGCCCAGGCGCATGTGCAGGTTACAGCGCTCCCACAGGTAGCGCACGTTGGTCGGGTCGTACTTGATCGCTAACCACAAAGACACATTCATGACATTATTATTAACAAATGATAGATTATTGACTTTCATGCGTACAACTGAAGGATATTAACTATACTTCTTTTTAATGCACTGTGGATATTTATGATTCATTATTCATCCCATGTGTGATTTTAATGTTTTTAATTGTTATGTTTTTTCATATTTATTGTGATCCTAATGTGTGTAGGAAAGGCACTCTACAAATAAAAGTTGATTGATTGTGATTGAGATATTTGTGATATTTGAATGGAAAACAGCAGCAGGTCCTAAGTGTCTCTGAAACAGTTGTTGTTTTGTGCTTTATACATTTTATTTTTATTGCTTTTTTCTACCTGAGATGTTGCTGCAGTACAGTGTTCATGGTTTTACTCTGGTCCAGACCAGAGCAGAGAGGATTCATGGTCCAAACCAAGTGGATCAGGTCACTTTTTGAAAAATGCTAATGAAGCATTTAGCATTTTACTTTGGACCAGAGCAGAGAAAATGCTTGAACCAAGCTCCAAATCCAAACCACCCGAACAAGGTGGAAAAAAAACTCCACCTTGTGACCCGTCCTGCTCCACCCAGAGGCTACTCCACCTCTGCTGCTGTGACCTGAAGGGCTGTTGCTGATTACTATTGTTAGCTTTTTAGAACCATCAATTTTATTTTTTTATTTTTGCCGCTACTGGACACCTGAATTTCTCCGACAGAATCAATAAAGTATCTAACCATCTACTGTATGTTTTATATGTTTTTTTTTTCTTTTTTAGAAGCCGTGAGCCAATTACCAGCCTCACATTTGATTTCATGCATTTGAAAGGACAGTGGTGATGATCCAGGACACTCAACATTCAACAACATTTATGGACATTGGTCATCTGCCCTATAGGAAAATAATGTATTGAATTACTCCAATTTTCAGAGTGTTATGTAACCGGTCTGAAAAGGGAGAATTTGGAGCAGGAGCCAATTTGCGCTACACGTTCCTGACATTAGCGTGGCTGCTCTGTCCGTCGCGAGAGAGACCGGACAAGATGGCGTGGCTACCTTTGGAGTAGCAGAAGATGGCCTGGCGGATGTTGTCTTGCTCCAGCGACATCTCGGCCAGGCGGATCCACTCGTCGCAGTCGGACGGGTTGAGGTGAGCGGCAATGAGGCCAAACTGCAGGGCCTTCTCTACGTCGCCCTCGTCCTCGTAGATCATGGTGAGGGTGGAGAAGGGCTCGAAGGCCATGGGAGCTGCGGCCACAAGTCACCATCGTCACCTTTCATTCCACCGTCAGGGAAAATAAAAATAAATCGTCTCCCGTTCTTTGTCTCAAACCTTGTCTAATGATTTCCATGCACATCAGGATGGCGTCGCTCTTCTCTCCGCGGGCGTAGCGGATGTTAGCTTCTCCCATCAGGCCTCGGAGCGCTCGGGGAAGTTTGCTGCGGTTACGTCGCTCCTACGGCAAAAAACATGGTCGGATTTATTATTTTTTTAAACTGTGGAATCGACTCTCGAAAAGGTTCTGCAAACGTCCACATGGCTAAGAACAAAATCAAAGCAACAGTGAAATCATATGAAATGAAGGATTAGAGAGTGCTGCAGTCCATATTATATATTTTTGTATTTAATTTGTACATGTTTAAAAAAAAGGTCCAGGACACGTGAGATTGTTTTGATCCTTTCTGCTCCGTTTCATTTGCAAGACAAGACTACAATTATTTGAAATGTAATTGTAAAGTATTGTAATGATGTTTTGTAATGTCCACAATTTAAATAAATGAATAAATACTTTTTAATATACACTAAAGTCAGAGAGATTATACTTAATTCTTGCTTCTTACAGATTATATATAGACTGCTTCCTTATTACGCTAAAGCTAGAGATTGAATTGTATCGTATTTAGTAGAAAGTTTCGTATGCAGTTGTTTAGTGTAGAGTTTAGCACAGAGCTGGGTTCATTTATCCTGCTGTTCTGTAACTGGTGATGCAACACTGAAATTTCCCCCCTGTGGGACAAATCTCAGTATCTCACTCTGCTACAGGGGCCTGCTGGATCACTCAGGGACTGCAGATGGAAATGAGCCGTGAAGCCATAAACCGGTGCAGAACACACCCGTCTTTGAGATAAATGTCCCTTTCAAACAGAGACAGAAAATGGACGATTGGTACGGATTGAGAACGCAACGAAACGAGTTGACAATAAAATCTGCGAAAGGGAATCAAACAGAAACACTAGAATGTTCAAGATGAGAAAACAAAGAGATGGAGGCGGTTTCAGTCTGTATTATCTCATGCTGCTAACATACACTGTTTTTTATATACTTTTTTAAGCATAGAGCTCCTCAGACAACAAGTGAATGGCGAATGAATCCCTCAAGCGGCACGGTGGCTGAGTGGATAGCACTCTCGCCTCTCAGCTAGAAGGTTCTAGACGCTCTTCCTCTTCGAACGCGCCTCACCCTCATCATCTTCTTGCTCTTGCGGTTCAGCTCCATCTCCAGAGCGAACACGTCTCCAGCGGTGGGGTTGTCCTCGTCGTCCTCCTCTTCCCCCGGCCTCTTCCTCCGGTGTTTCTTGCCCTGAGCTCTCGCTTTCTTCCTCCCCTCACTGGCTTCTGGGTTCCTGTCAACAAAACACAAATGATCATCGAGAAAAGAGCATCCTAAAATATGGTCAAGAAAGGCACACGCTACGGAAAACGACTAGTTTTGCAAATACAAATGGATAGGAACTTCCCTCAAATTGGACACAAAGGCTTGGACTTTCCCAACAGTACTAATATTCATGTATCTATATATCATCAGCTGTCTGTGTGCATTCATGTATATGTTGGTGTATAACAAATAAAACACATTTACTTTAACAAATAATAAAAAACATTTATGGACCAATTTCTGTTTTTTCTTTTCTTTTGAATGCGCTGAAAAACAGCAGCAGGTCCTAAGTGTCTCTGAAATAGTTGTTGTTTTGTGCTTCATACATTTTATTTTTCTTGCTTTTTTCTACCTGAGATACACAATACAATTTATTCTTGTATAGCCCTAGGTCACAACAGAAGTCATCTCAGAGACTTAACAAAACCATTGAAATCACCAACACAGGTCAGAGAATCAACAGTTAAAACACATGAAGAATATAAAGCACACACAGAAGAAAATGTCCATACATGTTGTAGAATGCTAAAGTGTCCTGATCATCACCAATCCTTTCTGTTGGACACTAACTGTCCAACAAGACCCTCCTACATCAACAAGGAAAAACTCTTGTTGGAGATGTTACTGCAGTACAGTGTTCATGGTTTTATACTGGTCCAGACCAGAGCAGAGAGGATTCATGGTCCGAACCAAGTGGATCAGATGAAAATCCACTGGAGGAATGCTAACTTTTTGAAAAATGCTAATGAAGCATTTAGCATTTTACTTTGGACCAGAGCAGAGAAAATGCTTGAACCAAGAGGCTACTCCACCTCTGCTGCTGTGACCTGAGGCTGTTGCTGATTATTAACATTGTTAGCTTTTTTGAATGATCAATTTTATTTTTACTGCTACTGGACACCTGAATTTCTCCAACGGGGATCAATAAAGTATCTATCTTTCTTTATATCATTCCATTTCTTGTGTTTGAACCGTTTGATTCTCTGATCTGTGATGGCAAATTCAACCTTTTTGTTAAGTCCACAAAGGTCTACCACTGTTGGGATTTAGGGCAATACAAGAATACATTGAATTGACTTGAATAATACAATATCTCCAATGTATAAAGGCTAATCCTTCATCTCCAGAGAGAGACTTTCCTCATCCATACCTAACAGAATGGTAATGACGGTAACAAGCTTACGTTCCCGCTCCGTCCTCCTGCCCTTCTGCTTCTGCGCTGTAGTCTTCATCTTTCTCGTCATCCACGTAGCTGAGTGCATCACCTTCATCCTCCTCATCATCATCATCATCGTCCTCGTCTTCAGAAGAGAGCTCCGGTTTGGGAGCGGCCAGGATAGAAGCGAAGGCCAGCTGGACCCCAGGGCTGACTCCCTCTGAGCAGCCAGAGAAAACGATTAGGGCCAAAACACTGACAGTCTTAGCGTTTTTAATCCAGTGATATTTAACATGGTTCTGAAGTTAGACACTTTTTATTCTGTGATTATTCAGAATACTCATAATTCTTGCGTTGCTCCAAAACATATTCCCACAGACATTGTATAACAAACAAAAGCTATAATATTAACCCTTTAGGTGCAAACATTTGAGCCCTTAAACTTTCTAGAGGACTACTAGAACCAGTAACAGAAATTGAGAATTGATAAAAATATAAGAAAACAAAGAGAGTAGAGTCACCTCAGCAATTAAAATGCTCTCAAATGAACATAATACAAGATGCGCAGGCCTACAAACCAACCAAGAATTATCTTTGATTTCGTACCAATTTTCTCGGAGAGTCCAGTCGATGTGGAGGGCACAGGCTTCTCTGAGCCTTCATCCTCCGCTGCTGAAGTCGCAGTGTCCTCCTGAAACAGCACACACCATGTTTAAGACAGAACTATTCACTTTACAGAGGAGGGTTTCTCGCCCGTCACCTGTGCTTCAGTTAGCAGGTTTTCCAGACGTTTTGTTCTTAATCCAAAAAACTTTTTCAATGAAAGCTCAGCCACGAGTTGGAGATTTATAACCTTTGAGTGTGATTCGACACCCTCTGATCCTGAGGCTAACACATCTAAGGTCTGCTAAGATGTGGTTGGGAGCAGGTCTAACGATCCTGCAAGGGCTAACGATCCTATCGCATTAACATGTCACTGACCTATTGTCTGCTGAGATCGCTCGGGTATCTGAGCTTTCATTCCCCTGAAAAAGTGCTTTGGATTAAGGAGGAAACGTTGGTAAAAACCTGCAAACTGATGCACAGAGGATCGGTGAGCGACGTTACTGTTTTTTGAATAATCCCTGTACGACTGAGAGCCTACACAAACTTAACTATTCACATGATTCAGCTTTAGTCCATAACCTACACAAACACATATATTGGGTTTACTTTTGCAGGTCGAGCTAAATGCAACAGAAGTGACATCGATCTCACCCATAGACTGTAAATATTAATCTCACCCCAGCTTTCCGCTCATCTCTCCGTCTGTCAAACTCCTCAAAAGTGATTCTTCCTTCGAGGTAGTCGATGAGCTCCGCGCTGAAGCCCGACATCCCGAGGCTACGTGAGGCTGACGTGAGGCTGACGTAAGGCTGTGCGGGTGTTAGCAAAGCACTGTGTCTGTACAAAAGGCTCTGTTTGATGAACTAATGTCAGAATATAAGCCGCAGACGGTCTGCACGACGAAGACACATGTCTGCAGGACCATAACAAAGAACACGTGACTACTCACTTCCGCGTTCCGGGTTCAGGAGCTACCGACTCTGGAGCGCCATCTGCTGGAGAAGGAGGGTCCAACTCCACAGTCCAGCGGCACAGACTTTGTAATTTCATTGGGAAAAAACTATTGTTAAATAAAAAAATATATTTTTTAAATCTTGAAATAAGAAAATAAATGCAGACAGAAAATAATACAGCTTTATTACTTTGTTTGGAACCAAAAACGTTGTATATTTATGATATTTATTTGTATAAAATCTCATAATTTGTAGCCTTATATTACTGATAATTTGCAGATTGTGACTTTTTTTCCATTTATTTATTAGTTTGACAATGTTCATGTCCATCATGACCCCCAATGAAAGATACTATTGAAAGTTGTAAAGCCTTTAAACATAATGTGTTCACTATTCATTTCACACTGAACTCTGTCCTGCGAAATGTTCAGGTGAGGATTAAGTTGTTGTAGTATTGGTAAACGATCTCAGTTCTGGGAACACTGGTGTCTTAAGTGTCTTCCTAAAATGAGGCATTAGACTTTATGTTTCATTTTTTCTTTGTCTGTGTCGTGTGGTGTCTTTGCTTTGTCTTTTATTTGGACCTTGAGTCTGGAACGTATCACACACGTGCACCGTTTTGGCCATAACAATATATGGGACTTTTCTTTGGCAGTGGTCACATGGGCCAATGGTACACACTTACTGCCTTGCCTCTGTCAGACTGCCCCAGGACAGCTGTGGCAACAGATGTCGCTCATGAATATTGCCATCTGAAGGGCCCAGAAAAGTAAGATATAAAACAAAGCATAGCTGTTAATACCTTTTGATTCATAAGGACACATATTATGCTTTTGGGGTAGAATTGGGCACCACATCGCTCAAAACACAAACTACACTTTGTAAATGTGCAAATGAAAACAGAAGCTCACTAAAGATGGTCCCGAATCAACAAAATATTGATGTAGTAGAAGACAGCTTCCGGCAGGGGGCAGTAGTGCAGCAGCAAAATATCAACGTCTCGCTAGTGTTGTTGCACTGTGATTTTAGCAGAAACAAATAGAGTAAGATTGAATAATAGTAATCTAATGCGATCTTTCACACTCATGTATATTTATGCTCCCAGAAATAAAATTTGTGCTTTGCTATATACATTTTTAAACAGTAATTGATTACAAACCCTTTGAAGAATGGAAGAATTGGAAGAATAATTAGTCAAAAACTCAAATGATTGGAATCCAGTCAGACGAACATAACTGCGTGCTTTATTGATATACAGTAAAGCATTTTTATAATACAGTAGTAAGGCATATATTTGGTGGAATCTGATATGTTGTGATGTTATTTCAGACGTGATGATGGATGAGGAGAAAACAAAGTTAAAACAAAGTAAATTCAGTGTCTTCCCGGTTTGAAAACAACAAAACAAAAAAACATTTTGGATCATGCTGTCAAGATAAAACACAAAATACACACACCTCCTACACTCGAGATTCTCAGAGTGGTTAGACATTAAATATAAACTTATTTTAGCCGCACGTGCAAAAATAATGCAAAAATAAAAACACTGTCGCTAAGGTGAACGCAAAACAAAACAAAAAACAAAAATGAACAGCAGTGCACAGTTTTTGGACATTCAGATGTGATCGAATGCGTTCGGATGGATTTGGAGTGGACTGTTGACGATTCTAGCGAGGTAGAGCTTGCGTCACCCACACCTGCTCTATATAAGAAGCAAAACCTTACACTTAGCAGCTTTGTCAAACTCAATAATTAGGAGCACATTCGACGAGTGTGAGAGGAGCTTTGAAAGAGAAGAAAAATATATAAAACCAGTTTGAATTTTGACCTGAAGCCTGAAACCCAGTGGACTGCAAAGCAATCTAGGGCTGTATTGAGCAATCATGGAGATATTTTCATCAGTAATTTAAATGTGATGCAGTATTCACATATATATACGAGAAAGCTTCAACCAGATGTTCTTGTTCATATATGTATATAATTCACACGATGAATCATCCTGGCCTTGACACGGCTGCAGCATTCATTGTGGAAAAAGCTGCAACAGGCCGTTCATTCAACAGGCTATTTCATACAGAAAAATCTATGTAAAAGGTGCATTATTTAGATTTTTCATATTGCACCTCTGATATAGAATGAATACAGTGTTAATAATAGACTGGGAATCGTCTATTGTCAAACCAGCACTATCCGTTCTTTCCCAGGCTTAAGTACAGTGCTTTTACCAACTCCAAATAGCAAGATAAATAGGACAAACTATATCAATGGATGGAAGTATGAGTATGAAAATCTGTGAAAATCCAACTGTTGTGTGATATCAAATAGGCACCGTCGCACCCGCACATACATACATAATTGTACTGCAAAGATCCAGGATGCCACGGTGATAGAAAGACCTCAGAGAAAGCACCCTTACGATTACAATCTTGTTTTCTCCCCCATACAAACATGTCTCTGCTTTAGCATGTTGCCCCCGGTTACAAAGAGATGGCGAGAGATCACGACGCACACACACACACACACACACAAACACACACTTGTATCATTGTGCCCCTACCCAATAATCCCCTTATTTTATACAATTGCATAGAAGTTTAAAAAGGAGCCCGTGTTAATAATAAAACAATTTTCAAGACGTATTTTTAAGAAACTACTCAAATCTACAAGTTATAGTGTTTTGTCGTATTCTTTTTTTCACCCCGACGTCACAATCCTTCACAAAAATAGACGTTTTATATATATATATTTATATATATATATATATATATTCTCTTTGTAAACGGTTGAGTTCCAATCCAGTTGTTTTGACTAGAAAAGCATGCGGCGGTCAGCGGGGAGGAAGAGGGCGGAGCTTGTAGGATGACAGGGGCGGGGTCAATAGCGCAGGGCCTCGTGCGATTGGCCGCTCTGCTCGTCAATCATCACGGTGACCAGAGACTCCATGGCGCGGCCCAAGTCGTCCGCCATATGGAACAAACTGCCGATGGAGGGACCTGCCGGGACAGAAGCCACAGATGAAGACCACCACAGATGACGAAGCAGGAAACAGAAATACAGTCGAGACCAGGGTTTCTCAAACTGCGGTCCTTAGTGACGAATGACAAATATTATTCACATGTTTGTTCTCTTTTGGCTCAATCCTCATTTCGTGCGACTCTAGAACAGCGAGTCTCAGCCCATTATTGTGTCATAAGCCGACCGTGGAATAACCTGAAAGAAAGCAAAGAATAGTTTCTCCTCATCATCTGTACTTCTTAGCAGGTTATCCCTCAGCAGACAATAGGTCTGTGACATGCTAATGAGTTAGGATCGTTAGACCTATAGGCTTGTGACATGCTAATGCGTTAGAATCATTAGACCTATAGGTCTGACATGACAATGAGTTAGGATCGTTAGACCTATATGTATGTGACATGCTAATGAGTCAGGATCGTTAGACCTATAGGTATGTGGCATGCTAATGAGTCAGGATCGTTAGACCTATAGGTATGTGACATGCTAATGAGTCAGGATCGTTAGACCTATAGGTATGTGACATGCTAATGAGTTAGGATCGTTAGACCTATAGGTATGTGACATGCTAATGAGTTAGGGTCGTTAGACCTGCTTCCTTCCACATCAAAAAGACCTTAGTTTGTTAATGAGTTAGCATCAGGATTAGGGTGTGGCTGACTACACCCATAGGTTATAAATCTCCAATGTGTGGTCTGAGATTTCATTCCCTTGAAAAAGTCCTTTAGATGAAGGACCAAACGTCGGGAAAACCTGCAGAAGTACAGATAATGGAGAGAAACCTTCCTTTGCTCTGACTAACCCCTGTACGACTGAGAGCGCAAACAAACCTGAAAGAAGTGATTATGTCTTGGAGTTGTGTTTCTGATCTGAGAAATCTGCCAGCTATGCATTTTACTTTGAGTAGAATATAACCAAGGTACATTTTTATCCAATTCATTTCTATAATTTAAGTCTAAAAACTTGCATTATTGACTCATGTCAACCCTCTTTAATTGCCAAACAACAAAGTACAGATATAGATGTTTGGCAATGTAGTAGATACATATTGAAAAGTTCGAACTGTTCAAAAGCACACAACTCCAGTTGAGAAGCACTTCTATAGAAAGCGTAGTCCAATTTGAGTCCTGTTTTAGACCTGGTTTTGGTGGTGGTACAGATGTATAAAAAGGTCCTTAGATTGGACTATTATGTGAAAAACCACTGGCCACGACAAATGAACGCTGCAATGACAAACGAGGATGAAATGATGTTAAAGGAAAAATCCCAGAATGCATCTCTCTGGTGTTTTATCAGCTCTATGTGAGATTCCCGGGTTGATCTGTCGACTTTGAACCGTAGCGTATATGTACATTTGTTTTGTAGTAACACAACACAACCCGGGGAGGCTGGTGGTGATGTCGCTTGTTACTTTCACATCTGCCATCAAACCTTTGCTCCTGCGACATCTGTGTTTGTTGGTTCTTTAAACAAACACGGTTCACATCCAGTCGCTTCAGAGTCTGCAGATGTCGTTTTCCCCCTGAGCTGTTGTCTGCATCGAAACCAAAACACTATGTACCCGAGTGCGACGACGGCATTACACACTGAGCGAGTCAAACAAGCCTCCCGCCGCGACCAGCCGAACGGAGGCGCGGCAGAGGAAGGAGACGGAGGCGAAGGAGCGGAAGTAAAGCCTGGGATTAATGTGTGTGTGTGTGTGTGTGTGTGTGCGTGTGTGTGTACCTGTGAGGAGATGTGTTAGGCATTGTGTGTTTAGCATGTTAATAGATTTGTATTTTTATTGATTCTACAGATTTTTTTCTATATATTTTTTACCGTAAATTAAAATTGTGAATCATTTCTGTCCGCTTTACCCATTGCTTGGTTGAAGGGGCAGCAGTCTTAGTCTTAAAGCTTTCTCCAATCTGTTCCCAGGCCAGCTGAGAGACACAGTCCTGGAACCATTTAGGTTTTTTGCATTTATTTCGATCGCCATAGTTACGACAGACTGAACACAGGAACAGACAGTGCAACCCCAATAACTTAATGCAGTGTCTCCCAAAGTGGGGGCCGCGAGAGGTCATAACAAAAAAAAAGTTTTATATAATTATTGTATGTTAAATTAATAATATTTTGTTTGTAAAATGTAAATATTTGTGTTCATTATTTGTCTTGAATAATTAAATTGTAATAATTTTTGTATTGCTAAATGGGGTGCGTTGTTTACATGTTTGTAGCAGAGGCTATTTCCCCCGAATAAAATAACGAGAAGAGCCTATTTTTTAACGTTGTCTTCTTGGTTATTAATCCCGGGGGCCGCGCAGACCCGTCAGATTTTTAAGGGGACTTTAAGGGTGTTATTGACTTTGGGCATGGCTGACTTAATGAATACTAATAATCAATCAATACTTTATTATCTCACAGATGGAGAAATTCAGTTCGATGAATAAACATAGAATAGAAGTTTTCTCCAGCTTTCTTTGGCTCCTTTCACTTTCATTGAAAAGTAAACTCCTCTCGCACATTTAAAAGTCCGTACTCGAACGCTCTCCATGGTCCTGGGGTTTGTGTCATATCCATAGACTGTAAATATTAACGGATGTAGTCACGCCTATCTCCGCCGTTCTAACTAATGTGCCACAACTTCTGCGGTCTATGGGCAGTTTCAAAATTGCCGCGGGGGCTTGAAAATGTGAAAAAATGCGTCAGCTGCTCTATTCATTTAAACAAGTGACTTCAAAAATTCACAGCAAGTAAACTAGAGTGGTCCAAATTCACTCCCCTCAGCAGTGACACACATGTGGAACGGAGCTTTGGGCCAAGAGCCAACTTTTGGACCATCCTGTAAAGACGTTTTTGAGAGGTCTGCCAATGCTATATGTTAGCATTGGCTAATTCTTCTTCTGGGTCCACCCCCATCGGCCCGGGGTGGTACTGCAGCATGTCAGCGCACGTCATTTTGGCCACTTTTGAGCCGGCCCCACTGGTCATATTGTGTGGATTATATTTTTATACATGGTATTCATTTGACTTTAGTTCTGTGGTTTTGTCTGCCCCGCCCTAATGTACTTGTCTGTTGGTTCCCTGGTTGCCATGTTTTCTTGCATTCCTGCATTTTGGGTGCTACTTCATCTGACCTCATGAGTTTATTTTAATCTTTTGCCAACTTCAGCAGTGGGGACAGAAGTCACTCTTCAAAATTAGGAAGCAAGTATCAATATATCATTATTTTTTGCAGTGCACAGTATCAGTATTGAACAACAAAGGGAAAACAGCCTCCATCGCCTCCATGTACAAGTGCAGAGTGAGTCAGTGGTGAAAAGTGTTCTGAAGAGATAAGCAAGCGGACGTTCAGGGACACTTACCGCTCATGGGTGCCCCCTCCTCCCTCCTGCGGTAGGAGACAGAGGAAGACGATGAAGAGGAAGAAGAGGAGGAAGAAGAGGGGGAGAGACAGAGACAGAGAGAGAGAGGGGAAAGAGAAAAGCTCATTAACACGTGACAGCAGGACAGAGGACAGAAGCTCAATCAGACAAAAGGACATGGACGTCACTAAAGAACGCTGCACTAATACTTACACTATATGGACCTGGTCTCCATGGCGACACAGTCAAATTGTACAGTGTTAAGTATCTCCAGAGAGACAAGTGAGGTTACGGGCCGGATCTACCTTGGCTCACTGTAGAAATGCATGTTTGAGCCACTTTATGAAATGCACCCGTTGTACAAGGATTCTTTAGTAATCCTTGTACAACGGATAACTAAAGAAACAATCCATAAAATCAAATCATAAATCAATATAAAATGTCATAGATAATGAAATATGTCTCATAAATCATACATATATAACAATAAAATACTAATACAAAAATTATAGCCCTCGTCATCGTCAAAGCAATCATGTCAAATAACATTTTATAATAATTAATAAAAAAAAGTACTCTGATCTCTGTGTGGATGTGAGTGAATAGAGATTAGAGTTTCGCTTTTCAGCCCGAGCCCGAGCTCACTTCAGCGCTCAGCAGTCGGGCCGTTCCGGGCTCCGGCTCCTTTTTATTTTTACTTTTTTATTTATTTTTTATCAATATTTTTTATTATTTATATTTATATATGCATAATGATATGCATATATGTATTTATTAATAATAATGTCCGTTGATTGACCACAAGTTATTAAAAAAGTTGATATATTTATAACACCGTAACCGGCGTGTCCTACAGCAGCAGCGAGCCGTGAACGCATCATCCCTGTTTTTCCTGTTGAATGCTACGGTCAACAGCGAACACACGGAACATTAACAGAAATGGATCAGGTGGTCGTACAAAACACATTCAGAAGTGGCTAAACTTGCAATTTGAAGGTGAGTGCGCACAACAAGGGAAATCAGATGTGTCGGGCTTCTGTCGGGCTTCTGTCCGGCTCGGGCCTATTATACAACCTTAATTGGTCGGGCTTATACGGGCTCGGGCTTAGTATTAGCGGGCTCGGGCCGGGTCGGGCTTGATTTTTCAGGCCCGAACGAAACTCTAATAGAGATGTGTGCATGTGATTTTTCTTTTTCTTTTTAAGTTTACCATTATGTTAGCCTGGCCTTACCAAACCATTGTACTCATTTCATTTCAGACTTACGCCTGTATTTGAGGTAACTCCTTTTGCTGATTGAAACGATGGAGTCTTAGTTCACCGTGACGTATGTAGTTTGCCCAAGTGAGTGAGGTATTTAGCATTTAGCCTAGCTTTAGCATTTAGCCTAGCTTTAGCCATCTTCTTTGCCACTAACGGAGCCCATGGGGAAGAATGCTAACTTTTTGAGAAATGCTAATGAAGCATTTAGCATTTTACTTCGGACTAGAGCAGAGAAAATGCTCCGAACAAAGCGGCTACTCCATCGTTTGACCTGTCCTGCTCATGGATCTATTATATTAACTGGATAGGGTATTACTAGCTTGTAGCTGAATAACTCATGTGCTCGGGGGATTCTCGCGGTACTGCAGACTGAACCAGACTAAATTCACGTGGGCTACCCAGAAATTTTCCCCATAGAACTCAATGCATATTAAAACAGCTCAACCTCAGCTGACAGAGAACCTGACAGAGAACCTGACAGGGAACCTACAGCTTTAATAAAGGTCGGATTTTGTGGGGATTTTAGTGTCCCTTGTCATCCTGAACTTTTTTTCTTCTTAAATCCTTCGGTTTTGTTTAAATCCACACTTTACTGCCACAAACTCTGCTCGTCTGGCTCTCGCTCTAACTCCCGCTCTGATGAACTGCTCTGATTGGTCAGAGCGCGGCCGAGCCCCTCTGTGCACGTGCGTGAGACCTGGTGTGAGACCCACACACGCGTGTTTGTGCAACGCATTATGGGAGATCATCCACTGCGCAGAACCGGGAGGACCAGACGATGCCCAAATACAGGCGAGTTTCCCATAGATCTTTGCAAGTTCCAGGCGACTTCCGCTAATCTTTTCAGCCCCCATGCCATCACAAAGCGCCACTGAGCACAACCATTCATTTGAATAGGGCGCCATCTTGGATCGCTGGGGCTTGGTCCTGCTCCACCCAGAGGCTACTCCACCTCTGCTGCTGAGACCTGTCCTGCTCCACCCAGAGGCTACTCCACCTCTGCTGCTGAGACCTGTCCTGCTCCACCCAGAGGCTACTCCACCTCTGCTGCTGTGACCTGAAGGGCTGTTGCTGATCATTACTATTGTTAGCTTCTTTGCATGATCAATTTTATTATTTATTTTTGCTGCAACTGGACACCTGAATTTCTCCAACGGGGATCAATAAAGTATCTATCTTTCTAGCTATCTATCTATTTACAAATAACCAGCTAATTCGACTGACGTCACTGACACCTACCTATAACACCCTCCTCCCCCGCTCCCTTAATGGTCGGAAGCGATACAACCGGGGAAACTGCAGCCACTAAGATCAGACCCAGACATACTGTACATGTAGGAAATGATAATTGACCAAAGTTTGTGGATGGCTAAGACCAGGCTACCATTGTGTGAAAACTTGGGTTAACATTTTATAATGAAACAAAATGTGGTTGTTTTCCGGAGAAAGCAGACGATGTATCACGTGCCTTGGTAACCCATAACCATCAAAGCTGCAAGTTGCTAATGCTAACAACTGAAAATCATTCTAGGGGCCACTACTAAAAGTCTTGCGGGTCGGATTTGGCGGTTAGCTTCTGTAGCGCTCTCTTTTCTGTTTTTATACACACATTTTTATAAAGGCCTGCAGCTGGAACCTTCGCTGTGGTGCACCTGAGACCAAACTCTTTTCAATATCCCGGCCAAATTCTGACATGAATTTTTGATGAGGCGTTGCTTCGCTAGATGATAATGTTTGGTAATTATACAACTTACACTTTTAATTAGCCGTTCAAATTTCACGCCGGAGGGGAGTCTCAGAGGATTGTTAAAATATTTCCAATCTTCTAGGAATAACATCACTTTATGACAACGTAAAACTGTGAGCATTTAACACAGACATGATTTTATGGAGAAATGGACTTTTTACAATATTAAATAAAGTTGTGTTTTGTGCCTTCCCCTGCCAGAAGGATAATAAACTTTGTGTTGTTAACTTAATAACGGGAATCGCTAACTCTCAAACTGTTTTGATGGCTCTCCTGGGGCGTTTTAGTCCTTTTTGCTTGATTTCTTAATGAAACCAAAGTGACATAATTATATTCATTTTATAGTCACAGTGGCAAGATACATTTATACATTTACTTTTATGTATAATTCAGAAGCTTGAGTTGCTTTGAGAAGTTAAAATCGGAATATTTTCTATGGCAAAGCTTTACAGTAGGTATACATTTTAAAGTTGGGGTATGTAACTTTCAAACCACAACACAACATTTTACCGTGTATGAACAATCCAACTCAGTCTGAACAAAAATAGGTAACTCATTTTGAAATATTTAGATTTTTTTCCAAAATATGTTTTTTTTTTTTTTCAGTTTTCCAGATTTTTTTTTCCAGATTTTTCTGATTTTTTTCTGAATATTTAGATTTTTTCCCAGAATATATATATATATATATATATATATATATATATATATATATATATATTTTTTTTTTTTTTTTCCGGAATATTATGATTTTTTTCAGAATATATATATGTATATACTTTTTTGATTATTTAGATTTTTTCAAATATTTAGATTTATTTTCAAACCCAAAAAAGTAAAAAAAGCAAACCATTGTCCTTCAGCCAATCAGCTCTCTCAGCCTAAATTCAAATATGTTCATTCATCCATTACAAGAGTGATAACATGAATTCTAATATGTTTACATTTGTTCACAACTTTTAACTTTTGCAAGACCCTAAGAGTATATTTATTAGGAAACAAAACAGCCCCCCCCCCCCCCCCTTATTACACATGATCCGAGTCCAGTTATGTTCAGAACCAGACTGAGGTTAGGAGTAATGACAGAAAAAAACAGTGCATTTTGTTGAGAAAAAGACATAACAAAGAGTTTTTTGTGTCATTTGTGCTCTTTAAAACCACAATTCCACCCATTTTGTATGAATTCTAAGCTTCCGTTGCGTTACCTTGACTGTGAGGGAAGGAGTGGTTGAGCTGCTCCATCACCTCCTCCAGCCCGGCGTCTTGGGAAGGACTGGAAAGCTCGTCATCTGTTAGAACAACATGAATAACATCAAGAAAACCTCAATATAGTGCAGTGTTTCCCAACTGGGGGCTCCAAAGGGGTCCGCTCGGGTATCGCAGCAGGTACTTGTATGGATTTTCATAACAAGACTGAAAGTAGGAGGTTTGTATGTGATTCCATGGCAACATCACAAAAACTGCCATGACATTTTTATATAAAAAAAAAATGAACCTAGAACAGTTAATAATAATAATAATAATAATTGGTTTATTAGGGTTCGGGTTAGGCTGCTATAGGAGCACTTTTAGTACAGTTTTGATTCAGTCCAAGAAAAATCTAAAACTCAAGTTCAATAACGAATAATATTTGTCCAAAATACCTACACAATAAAAGAAAACACAATTTAAATCAATTTAAAAAAAGTAAAATGAAGAGACAGAAGGGTAGAAGTATCATGCCCTATGTACGCACAAGAGGGTAAAAAAGCTGTGTGTTTTTGTACCCATGGCGTCTGTAGTCTGACTGGCGGCCATTCTGAGCACGGGGAGGGAGGAGTCGGAGCGCTGAGACGAAGTGGAGGGGGACGACAGGGCCGTGCCGTTCACCTTGGAGTCCGTCTGAAAGCAAAAATACAGAGATAAATAAATGCGTCCCGGCTTAATCAGGCGAGTCAGAGGGAAGTTCGCTCTCTCTCCCGCCGAAGGCCATTACCGCCGGCGAAGGAAATAACAAGCCAGCAATGCATTGTAATGACGAGGAAACTTTTAATCTGCTTCATCGCCGCCGTTTATTCATCCTGCCGGTGTCCGAGGAAGAGGTTCGGCCGGAAGATGGCACATGGTTAGGATTAAGAACACCTACAAACTCAATATAAATGGTGTGTTTTAAAGCTGAGGTCCCAGACATTCAAACCAAAGACCAAGAAACGATGTAAAAAGATAAAATAATACATGTTTCAGCTCAGTTATGTTTCAGCACAATTATGACCATTTCAATCACTTCACTGCAACAAATGTTCAAATATGAGGTAATAAATGGTTGAATCGAGCACATTCTGACTGTCTTAACAATATTTGCCAACGGGACAAAGCCATTTAGTTTGATTTCAAGAACTGCTTTATTTTCTCATTCCAAGGGAGATATTTCTTGTATGCGCTGAAAAGGTTCTGAAAAAGGCTTATACTAGTTTTCATATAGATGTATTGTTTGGCCTCTGTCTTTAGATCAGCGTTTTCAGACAGAAAAGTTAAAAAGTGCTCTCAACCCAAAGTGTCAAATTGTGAGTCACAGGATTAGAATGGGTCAGAAGAGTTAGAATGGGTCAGAATACTAAAATCTGTAATCTGTTGTATCATTTGTCTTGCGACCTTTTCATCTTTCTGTTGGGACAAACTATTTTTGGGAATTACATACCCCAGCTTTAACCTATACAAAAAAACATGTATTTTAGAGCTATGTAAAAGCAAAAGCAAGTATTTTAGAGCTCTGCAAAGGAAAAAAATTATTGCTACATCTTACACTTGTTCTCTATACTTTTCATTTTCCTAAATGTAGTTAAATGACCTCAAAATGAATATAGTTTTAAACATATAAATGCAGCTTTTTTTTTTTTTTGGGTAGTGCTGTCCCTTGTTCCAGAGAATGACATTTGTCCAGCAGGTGGCAGTGTGTCCTTGGGCTGGATCCCTGTCGTCTCGTGACAGTGAAGGTTGTGACACATTATTACGGATGACTTTGGAAAGGCAAGTGACCGCAAGTCGCCCGAGTGGAAAGTGATACGTTTGTCCACAAAAATAAAACTCACGCAGGAATAATTCATCAAACTTTCTGCTAATTTGGTTCGAAGACCGTCTTATTAACAAAGGTCGCAAAGACAGCATTGCCCTTCAGACTTTAAGACGGTTTCATCCTTTTACTCAACTTTCTTCACATCAAAAAAATAAATCTCAATCCATAGCCTCATCTGCTGGTCAAAGCCTGATGTTGTGAGAAGCTAAGCCGTGCAGGGCCTGGTTAGTACGGTGATGGGAGACGTCTTTAATGTGATGGCAGGTGGCACATTGGAACGGTTGAGTCTAGTTGCCTGTTAGTGTAAGCCTGGTATATTAGTACATCTTTGAGTATGTACAAAAAACATAAGAATAAGGATTTCTAAAAATAAATATATATATATATATATAAAAAAAAAAATTGGCCTCTATTCAGACCGGGTTTGCTGCCAGTTTTCATGTGGGGGGCCCATCTGGTTGATCAGAGGGCGCTTTAGCACTCAAACTTTAGGACAGTATAATTGCTATCATAAATATACTGTATAAGCAGACATTCTATTCATTTTGAGTATTTAATTTTCACACAGGCTCAACTGCAACTGTCACTTAACTCAAGCAGCACATTAAACAATACACGTGTACGGCGAGGGACTGTGTATTTCATCGCAAAGATTACCATTAGTGAGTCGCTTATATACGCTCTACTATAACCATGGCTTTTCCCTGTGCCCTTAAATGCATCTGATGGCCTTGTCTCAGGAGTATCCATCTCATCATCTCATCTTTTGCCAAATGGGCAGCCCGGCTTTTTGCCGTCGCGGTAAAGTGGTCCGAACATTTAAAGCGGATGGCCACTTTATTCTGTTACTTACGATAAACGTGGAGAAGGAAGGGGCGGGGATCAGCAACCACAATACAATGTTGAAAATTCATCATCACAGTGAACAAGTGCGCAGTGAAAGTTGTTGCAAAACCTTTCTTTAATGCACTTTTATCCCCTCATCCCCCGGGTTCCCTTTCTACATTTACCTTAGGTAACAGCGTAAAGGGGCAACCCACTTTTAATGTGCGGACCACTTTACCGCAGCCGTTTTTTGCTGTTCTTTTCCGAAGGAATTAGAAAAAAAAAGACTTTATCTGGCCCCAGCAGGCCGTACAACCGACCACACAACAAGAATGGACCTTTTGAATTAGTAAAATCTCTCTCCACACGTCTAAAACTAGCAATCTCTCTAGCATCCAGGTAGCTTTCTACTGTATGCTGTTTTGCCACCCAGTCACATGAGCGGGCAGAAAGACTATAAACAACAACGACACTCAAAGATATATCCATTTTCATGTGGTACTATGCAAGAATAAATGTAGAATTGAGTGGAAATAATTCAATTTAGTTTTGCCAAATAGACAGCTTTGGTATATATGCATTTTTTCTCAATAGAATCAAATTGGACATGTAAAGTCTCAGTCTATCACTTTTCTGCATGGCTTTTCCCTGTGCTCTTAAATGCATCTGCTGGCCTTGTCTCAGTAATATCTCGCCTCAGTCTACTTTTTTGCAAGCCTTTTCCTGCCACAGGCTCCGAGACTCAGGGGCCTCGGTCTCGTCTCTGTACCTGCTCCAGCAGCTGTCTCAGGCGGTGCAGTTGGGACTCCAGCTGCTTGTTGTGGTCCTCGAGGATCTGCATGCGAGCCTCCAGCCGGCCCTTGTGCTGCCGCAGGAGCTTGGCCTCTGCGATGAGCTCTGCGTCCCTCGCGCTCTGGGGGGACACCGGGAGCCTCTCCGGGGGCGAAGGCAGCGGCGACAAACCCTTCCGGTCGTGGGCCTTCTTCAGCCGGTCGTACTCCGCCTGCAGCTTTCTGGGTTTTTGCAAAGAGAAGTAAAAGAGGAGATTTAGAAAAGCAGCATTTTTGACTCAACGGAGAATCCCATTTGCTCAATTACATCGTGAGGACAGATAAGTGATTGGTTCAGAGGAAATGGAAACCCGGATAACATTTAGTCGCCTGCAATAATGTGAAAATGACTTTGCATATCAGTGAAGGCAGCCAAACTAGGAGAGCAATTTTACTTTCAAACTAACACCAGAACAGTGAGAAATGATTTCACAAAAAGTGGTCCAGAAAATAACCGGCAATATTCTACAGTTTTACCACTTAAAATGGTTCTTATGCACACAAAAATTGCAATACGGACAAATTTAACAACAAAATTAGAAAGATGCGAGAGCCACAGTTATAGACAGTATATGTGTGTGTTTCCAAAATGAGCACTGTCACTGTTTGTGTATTACCAAACCAATTCAATGTATTATTCTAAAGCCCTAAATCCCAACAGTCGTATGTAATGCGCCCGAGTGAGTCGTTAGCATTTAGCCTAGCTATCTCCTTTGCAGCTAACAGAGCCCGTGGGGAGTAGCACTACAATCTTTGCCAGCTATTGCTAAACATTACTCTTGCTCCGGTTTCAACTCCTCGATAGAAACCGACTGGATTACTTAACAATCACATTCTTCTAAACTACAACCTGCCAATTTGGCACAAACTCTTGACGTCACCGACATCGACCGACAACACCCGCCTCCCGCGCTCCCTGATTGGTCGGAAGGAATTCAACCGATGTAAGTGCAGACACTGGACTGGACCCAGACGGTAAATGTAGGGAAATGATTATTGACCGGAGTTTACAGATGGCTATGGCCAGGCTAATTTAATTAGGGTTAGTGCCTGGATCTATTAGTTTAGGTAGTTGGTTATATTTACTTCAGTCTTCATTCCGTACAAGATCTCGTGCTGACCTTTTTATAAGCTGTGAGCCAATTCTCAAAGTTTTTTAAAGTTGATTTACAAAAATAAATGCACTTTTGAATGATATACTAACTTTCCAAGTCTCACCTGAGAACTTAAATTGATGTCAAAACATTTAATCAGTTTGTGCAGCTTCACGGCTTTTAATTTCTTAAGCAATTCATAATTTACAAAGTACAAACTGTAAAATAACCAACTTTTCAGGATTTCGGCAGGATCTTATAAAGTCTGAACTCCTTCACTCCATAACTTGCACGTTGAAAATCATAAAAAAGTGTTCAAATGTTATTGTAATTAATCTTTTTGATGGCTAATATGTGACATGCTCTGCTCCTGGCTTCAGATTTTCTAAAATATTGTAAAACTTATCATTTGTTGGCATCCCTCAATAACCCAGGAGTGTCCATAAGTTCTGCACATTTCAAAAACATTGCGAGTCCCAGTCATTCCCACTGTTTTCTTTAAGAGCACAAGTTTAAAGACGGCTTCACCCACCTGTTTTCCTGCTCGAGGTCGGTCAGCACCCTCTCCAGCTCTCCCTTCTCCTCCGTCTCCATGGAGATGAGGATCTGGGCGGGGCTACGGGGCTGGCTGAGGGGAGAGCCTTGGTTCAGAGACTGGCAGTAGTGCTGGATCAACATGTGCTCGTCATCACTGCAAAACGCAACACACACACAGGCCAACGCACCGTACCATGCCACGCAGGGCCACGGCAGGACGGCAGAGAGAAAGAGACAGGATCAGGACGAGACCGAGGAGGCAGAGACACAAGACTGACGGCACAGAGGGAGGGACCCGCCGGCATCTGACCCGTTTACTTTCCCATGATAGAGGATAGAATTTCAAATGTGTTGAATGGTTTCTATGGTTTCAACTCAGGGCTGGGAAAGATCAAGGCTAGGGTTGTAATGAAATAGACTTTTTAAAACATGGCCAGTGATCCATACATGATTTTATTTGTATTTGTGTTTTATTATTGTGCGACCTGGCCTTAACATAGCCTGAATACCCGAATCTCCACCCACATTTTTGACAGAAAGGTTACAATGTTAGACAATGCTACACTTATAATTGTATAATGTGGGTCAATTCACAAAGAGGGCCCTGTCAAGTTGTTTTTGGGTACGACAAAACTGGTTTATTTTAAAGCTAGGGTACCCAACTTTGTTTTTTCACGAATAATACATATTTTTGGATTGTATATAAATTTTTTTGCATTCTGTTTTTTCTGCATTCTCTGTCTGTTTTTATTCCTCAAAAGGTTTTAATGTTTCCCATCCATCCATCCATTTTCTTCCCCTTAATCCATTTCTGGGTCAGGGGGTGGCAGTCAGAGCTGCACCCAGTTCACAGAGCACCAGCCCCTCACTGATCCTCCTGCAGGTGTGAGTCCACAGGAGCTGAGATCTTTCAGTGGGAGCTTCAGGCAAAGTGGGGTTAAGTGTCTTGCCCAAGGACACAACGACAGCAGTCATCAGTGGGAGTCGTGAAGTAGGTCTTATGGTGGGCTTGAACCCACAACCTTCAGGCCCAAAGGCCAATGCTCTACCAACTGAGCTACTGTCGCCCCTAATGTTTCCCAATTTTCTTTAAATGTGCCTTAACAACAGAAATAACACAATTATAAAAGTATGTGAACAGAGTAGACACATAATCTTTAGCGTAGATGTATGGCAGATCCCTGTGAGTCACTCATTGACTCTTGGGGGTGAGAGCTGATTGGCTGAGTGAGGGTGGTCCTCTCGTTATCACTTTTCTGCCTGAAAAAGTTGATCTAAAGATGAGACCGGGGCTAAAAGAAGAACCAAATCGTTTTGAGAGTGAGTAACACAAATTCTGTTACGGTTTAATGTTGTTGCAGTTGGAATGTTAGGTACCCCAGCTTTAATTGATTCGTATTAATAGCTAATAATGTATATATGGGTGGAAAATGAGTTCTAGTTAGTCCATTTTTTTCTGTCTGTGCCATGCAGTAGTTTAGTCATTTCAATTTCAAAACAATCAAAATATTATCATTATAAAAATATAATGGATCATATATTTAAATAGGTCATTTTAGATTCTAATAATGGTTTACAGGGGACTTTGGGCAGAGAACAGAGATGATTGAATTGAGATATTTTGAACTGTGTAAATTAGGACTGAAAGTAAACAGTTTTTCAAGATCGAGATTCCAATAGTTTCACCTTTTCACTGTCTTTTCACTCGTAAGTCCATCATCTGCATGTTACCGAGCGTGTATTAAATATGAATCATCCGACTAGCCAGCGACTCCAGCGCAGAAATCCATTACTGCAGAAATGCGAGTCAGACGTTTTTTTTTTTTTGGTGGTTTTTTTGAAGGAGAAAACACTCCACTGAACAACTCTATTTGCAACATTTGTGAAACGACTTGATTGGCCACGCTCCGACAGCTCCGGCCAATCACGCGTGCCGCCCGGAGTGTGTTCCAGGAAGCTTTTAATTAGACCAGGTATTTAGATGCTGCTTCTCTCTTTCTCTCTTTCTCTCTCTCTACTTTCTAAGACTCGTTTTTCACAGTCAGAATACAAAACGAGGAGCTCATTACGGGCAGAGCGGGCGCTGGTTAAAAACGCCCCGAGTTGAGTTTGGGAGCGGCGTCTCTCTGCTTCAGCACCTTTCAAGTTTGTGCGGAGCAGCTAACAACTTTTAATTGCGCCATGTCAAATTCTATGAGAAGCCATTATTATTGACAAACTTTTATCTGCCGTCCTAAAGCGAGACGGAGGTGGTGAGAGCTCCTGCCGGTTTAGGATCCAAGTGTCGGGGAAAATGGTTACTTTGGGAGTAATAAAGCTGTATTTGATATTTGTTAGTACGTTTTTAAAGCTGTAGCATATACATAAATGTACTGCTTTAACTGAGATTCATATGTTGAGTATACTTTTCAAATAATCCTACTTGATGATGCTAATATTCAACTTTTTGATCAGTCTGGGAAATGCATTGTTGGACTTTTTCAACCTTTTTTGCTTCTCTCATGAATATCTACAAGAGCTGGTTTATTTTAAAATTATAACTTGTGACGCCACCTCTGATCCCGTCAGAGCCCTAAAGCAAAGCAGGACAGGGCCTGGTTAGTGCCTGTGATGGGAGACCTCTAGGAACATCAAATGCGACAGTGGGGCAACTTTACACTGCTAAACTTGTTGTGTCCTTAGGCAAGACACTTCACACACATTATCTAGATTAGAATGTGTGTTTGTGTGTGTGTTTGGTTAGTGAGGATGGGAGGAGGTCGATGGCATTTACTGGTTGGCTAACTTCTGTCAGTGTGCCCCAGGGCAGTTGGGGCTACAGTATGGGAGTGAAAGAATAATGCCATTTGAGTGTACAAAAAGTGCTATATAAAACCGATTCATTATTACTATTGTTATGATTATATTATTATTCTTATTAAATAGATGGAACTTGAAAAGTAGAACGCAAATTTAAACATGTCTAAGAATAACTAATAATATTCGACCCGTTCAGAGTAAAATAAATGGGAGAAATGCCAAAGCGATGCCAAACCCGACAATGCCTTTTCCGTTCCTCTGTCTGTGCCAGGCAGTAGTTTAGTCATTTTAATTTCAAAACAGACATTAGCATTATAGTTAAACAGGTCATTTTAGATGTATAGTTTGTGCCAATAGTTTACAGGTGACTTTGTGCGAACAGAGAGAACAGAGGTTTTCAATAAAGAGATTTCCAAATGTGTAAATTAGGGCTGAAAGTAAAAAGTGTTTCAAGCATCGAGCATCGAGCATCTCATAATTCTATTTATTGCTTGAAACTAAAGTAATAAAATTGATCATGGTTCAAGAGAAAAACATACACATTTGTGCCGTCTTTGACTCAGCAATTTCACATCAAAAAAAGACAATAATGGTGGAAATCTCTTTTTAGAAAAATCTCTGCTCTGTCCACCCACATCTGACAGAGCAGGCCCCTTTTTGAGTATGCTCTGTAAGAAGGGCCGAGGACTCTGAAGACTGGGGCTGTCTGGTCGATAGTGTCGTAGTTGACCATAATATGTATTTGTCAATTGATTATCTTAATTAAATGACAAATATTTCAATGGAAAAACTTCAAAATTTAGATGATATAGAACAAATCTGCTGGAAAAGTTGGAATTTACTTTGATAGAGTCACCAAAGTCATTTAATTTGTCTCTACTAAAACCAATAAGTGATTTTCTGCCACAATAGTGAAGTTTACATGAAATTTAAGTAGAAATTAGAGCTGATATGTCATGTTTTTTACAGCTGTGGCCACGCCCTCTTTTTAGTCGACCAATCGGGCAACAGGGAATCTTTAAGTCAGCTATATATACCCCGGGATCTGCGACAGCCTCAGCCTTAAGACATCGGAAATGATACATCCACAATGCATTGCACACGTTCACGAGCGGAAGGACACGACACACACTCAGCCAGTCCAAGTGAACGGGAAATGAGCGAGAAAAAAAAGCGGTCCTCACATGCTCTCATTTGGCGAGATACTGTCATTCAAATAAGTGCCGTTGCGGTTTTCCATTTCGGCTAACCTGCGGAAGGAGGAAGAAACACAGCCGTTACTAGACATTTTGAAGGTGAAGAAAAAGAAAAAAGCTCCCACCTTAAGAAAGACGAACTCCAGAGAAAACTACTTTGAACTCCAATCAAGACAGGTTGAGGTAAACATGTAGACTATGAATATTTGATGTGATGGAGGCAAAAGTCAGAGATACTTTTCGCACAAGTGTTTACAAGCGCAGCCGAAGATCAAATATGGCCTTTCAGACTTTCGCTGATGGAGACCGATGTTTTGAGGCTGCCTTGGCTACTAATAATTACAACTGGATCTGGCAACGCTGACTTTGCGCTAAGGTCGATGTACAGAAAGGTAGCATTGACTAAAGTCTATACTATTCTGTTCGGAAAAGGATTAGCCGACTTAAAGGCCATGGTGAATGAGAATTAGTTAGTATAATCAAATGTGTAATGGCGTTTTTTTTTTAGGGTGACGGCTAGCTGTACTGCAATTGCTTTTAATTTACTGGCTAACAGTGTATTTGGGATTAAACTTTAAAAACAGGATTACAAGCTCTTATCATTTCATGTGATGCCAAAGAATGACTACGCTACAAAAAGTGAGGAATAATAAGCTCAAACTTGGCAAAAATATGTCGTCATTTGAGGTCATTTTGACGGCCTTAAAACAGGATTTGCCAATGGGATAGAGTAAAATTATCTTGTTTTAAAACGATACAAGAAATGTCTCCCTTGGAATGAAAAAAAAGAAACCGTTCTTGAAATGAGACTAAATGGTTTTGTCCCATTGGAGAATCTAGTTTGAAGAATGTCCTCAACCTAAGATATAAACCTCACATTTCATCATTTGTGGCAGAGTGAAGACGGCTCTTCTCTCAGACTAAACTTCTGCAAGTAGTTTAGACAATATTCAACAACAACTTTGCTTAAGCCTTTACGTTTCATCTGTTAAAAACAAAAAATCCACCCACATCTGAGCTTACCCTCCCGTCCTTCCCAGCAAGTAAACAAAACAAACGGCATGCTTTGCTCTTGACACGGGAATCGATAATGCTAAAATAGTTATAAATGTCATAGCAGCTCTTTTAATTGCCTCTGTGCTGCTGCATCTCCGTGGCTTTTGCCTGCAGCGGCGGTGTCCACTTTAAATAGGGGATAACGACATTTAGATCTATGGGGGAACTCACCACTGCTCTACCTCTCGCCTCCTCACTCCATATATATATATAAAAGTCTAATTTAATTGACTCCTTCGCCTCGCTTTCATCTGGAATCTGGCAGATCGTGCACCTGCCTGGAGGAGGAGAGGCCCGGAGGCTACGCAGGACTCTTCTTGATCAAATGCCCACGAAAACCAATATTTCTAAGTGTCTAAAGTGCCGTAGTGATTGCCCAGCTGAACCACAACCAGAGCAAGTGCATAGGTCAATCTCCTGAATGTTTCCTTCAAGTGCAGCCAAAATGTATTAAGCTAGCAATACCAAAATTCTGAAACGGCTCCGATTCCAAAACCGATGGGATTCTGAGACATTCACCCCCGAAAAGACATTGTTTTTCAGCAGATTTAAACCAAATAAAATGTCTAAATTCAGAATAATGAAGCGGCAAGTATGAAATCTCCAGCTTTTGCATGATAACAAAACAAATCTTAAATCTCTAATTTTAGCATAATAAGGACGGAAATAAAAAATCTCTAACTTTAGCATAATAAGGAAGCAAAAATCTAAATTCTTTATCTTCAGTATAATAAGGAAGCAAATCTAAAATCTCTAACTTCAGCATAATAACACATCAGTTAACAACAATAGAACTACTATAGATATGTAGATACAATAAAGACAGAGAAATAAACTACACATAGAAACATAAAAAGTGATGAAGTCTAAACATGTGCATGAGCTCTGGGAGTTCATGAATATTGACATGTTTTTCCCTTCTTTCAGAGCACGTACCCGCGCCATGCTGGATGCTTCAGGCAAAAGCATTACCATACCCTAAATACAGCCGCGGCAAACAGCTTATTCACCAAAAAGTCAACGTTTCACTTTATTATGTCCACACATTCAAATTAGGCCGTAAGCAAAGGGATATCTTGACATTTTAGTTCGGCCGGGCACTATTTATCATCTTTATTATCGCCTGACAAAAGCAGAGAAATCTTTCCGACTTATTCAGCAAGATGGGGAGTGTGTGTGTGTGTGCGTGCCAGCAGAGTCTGATGTGGGATAAGCGATAGTGAACAGAAAACATAAATAAAACATTTGATTAAGTGTCAAGGTATCCCTTAGTTAAAGAGACATGCACATTAGGCTTTCATACACAGCCCGGGGCGTTGGCTCCTCCCTCTCACAGACGCTGCCGAGGCCGATAGCAACATTTTATCTCTGCTTTTCAAAGTGCCTGTGTCTATGTCCGAGCACGGGTTGTCAAAACGATCGGAAATCAGATATTAATTACCCAGATATTTATTTTAGAAAGGATCAAAACACAAACAGGATTCGACGTGAGATTCTTGCAGCAGACAAGAAATAATTGTCGTACCAAAAAGTATTGTTATTTAGTGGTATTTTATTATGTTTAAAACTGCAGCTCATTGTCCAACTTTTAAAACCAATATTTGTATCATTTTTATTCATTCACTTAACCATGAAAGTCCAAAGGAGATTGCAGATGAGGGACTATTGTACATGTTTTAGTGGTGTGGGAAACCGGAGCAGCTGGAGGAAAACCTACACAGAGGTGGGGTAACATGCAAACTCCACACAGAAAGGCCAAACCGTGGACCTTCTTGCTGTGACGTACAAGCGCTAACCACTCTGCCACCGTGACCGCGCCCACAGTTATTTTCTGTGAATCCTAATCAAGTTTTAGTATAACTTTGTTTTTGTGACGACGCTGGTGCTCGCTCTGCTTCTGTGCTTCTGTTATTGTCAGTACAGCAGAGAAACGTGGGAGGTTTGCTTAAATTGCAAAGGCTTTACGTGTGTTTTGAACAAGCTCCATCAGCTTGTCCGGGGATTGTCAAATTCAATTTTGTTTCGTTTTTCTCCAGTTCAGCATTTCCTTTTTTCATTTTAGTTATCTCTGTTATTTGAGCGGTGGTATTTGCTTTTTGTGCTTGGGAATATTGTGATTGGGTAGGGCATAGACACACACACACACACACACACACGCACTTGGATCTCTCTCAACAAGTCAAACGGAGACTCATTTTAACTTGTTCCGATGCTAATTTTCTTGCAGTCATTTGAGAAAAACAAATGACATTTCCCAAATGATACATGTTTGCTTTAAAGTGAGGAGCACAGGGACTCTGGGCACTCCTGCTGGTCCCAGAGTCAGAACTAAACATGGGGAGGCAGCATTTCAGATTCATGCTGCTAAAATCTGGAACAATCTTCCTGAAAATGTGAGACAAGCCTCCTCTCTGACAATGTTTAAAACCAGGTTAAAAACACTTCTGTTTAGCTGTGCATACAACTGAGGGATTTAAGATTTTTAATGTACTGTGATTATTTATGATTTTAATGCTGTCTTGTCTGGTTCAGCACTTTGAGTTTCCTTGTGTATGAATTGTGCTATACAATTAAACTTGCCCAACGTATAGAGGGTCTATAACACGCTTAAATAGGCCTGCACTGCAAAAAATGATAAAATATGATGTACTAATTGCTTGAATCGAGTGGTTTTCATCTTAATTTGAGTACGTTCGGAGTTGCAATGTAGTCCTCTTTCAAGATCTGTTGCTTTCCTCTGCCCCGACTCCACTAAGGTCTGCTGTCAGTGTGTCCTTGGGCAAGACACTTCAAATTCAATCAATCAATCAAATTTTATTTATAAAGCGCTTTTCATACATAAGATGCAACACAAAGTGCTTTACAGATTGGTTAAAAACAATCCCGCCGACCCAAGACCCCTCCCCCAGACCACCCAACAGACCCCCCCCAAACCACAGACAAACACACACACACGCGCTCATGAACACTCATACACACACACACACACACACACACACACACACACACCAGTAAAACAATAAAAACATTTACCCACTTAACCCACTTTGCCTATAAGGAGCGCGGAAGTGATGTTTGCTGCTTGCCTTGATGTGTATGTGTATGTGTATGTGTATGTGTATGTGTATGTGTATATGTATATGTATATGTGTATGTATATGTGTATGTATATGTACAGTATATGTGTATGTATATGTACAGTATATGTGTATGTGTATGTGTATGTGTATATGTATATGTGTATGTATATGTACAGTATATGTGTATGTGAATGTACAGTATATGTGTATGTGAATGTACAGTATATGTGTATGTGTATGTACAGTATATGTGTATGTATATGTGTATGTATATGTACAGTATATGTGTATGTATATGTGTATGTATATGTATATGTACAGTATATGTGTATGTATAGGTGTATATGTTTGTGTATGCATAAATATTTCCCTATTGTGGGACGATAAAGGACCTTCTTCTTTATTCTCTCATTCCAAGCGGGACATGTCTAGTATCTTTCTAAAACACTTTAGCAAATCTTGTTTTTAAGGCAGTCAAAATGTGGTCAAACGAAGATACTTTTTTTAGCCAAATTTGAGATTTTTTTTACTTGTGTACTGGAAATTCTAATGCTCACTTTTTGCAGTTTAATCCCATTCAGACTTATTTAGAAATGTAATGGGCGGATGATCAACTATGTATTTTTTGCCCGCTTCACTGTATCACCTTCAAACAAGCTGTCCTAAAATCCCATAACTGCCCACTTAAAAAAAATAAAAAATAAAAAATGAAACCGCACGCACTAATTATTAACTATTTTGAACGGGCGTGCCAAGAAACGCGGGTCCCAGGTTGTTGACGGGAAGCACTCCTCCAGCACCATCTGTCGCTGGGCCTCCCTGTGATCCGCGGCGGTGTAAAAATACCGCATTTAGAAGAGCACTTACGAGAGATTATGTTCAACTTTCCGACTGATCAAATAAAAGGCAGATGAAATGGCGTAGGATCCGCGGTGCCTTCAAAGTGTGCGTCAGAACAGAATGAGGACAAAGCATCCCCAGTGGTTTGAGCGGCTGCGTGAGCACGGAGGGGAAAGACAGTCGTCAGAGCTTGGCCCGTCGCTGGCTTCTTCTTCCTCCTCCAAATTCATTATTTTAAATCACATTGATCGCCGTGGCTCTCTGGAGGAGCCATTATCTGCAACACTCGCGGGGACCGGGACAGTGGAAAGTGGAGCAGAAGCAGGCCCGCAATGATATTAGAAAAACTATATGTAATGGGTGAGGGGTAATATGGCCGGGGAACGATGATGTATGCTGCTGCGAGGGTGTGGGTAAATGTGGTCAATGTCGGTTATCCAATAAGAGCTCAGGTTAAGCCCAAAACTTGGCTACTGAATGTCTGTTGGACCATACCTTTCTCTTTGCCTTGCCACACCAGGTAGCAAAAGACATGTTTTTTTTGGTGTATGCATTTATATTTCTTTTGTGTTTGTATCATTGCAGTTTTTTCACTATTCCGTTCAGTGCTTTGGTGTTTTAAAAAAGCGGGATAAATAAAGTTTGGTTGAATGATTGATTCATTTCTGACATTAAAGAAGAAATATTACACTAAAAATAAACTAATAATAAAAAACTAATTTGCTACAAGCCGTGGGCCGGACTGGTTCAATGTATTGTGTTCAATGCACACAGTGTATCAATGATCAAATGAATACGCCAATATTTTTGTTTGGCTCTGTCAGAAGTGTAAACATTTTCCAACAGACTCTGAGACAAAAACAAACTTCCTTCAAAGAGAAAACACACGTCCTGATCATTAAATGAATTCTCCAATATTTTCTTATGGTTCTGTGCGGCAGGCGTATCCAAACTCAGACCCACAGTGTCATTTTATGCGGCCCTCTGCCTCGCTAACCCAAAGTAGTCTTTGAGATCATAAACACAAGTTCACTTTGTCATCCATCCAACTTCAGCTCAGCCAATATAGACCTTGTTCTAAAACCCTTGTTCTGACTTAATTCGCACAAACTGTACTGACGTGGTTTTTGATTGTGTCACTTCCGTTGCTACAAATGTAGCTGGTGAGATGGTAAACATGTGTCATTCAGCCAACTTCAGCTCTGTTATAGATCATCATAAAGCTAAAGAACAGCCTGCTGCCAGTCAAGACAGTTTCTCTGTCCTCGATGTCGGCCCCTGGACTAATCTGGTCAACTAAAGTGGCCCTCTTACTAAAATGTTTGGACACCCCCGTCTTAAAGGCACGGTCGCTCATGTTGTATTGTATATTTTAGCTTTCTCAACATATAAGGCATTGAAGTTTTACCGGTTAGCATAGTGCTCGATCCGCGTGTGCGTGTCATCGTGGGACAGCTGAGGCGACGACCCGGGCCTGAAACAGAAACAAACCAATCAGTGAATATATAGTAATTTTTTTTTTTTTAAACGCTTCTTCTTGGGGGCCCAAAAAACACTGGCTCACTCACACATGCACTATCCTGAGACAAATCCACAGGGAGGTCTGTGAGCGCGGCAGACACAACAAAGCACAGATGTGTAAAGCGCCGTATGAATTGTGAACAGGCACTTGTTATGTCTCCCTTTGAAAACTTTTATCGATTTCTCGGAGCTCGCACTCGCCGCCGAGATCACAGATTATCATTAGGCCTCGGAGGACGCGTCAACCTGCTTTGGTGGACGTGTCCTTGAGAATTTTGGATGCCTTTTTCTTTACTGTGTGGTAAACAGAGAGGCGGGGATTCTACAGTGAACGGAGGCTTGGACTAAAGGGTTTTTTTTGTCTGGTCTGGCGAGATACGAGGAGTTTCTAAGCCTTTGTTTTTCTCTAGAATGAATGTGACCCAAGCAAAATCTACCAATGTTACAGGTATTACACTTGACTCTTAAAAGGGGTGCTTTAAAATACCAATATGGCGGAAGTTTACACCAATTACCATTGAAAAAACATTATTATTGTTTTATTTTTATCCAAAATGTTGAACGCTGTGTCTTATTTGCCTTGCACTTACACTCCTGCTCACTAGTTGGCAGCACATGTTATAGAATGGTCTGGACATGATCAATATTTCAGATACAGACAACATGTATTTAATTCTGTTAGAATCGTATTAAAGATTTTGACTATTTTATGACCTGTTTTTGGACCAAATTCCAAAGTAAGTTCCCAGATTGTGACTTCCTGTTACTTACAACGGCAATATCAGCATTATTTTGATTATGAACTAACATTTTGATACTTTATAAATAACCTTGAACCATAGGTGAGGATGGAAATTTAAATCCAGGACCTCCCTCTTTGGGGAATGAACCAAAAGACACAGCCACGGGTCATTTTTGGATATCCAAGGTTTCACCCCAGAATATGTAGTATTTAGTATTTAAAGGGGGCATAGACCACTCTCATTACTGCATTGTTTATTCAATAATATTTAGTATGTGAGTGGTCTTCTGTTTTTGCCCTGGGGGTCTCATCACGAGGCAGATCAAACTCAGTTCTTATCTCCAGTGCGTGCACATCAACCATACATTTTGTATTGGTTGATATATTATTTTATATATTGTTACACTGTAAAACATTATACAATACAAGGTAATAGATGCTGAAGTCAAGGGGGTTTTAAACTTAATTTGAGTCCATTCTGACGGTCTTAAAACAAGATTTGCCAAAGAGACCAAGTCATTAAGTCTAATTTCACGAACTGTTGCTGTATTTTCTCATTCCAAAGGGAGATATTTCTTGTATCTTTTAAAAACAATAACATTTTGCTTGTCCCGTTGGCAAATCTCGTTTTAAGTCAGTCAAATTATGCTAAAATTAATGTAAATTTTTCCACATTTGAGCAATTTTTACCTATTTTTCAACCCTTTTTGCAGTGTATAGAGCGTGGGTCTTTAAAAATTGACTCATAAATGTCAATTATAAGCGATAACAATTTGTTCGACAAGGTTCTGGGACGTAAACTCCCTGATTTATTCAACATCGACTGTTGTTTTGAGTTTTATTAATGTGTGAAATCCAGAGATGACATGGCGGCGGCGGAGCAGTAGCGGTAAACCCGTGTGCGATGACCACACGCCACAAATCAAATGACCGGATGAAGACTCGATCGATGTGTCAATGTGTTTTTTTGTGCTGCCGAATACTCACGCATCTACGGGCCAGAAGTTGATCAGAGTGACAGGACTGAAAGACAAAAAAACCTGAGATGATGACACGGGAAGTGGGAGGACGTCGCCATGACAGGACAAAAAGGCAAAGCATGATGGGAGCGCTGGAGTGTGGCTGCTGGGGAGATCGGGGGTGAGGGATGGGCGGAGGATGGCCACTTTCACTCATACAAAGCTTAGTACATTGATAAATTATGTACATGTCCATTTATTGGAAGACACTGCATGGTACACTGCAAAAAAAGATACAATATGAGGTTGTAATTGCTTGAAAGTAGTTGTTTTTAGCTAATTTTGAGCAATTTTTACCTTCGTTTTTATCACTTTTTGCAGTGTATACTCGAGTGTATCCTTGTTTTTCCACACAATACTTAGACTCACTTCGAATAGTCACTTTCCAACATTTTCAGCATTAGATATTGACCATTGACCACTTCTTCCTTCATTCCATCCATTAGTATTAGTAAAAAGGTTGAAATCCTTAATTATTGCCCATTTGAATCCGGTGATTTTTAAAGGATTTTTCCCAGTGAACCACAACATTCCCATAAATGTATATCATAGTTTGCCCTCGCCTCGCTGTGCTACCTTCAAACTAAATTCTAACTGACAAATATTGATTCAGAAACCAGGCCGGTATTAGCATTTTGCCCGCGCTGATGCTCTCTGTAAATGTTAATGATTGTGGGCAGAGAAATTACATCGGGGCAAAATATGTAATGCGTTTCATAAATTTATCATAAGGACATTGATTGCCGTCAACCCTGAATTTATTATGGCTGTTATGATAAATAGAGAATGCCGGAGCCAAAACTGCTGCATGTGCGGTCCTTCTGATTGTTATGCTAATTAGGCCCGTAACAAAAACATTACAGAGTGCCCGATTCATCCAGTTGTGGGGCCGAGTTCAGCTTATTCTGTTATGTATTGACTGGAGAATCAAACACGAGAAAAGAACCTGCATTGGATGTATAAATTGTGTATATTTTCTGGCGGCCAGTACAATACATCATATTTGAATTGAGATTGAGAAAATCTTAAATGTGGTTGAAATAACATGTAATACTTATGTTATGGGTGTGGGAGTTGAGATTTTTTACAGAAAGGTGTGACTTAAGATGGAAAAACGTTGCCGTCATTGTGCGGATGCTGTTATTTTGGTCTCCGGTTTGTTTTTACTTTAATCTCTGTTGTTTTGTTTTAGCTTGACTTCCTTGTTTTTTTTCCCCTGTGTTGATTGTCTGCCCCGCCCCCATGTGTTACACCTGTGTTTGTTGTTTATTTGGTTGGGACTGCACATGTTCATGAACACATCACACACCCCGCTATATTAGCCTCACTTTGTATGTACCTGTGTCTTTCTGTGTCCTCTGTGTCCTAATGTACCTGTGTGTAGCTGTGTCTCTCTGTGTCCTAATGTACCTGTGTGTAGCTGTGTCTCTCTGTGTCCTAATGTACCTGTGTGTAGCTGTGTCTCTCTGTGTCTGAATGTACCTGTGTGTAGCTGTGTCTCTCTGTGTCCTAATGTACCTGTGTGTAGCTGTGTCTCTCTGTGTCCTAATGTACCTGTGTGTAGCTGTGTCTCTCTGTGTCCTAATGTACCTGTGTGTAGCTGTGTCTCTCTGTGTCCTAATGTACCTGTGTGTAGCTGTGTCTCTCTGTGTCCTAATGTACCTGTGTGTAGCTGTGTCTCTCTGTGTCTGAATGTACCTGTGTGTACCTGTGTCTCTTTGTGTCCTAATGTACCTGTGTCTAGCTGTGTCTGTGTCTGAATGTACCTGTGTGTAGCTGTGTCTCTCTGTGTCTGAATGTACCTGTGTGTACCTGTGTCTCTTTGTGTCCTAATGTACCTGTGTGTAGCTGTGTCTCTCTGTGTCTGAATGTACCTGTGTGTACCTGTGTCTCTCTGTGTCCTAATGTACCTGTGTCTAGCTGTGTCTCTGTGTCTGAATGTACCTGTGTGTAGCTGTGTCTCTCTGTGTCTGAATGTACCTGTGTCTCTCTGTGTCTGAAGGTACCTGTGTGTAGCTGTGTCTCTCTGTGTCTGAATGTACCTGTGTCTATATGTACCTGTGTCTCTCTGTTTCTGTGTCTATACGTACCTGTTTCTCTGTCTATACTGTGTCTATATGTACCTGTGTCTCTCTGTATCCTAATGTACCTGTGTGTAGCTGTGTCTCTCTGTGTTTGAATGTACCTGTGTGTACCTGTGTCTCTCTGTGTCCTAATGTACCTGTGTCTAGCTGTGTCTGTGTCTGAATGTACCTGTGTGTAGCTGTGTCTCTCTGTGTCTGAATGTACCTGTGTGTACCTGTGTCTCTTTGTGTCCTAATGTACCTGTGTCTAGCTGTGTCTCTCTGTGTCCTAATGTACCTGTGTGTAGCTGTGTCTCTCTGTGTCCTAATGTACCTGTGTGTAGCTGTGTCTCTCTGTGTCCTAATGTACCTGTGTGTAGCTGTGTCTCTCTGTGTCTGAATGTACCTGTGTGTAGCTGTGTCTCTCTGTGTCTGAATGTACCTGTGTGTACCTGTGTCTCTCTGTGTCCTAATGTACCTGTGTCTAGCTGTGTCTCTGTGTCTGAATGTACCTGTGTGTAGCTGTGTCTCTCTGTGTCTGAATGTACCTGTGTGTAGCTGTGTCTCTCTGTGTCTGAATGTACCTGTGAGTAGCTGTGTCTCTCTGTGTCTGAATGTACCTGTGTCTGTGTTTATATGTACCTGTGTCTCTCTGTTTCTGTGTCTATACGTACCTGTTTCTCTGTCTATACTGTGTCTATATGTACCTGTGTCTCTCTGTATCCTAATGTACCTGTGTGTAGCTGTGTCTCTCTGTGTTTGAATGTACCTGTGTGTACCTGTGTCTCTCTGTGTCCTAATGTACCTGTGTCTAGCTGTGTTTCTCTGTGTCTGAATGTACCTGTGTGTAGCTGTGTCTCTCTGTGTTTGAATGTACCTGTGTGTACCTGTGTCTCTCTGTGTCCTAATGTACCTGTGTGTAGCTGTGTCTCTCTGTGTTTGAATGTACCTGTGTGTACCTGTGTCTCTCTGTGTCCTAATGTACCTGTGTCTAGCTGTGTCTCTCTGTGTCTGAATGTACCTGTGTGTAGCTGTGTCTCTGTGTCTGAATGTACCTGTGTGTAGCTGTGTCTCTGTGTCTGAATGTACCTGTGTCTGTGTCTATATGTACCTGTGTCTCTCTGTGTCTATATGTACCTGTGTCTCTGTACCTATACTGTGTCTATATGTACCTGTGTCTCTCTGTGTCGACATGTACCTGTGTCTCTGTATCTATACTGTCTATATGTACCTGTGTCTCTGTACCTATACTGTGTCTATATGTACCTGTGTCTCTGTACCTATACTGTGTCTATATGTACCTGTGTCTCTCTGTGTCTATATGTACCTGTGTCTCTCTGTGTCTATATGTACCTGTGTCTCTGTACCTATACTGTGTCTATATGTACCTGTGTCTCTCTGTGTCTATATGTACCTGTGCTCCTTTCCCCTTGTCTGTCCTGTTCCTGGTTCTCTGTGGATTCTTAAGTTTGTTTTTTCTCCACTGGACTTCCATTTATCATCATGTAATATATATTTTTTTGTATTCCTCTTTCATTTCTGCCCATGACAGCTCCAAGTTCATGGAAAGTCTGTCATGTTTTGCCCTTTTTCCTCCCCTCCTCCCCCTCCGGTACCAACGCTCACTCACGTCTCCATGTTGTCTCCCTCCAGGATGGTCTGCACAGGCAGGTAGCCCATGCGCGGGTGTTTGGCAAAGTATCTCTTGGTTCGAAACTTGTTCTTCAGCACCTTGGCGAAGTCGCGGACGTCCTCCCCTGATGTGGTCTGGAAGGGGGGTGGGGGGGTGAGGATGGAGGGGTGGGGGGGTGAGGATGGGAGGGGTGGGGGGGGGGGGGGGTGGCAGGGAGGGACAAAGACAGCCTTGTTCAGAGCACAATCGCAAACCGGCGCGCATTTATTTTGAGCCCTCTCCACTTTGCCCACCGCGGGGTTAGCGTTAATGCCGCCATTGTCGAGGCCTGAGTGTGTCATTACAGTTACAAGCAAAAAGAAAAAGCAGATTTACGACTCAGACAGGGCTCCGGCGTCTATATTTGAAATCACTTTAACCTGCGTTTGTGAAATATTTCTACGCGCGCGGGTTTTACGGCAGCGCGGGGAGCAGAGAGGGGCTGTTATACGATTTGGTAAAATGTATTTCATGCCCTTCCTAAAGTCGCCAACTGAGCCCCGCTGTGAAATTCACCGGCTTTTTCATTTCTCCTTTTATGTCAAGAGTTTACCCAAGGTCTGACATTTTTTTTATTTTCTTCACTTTTGTTATGGAACGTTTGACTTGAGTGGCTTTACAGAACGCTGAGCAGGAGGGGGAGGCTTTAGAGAGCAGGTTCAACAAGGCTTTTTTTAGTCTCCGGTTTGTATTTATTATTGAAACTAGGAGATCTTAAGGGGATCTAAAACAACATTTGCCAAAAGTACAACGTAATTGAGTCATTTATTCAGAAATGTTGCTTTATTTTCTCATTCCAATACAGACAAGATTTTGCTTTGTCCCATTGGCAAATCTAGTTTGAAGGCAGTCAGAATGAGCTCTAATTCAACACTTTTTGCAGTGTATTTTTTGTAGTGCAACCTTGTTTTACCACACACAATACATTAAATAGTCACTTTCCTATATGTTTGGCATTGAAAATATTGACCATTTGAATTAAAGCCAACTGTTTTGACTTTAGTTTCGGCATCCATTTTGCATTTATGGTTGAATGTGGGGATCTAGGGCCTGAATGGAAGAGCAGTGGTCATTCAAACGCATTGGCTCAATAGGCAAAAGCACTGTATGTGTTTTATGCTCGGTCATAATGAGGCGGCTGACCTTTGCATTTAAAGAGTAATGGAGCAAGGAGAAAATGTACAGAAGAAGGGAAATGTTTCTAAAATTTGCTATTTCAAGAGAAAGTCAATGGTTTTTTGTGTGATTGCGAGTTATAAGGGCTTTGCGTCTCAACAAATACACTGCAAAAAGTGATGAAAATAAATAAAGTCAAAAATGTCTCAAATAAGGCCAAAGGCATCTCAATTGGAGCACATTGTGACGGCCTTAAAACAAGATTTGTTTTAAAAAGATTCAAGAAATCTTGTGTTAAGAAAATCAGAACGTACTCAAATTCAAATTAGGATACAAAATACTCAACTTAAAGAGCGACTAAACACCTGTGACCAGCCTGACTCCGCCCACATGAACATTTGAACATTTTCTCTAAAAGGGCGTTGCCTGGAGGACCAAGGGACAAGAAGGGGGGCTTAGAGTTGGGCGTGGTCTGGGCTGTGATTGACAGCTCGTTGTCACACAAAAAAAACAGACAGTTGCCATTGCTGCTTAAAGCAATAGTTTACACACCAGAAAGTCTCATTCCACCCTTGTTGACACACTGAGATAATTGTAAAGCTACACATCTGAACCTAAGCCACAGAATTATCTCAGCAGTGGTGGCGGTCAACTGATGTAATTTAATATTAATCCACTAGATGTCGCCAGAATACTCCAAAACGCGACTCCAGAGCCAATGGAGAGGCCAGAACCAAAATTCAATTGTTGTGCCACCGAAATGGTAGAGAGGGCTAAAATATAAAAAATATAAAAAATGCCCAGGACATGCAGAGAGCACAATAAAAAAAACCTATATATGAGGTTTATGAGTTAAAAAAAAGTTGGGTTGGTGTTTAGTTGTCCTTTAAGTATCTATCAGCTCATATTGTTCGCTTAGTCAATGTAGAATTACATTGCTTTTGTTTTGTTTTCTCATTTTGAAACGTCCAAAATAAAAACATTCATTCATTCATATTTAATAATTTTATTCAGTGTATCTTGGTGGTTTTTCTTACACGTCCTTAAGAAAAGTAAAGTATTATTCTTTGTCCTTTGCACATTAAAAGCAAGAGATATTGTTAATTCTCTTCTGAACTACCAGATTATAGGTGGAAAGAAATAGATACCATTACAGAGCCCCAGGGAAATTCAAAGTTAATTTCAAAGTATTGAAGACGGACAGATTGATATTACCGTGCTATTATTCTGTAATATTCTTCTGAAATTGAATCCCGCTCAGGGCTGAGGGACTTAAAGCCGACCAGAGGATCCATTTAACATCCTATAACATACAATAACGTTTTTGGGTTCATTGAAATTCTTAGCTCTATTTCTAACTCTGACTTTTACAGCGACTGCCTTGTTAGCTGTTATTAATGAAACGGCACAGACTGGAGGATAGTGGTTAGATTTGAGTCGTTCAGATCTGGCTGCGTGCTTCCAGATCTCATGTTGTACAAAACGTTCATTTTGAGATCTTCCAAAGACCTCATCCAATGCATAACAGGGATACATAAGGATACAGATTTGAAGTATTTCCGTTGATCGTAAAACCATCCTGACACCCTAAGAACAAATGGCTTTTTAATAATGGCATGTGCTTGTTTGATTCTCTAATTTGTCTCAGGCAAATCTGTCAGCTGTTGTGATATAGGACTATGCAAAAAGTGAAAAAAAAGTGTTTCATTCGCCATCTGAGTCTGAATAGGTATTGGCTTGTTAACATTAGAGCTGCACGATATGGGTAAAAAGTGCCTTATGTGATATAGAGGTGTAGCAATATATAAAGGACATATTGATATCATGATAAATGATGAAGCAAAATATCTACAATGAGCAAATGTTATTCCAGTTTAAAGTTGCTGAGTCACTATATAAGTTTTTGCAGAACCGTTCGAAAAGCCAATGCCATTTTCAAAACGTTTTTTTTTCCCCGAGTTTGAGCTGAAATGAAGATTGGTACCGGTGTGCAGTATTCCACCATGGGGTATTGCATCTTGTGTCCCTTGGCGACGCGTCCGGAGAAGAAACAGCTTTGGCAAATGTCATAGTTGAAATGCTTCAGACTGCGATATCTGCGAGAGAAGGAAGAGAAGGAGGAGAGAGGAGAAGGTCAGGGCGAGTTTGGGGACAAAAGAGGGAGAAAAACTATAAAAGCAAGAAAGGGGAGCCTCCACAATACGGGGCAGATTTACTGGTCTGTTTTGATCGGAGAGGGAGTAGTTCAAATTCTTTCAGGCGTGGTCCCTAAATGAGAAATGTATTCAGAGGCCCCGCGACACATCATTAAAATTTATCACCTATCTTGTTATGAAAGAGCCATGGACAAAGCGGCAGATACACCTGAATTTACAAGAGCGGAAAAAAAGCCACACTCCTGTTTTTTGAAATTGGTTTTACAAAAAGAGGCGTAATTGTATCATCCATCGGCACAGGCAGCGGGAGGGTTTGATAAGCAAAAGAAAAGAGGGACAAATATCTAAATCATTTCTTTGCACCAGTGGGACTAGAACTGACACAAAAATAATCATAATACAATAATAACTCAAGCCGTGCCCTTTAATCAGAGCGAAACAGCTGAATTAGGACAAAAGTAAAAGTCTGCAATTTGGAATTTTTACAGGCTGTGCATTAATCTGTATCGAAATGTGGCGAAGGCTGCTAATTTTTTGATAAGGTCAAAAATGTCATCTATCACGCACGATTAACTGTGGGTCAAATAGTGCGGAGCTTGTTTAAAAGTTGTGGGGAGAGCAAATATTAGCATAGCATCCACCCATAGCCCTGTGAAAATGTATGTGTTTAGTGTTAGTGTATTGGACACATGGGCAATATTCAGAATAAAACTAAACTGGACTGAGGGAACGGGTCTGAAAGAAAGAAAAATAGCCAAAAATATCTTACGGGTGATATATGTAAGTTCTAGAAAAAATTATTGAGATGATTTCTTCCTGCCTCCACTATTGTTTTGTGAAGCACTTTGAGATTAGCCTGGTCTTACCATACCATCATACTCATTTCATTTCGTACTAAGGTCTGGATTTGCTCCATTGACTCCGTTAACAGGTGGGAGGGGTTAACTCCTTTTGCAGAATAAAACGATTGGATCTGAGTTTACCGTTAGGGTCATGAGCTGTGTTGCTTTTACACCAAACATATCGTTTTGCATTGTGGCCAAAAAGTTCGATTTTGGTTTCATCTGACCAGAGCACCTTCTGTTCCACATGTTTGGTGTGTCTCCCAGGTGGCTTGTGGCAAACTTTAAACGAGACTTTTTATGGATATCTTTGAGAAATGGCTTTCTTCTTGCCACTCTTCCATAAAGGTCAGATTTGTGCAGTGCACGACTGATTGTTGTCCTATGGACAGACTCTACCACCTCAGCTGTAGTTATCTGCAGTTCATCCAGAGTGATCATGGGCCTCTTGGCTGCATCTCTGATCAGTCTTCTCCTTGTTTGAGATGAAAGTTTGGAGGGACGGCCGGGTCTTGGTAGATTTGCAGTGGTCTGATACTCCTTCCATTTCAATATAATTGTTTGCACAGTGCTCCTTGAGATGTTTAAAGCTTGGGAAATCTTTTTGTATCCCAATCCGGCTTTAAACTTCTCCACAACAGTATCTCGGACCTGCCTGGTGTGTTCCTTTGTCTTCATGGTTCTCTCTGCACTTTAAACAGAACCCTGAGACTATCAAAGAGCAAGTGCATTTATACGGAGACTTGATTACACACAGGTGCATTCTATTTATCATCATCAGTCATTTAGGACAACAATACTCCAGAAGTTTACTTTCAGTGCAGCAAACTTCTGGAGTGAGTTTGCTGCACTGAAAGTAAAGGGGCCGAATAATATTGCACGCCCCACTTTTCAGTTTTTAATTTGTTAAAAAAGTTTAAATTATCCAATACATTTTGTTCCACTTCACGATTGTGTCCCCACTTGTTGTTGATTCATGACAAAAAATCAAAATGTTATATCTTTATGTTTGAAGCCTGAAATGTGGCGAAATGTTGAAAGGTTCAAGGGGGCCGAATACTTTCGCAAGGCACTGTATGTAATGCGCCCGAGTGAGTGAGGTTTTTAGCATTTAGCCTAGCTTCAGCGTTTAGCCTAGCTTTAGCCATCTCCTTTGCCACTAACAGAGCCCGTGGGGAGTAGAGCCACAACATCTTTGGCAGCAATGGCATTTGCTAAACATTCCTCTTGCTATGGTTTCAATTTCTTGACATTTGGAGCCGAACCAGAACGGATTACTATTGCATTCACCGCAATTGCCAAACTACAACCAGCTAATTTGGCACAAAACCATGACCAACCTACAACACCCGCCTCCCCCACTTGCTGATTGGTCGGATGGGATAGACCCGAGGTAACAGCAGCCACTCGGATCAGACCCAGACGTATGTAGGGAAATGATAACTGACCAGAGGTTACGGATGGCTGAGGCTACTTTGAAATGCCCTGTGTATGAAATGGGCTCTATACAAGTAAATTTGCCTTGCCTTATTTGCGCATCACTGAAATTTCCCCACTGTGGGACGAATAAAAGATCTCTTAATCCTAAAAAACGTTGAAAATCGATTACATGAATTTACCAACATCTCTCTTTGCACAAATGCAGATTTTGGTCCCACTTCTAGAGCAGAATGCCTTATCCTTATTTTTAAGTAAAACAAGGCTTTTCTTGATAATGAAGAAGAACGCAAACTTTTTTTTACAAAATGTGTTTTTTGGCTGCGCTCACAGTATATTTCAAAAGTGGCTTATTACAACTGGCCGTCAACATCGCAGCAGTAGAAAAATAGTAGTACGGGCTGTTTGTGCATTTGTGATTTCTATAGAAAACACTATGAATCCTGCTAATTGGCCTGTTCGCCTGAGGTATAATAGGAACATTAACTCTGGTGTCTACTTAACCACCTGCAGAGAAAGCTCTTGTTTGTATTTCTCTGTTTGTAATACACCTGGCCTTTAAGAAACCCCAAACCAACAGCTTCAAACTTCTTTCCTTCTTTCTCTCCCGCGGATTTTCCCTCAAAGTGTCGCCGCCGAGAGACACGCTGCCACCCAGGGACTTACTACGCTTGTCACTCGTTTCAATTTCCCTCCACGCGTGTGCAAAGACATGAAAGCTGAATCTGAAAAATCCCAGCTGCAGCACTTCTTCTCCTGCTACTGTTTAAATAAAGGAAAACACTGTGGGGACTAGAGAGCACGCCGCATGCTTCAAAGACCAACCTCTCCTCCGCGGCGAAACGGCAATAAAACGGCCATTTCTCCCCTTCCTAGTTATTAAGAACGAGACAATGGCATACAATAAAGCTAGTTTAGGAGGCGCATCCGTATTCATTAAACCTATAGACTTGTTAAACGTGATAGATCAGGCTTGACTAGCTGGAAGCGGGTTTTTGCCGGAAAGACTGCGTTAAATCCCCACGTCAAGCGAACGAAACGTTGCCGTGGCGATAGGGATAGGCTGGTATAGCTTTGTTTCAATTTACCCGATATGAAATTAATGTTGTGTTTTATTACTCTTTAGGTAATGGGATGAGACTTTATGGGAAAATGGCCTCGCTTGCCAGTTTTACAGAGGAGGTAACTTTATCGATTTTGAAGTGGTGTGTGTGTGTGTGTGTGTGTGTGTGTGTGTGTGTGTGTGTGTGTGTGTGTGCTGGTGCAACAAGAGTTTTATTGAAACCGAATCAAAACCGCACTTATCTAAGTCCTCACTACAAAATATTCAGCCTTATTATGTTATGTAGATTCTTGTATTGATCCCCACGTTTTGGGAGAGCACAAACACCAGTGTATTGTGCAACAGGACACCAGTGTATTGAAAACGAACATAGTGGGAGTGATACTGTAAAAATAAGAAACAATGTTATCCTTTTTTGTCAATTGTCAACATTTTTTTTTTCTTTTGTTTGATTCTTTTCTATCAGACATTTCAAACTTCCTGTGAATTTCAAAATTGTTTAACTATTTCTTTATTGCTGTATCATAGGCGCAAAAGTGGCTGAATTTCTAACGAATCCGGGACACTTTCTATACAGCGACCTGGCTTAAAAATAAAAAATAAAAAATCCCCACATATTTTCTTTTTCTATTATTATTATTATCATTATATTATCATTATTATTATTATTATTACTATTATTATTATATTATTATTCCTGTTATTCATTTTAATCATCCACTATTGCTTAAAAGTTTCATGGCTTTTGTCGGTATCACATTTCCGAATAAAAAAAACCATATGCCTCTATAAAATTACCATAGCAACACACTGTTTACTGTTAGCAGTTAGCATTTATCCTTAGCTGTATTTCAATATACATTCACCAGTTTTGACACTTACAAAGTGAGTGAAGGTTAATTAAATTCTTGTAAATTACCATACGATTAATTTACGGTGAATATTTATGATTTTACGGCCTTGCGTGACTGTTTCTATCTTTTTGTTTTGCCTTGTGTATGAACTGTGCTATACATATAAACTTGCCTCGCCACTTTTAACTTAGTGAAAGTGGGTCAGACCTGAAGCCGATGATGGGGCACTCCTTGCAGATGTTGCACTTGGCCTGGTGCTTGGCGGTCTCGGCGGCGGCGACGCGGTGCAGGACGGGCAGCCACACCATGGACTGAGGCTCCAGACGCATCCAGTCCAGGAACATGGCGGCCTCCAGCTCCGGTTTGTTGTTGGCCTGAAGGAGAGGACCAGAACGGGGTTTTAGATGTTGTTTTCCTGCCGACGATACTTCGCCAATACAGCAGAAATATGAAGAAGGAAAATGTCTTTGTAGAAGATCGAGAATCGCTCGCACACATCTGAATTATCCTCAGATATTCGTCGCTGTTTATCTCACGCATCCTGTTTTCAGAGCTCCTTTTATTCGCACACTGAAAAAAATTTAAATTAAAAAGGCAAAAAATGCTTGAGCTTGCTTACATTCATCTCAATTATGGTGCAGTTTTAATCTCGAAAATGTTGTCCAAGTTAAAACTAGATTTCAGGACAAAAATAATGTTATATTTTGACGCCGCAAACTGCAAAAGTACCAAAACAAAAGATGAAACTGGGATAAGCAAATGTGGATTGAGAAAAAATAAATGCTATTGCCCTTGACATATGACATTATTGTGTGTCCCAAAAAGAAATGTCAAGGAAAGTAGCTGATGCTAAATCTGGTGCGGCCATCTTTTTTTTTTAATGCAACTTCACATTGTCCTTATTAGTAATTATTGGTAAATGATGCGTGTATGGAGTGCAGCGGCCATAAATTAATGTTGGGGCCAAAAAACAAAACAAAGTTGGTGCAGAATGGATTACCACTGGGATAATGGCGCTACTACAAAGAGCTAAGCTAATCAATGATAATGTAAAGAGCCACCAATTAGCTTGTTTGTTGTGTGGAGTGCGGAGATATTATCCATTAAGCCTAAGCAGAGTGCCTTAAGAAGAGAAGAAACAATGAGGATAAATAATATAATCATCATTTTTATTTAGAAAAGCACTGAATTAGTGTTAAAGCCGGCAACAAAACGCATTAAGATTTCACTTTGCCCTGAAGCTACGGCTAAATACTTAATACAACGCCATCCTGCTAACTGTGGCGCGAGATAGAACGGAATTTCGGTTAACGTTCCTGATTAGCATTTTCATAATTGTAATTAGCGCTTAACAAAACGAGAAACCGGGGCCGCCTTCCCCTGAGCATCTGCATTGTCGGAACTCGCTGAAACAAAAAACATGGAACCATTTAAAAAAAATAGTTAGATAAATTATTGTGTGGATGATATGAGATTGCCCATCTGCTGTTCCGGCTTTGCGACGTACACAGCCGAGCGAACAAAAGCTGGGAAAGCTGTTTGTTTACAAGGCATAACCAAAATAAATCCAATTTTGAGTAAAAAAATAAATAAAAAGTGAATGTGAAAGCATCTGTCTGCGAAGCTTATTGAATTATTAGCGATGTGTCTGGAACAAAATGTGCCGCAGCCTCACCTCTGGTTTCCAGCTGCTGTTTGGATGAGAAAGACAACATTTGTGATCTTAGGAGGTGTAAGACTATCACGAGGCAGACCATTACAGGTGAGCGGATGCTGGAGGCAACGATTATCGCCCTGTCTATCAAATATAGTGACAGGGGAAGATGGAGGGCGTGTGTGTGCGTGTGTGTGTGTGTGTGTGTGTGCGTGCGGTTATCGGCTTCATCATATCAAAGCAGTCCAAAAAAGTAGCATACAGAAGGTGAATAGTGAAAAGAAGAGAGATGGAAGGCCGGCAGGACAATGTCTATACTGTCCAGACACAAACGCTGAACGGAAATACACGTTCAGTCCAATTTTCTTACAGACTCTAGAATCCAATTTAAAACATACAGACAGACAAAGACAAAAGAAAATGACAAACAAGCAGTTATGAGATTGTCTTTTGCGTTGTTAATATAGCTGCAGAGTAAAAATAGCTTCAAAAAAAGGTTGGGGAACACTGGTATTGAAAAGTACTATATTTTATCTCAGTTTGACCCGGAGAAAGCTGCAGAAAACCACCAGGAAACATTGGATTATACTTTTACCCAAAACAGACCATTTTAATGCCTTCTTGAGTTGCCTTGTGTATGGATTGTGTTATACAACTGACACGTGCCTTGCCTAGATTATTTTCAATTAAAATTTTTTGCCAAAATCACAAAGATTTGAGGGAATTCTTCTTTTATCTCTGTTTGACCCAAAGAAAAGCTGTAGTAAATCCACCAGAACTCCCGGTGTGTGTTAAAATGTCATCTCTTAACAACTATAAGTGTTGTCAATCACTAGAAAAGTTGTTGATTATCGAAAAAACTCCTCAAAATGTCTGATTTCAAAGCTACTTGCATGTTTTTAATACGTCTCTTGTGTTTGTCTTAATGCGGTCACGGCGTTGTTGAATGTGGGACGCAGAGGCACGACTACGTACAACGAGCTTACGACGCACAATCTGAGGTTTAACTTTCCCTGTTGTGTTTTTTGGGGGTAGACACGACGTTATTGGCATCAGCATAAGAGCAGCTCATCTTTGGGCTTAAAGGATAATCCCGGCAGACTGCAATCACTGGAAACGCTTCAGGGAATTGAACGTTTAGCCGCTCCAACTTTTGCTCCTGTTTGCGGCTACAAAAAAGCAACACAAAAAGGCCCTGTCCGTGGCCTTTACTGTCATCTCTGTAGCAGTAGGAGTATCCATTGTTTTGGCTCCTCTCGGCTCATAAACCGTTTTCATTCCAGCCACATCTCGGCAGCTGTCAAAGATCATTTGTTTGATGCTATGCGCTCTTGTCATTCACTAGCGCGCGGCAGAGACCGAAGAGCTAGCTGCGTTTGTTCTTTTAGCCGCTTATATTACCCTTGGCTTCCAGATTCGCCCTTTATTTCAGCCCTGACAATAGCCGAGATTTCTCTTTAAAAGCAGATTTGGCTGGACGCGAGTCAAGACTTGGACACTGAACGGGACTAAAGGGAATATATGGGCGCGTCTATAGGGCACTTAAGAACATTTTTGGCTGGAGTTTTTTTGCGGAGTAGCCATTAAATATATGTATGTATACGTACGAACTGAAAGCAGCTCCGGACGGAAGGCTCGATGTTGGACCCGCCGAAGGAAGCGACCTCTCCCAGCTGCCGGGGGATCTGGATGGAGTCGTGGAGGAGGAGGCCAAGGCGCCGCTGGTCACAGAACCCTGTCGCACTGGCCACTTGACGGAACAAGACTGGAACGAGCGGTGATTAGAAAAGCAGTTAATGAGTGTTGTAGAAAAAAATAACACTAAGCTAAGTATAGACATGTAAGAACAGGGAGTGGGAGCACATTGGTTTTTTTGTCTTTCCCGCTGCTTTTTGAGCCAAATCTTGTGTAATAATAATAATAATAATATAAGTTGTGCAGATTCTCCCTGCACCTTTTTTGATTTTTTTTGTTCTTTATTCTGTATATTTTTTGCCTAAAGCTTAGCGTACATTGACAGAGTAACTGAAGACAACTAGTTTCAAGGCGGCTTTTGGCAACTGAGAGTAGATGATGCCGAAATCGGTCGATGTGAGCGCTCTTACAACTGGAGATAAACAGTCGATCTCCGGATTCAGTCAGTTGCCCGTGTTCAACTTTTCGGCAACTAGTTGTCATCAGATCTGGAGATATCACCCGATGTGCTCCAACAACATGTGTGTATAGCGCCCTCTACAGTTTATGTCAGAAAACACACTGTAGTTGAGGCCAGTTGCTGTCGATGAACGCGCTGTTATTCCCGAGACTGGCCTGATACTAGGAATATCCCCGTTTTCGCCAGATTGTTGATGTGTGCGGGGCAGCAACTCATAGGCCACAGATTTAATCAGTTGCCAGTCCGATGTAAGCTAGGCAAAAGTGTGTGGGTACGGAGCTAGCTAGTATGGCGTAGAAAGTTATATTTTTGTATGGTTCATAATAAAGTATTCAAATTTAAGAAGCAGAAAATCGACAAAATAGAAACTATGAAAATGACAGCTGTGTGTATGATTAAAATTAAAGGAGACATATGATGCAAAGTAGTTTTATAATATAATAGTATGATGTAATTGTGCCGCTATGATGTCACGCTCAGAGCAGTTTTCTGCCTTTTTAAAACCAAAGCATTTCCCGTAAATTAGTTTTGTCGGTTTCTCGGGATGTTCTTAACCGTCAAATCCCAGAGGGTAATAAAACAAATGAAAATCCTCCCTCTGGTGGTAGCATAGGGAATTACAAGCAGAATACTTTTTTTTTTCACTGTATATTTTAAACTTGGGTATTATTACAAATTTCACATTCTAAAACATGATATGACAAAGTAAATTCTTTCATTATCACATATAATAATAAATAAAAAGAATTAATAGTATTTCTAGTTTAGTTTGAGAAGGTTCATCTTGTGTTCTACATGTATAAGGCATGAAAACTATTCAATCAGTAAAAACCATACAAGCGTTTTAATGACTAAACTGTTACGTGACAGAGAGAACGGTTTTTCCAACAGATCAAAGATTTTCATCATTTACATTTTAAAGGAATTGTCGTGAGAGTGGGAGGAACGTCAAGAAATGTTGGTTTAATTGAAGCGATAAAACATGAAATAGGTGTTGCGATAACAACTCTCATTGACACTAATTGACTTCACAATTATAATAAGACAGTGTTATTAACTTATTCAAACAATTATATCTGCACTTATCCTCCAGATGGGCCTTGCAGAGTGAGAAAATCCCTTTTTTAAATGACACGGTTTTATCTCCACTCTTTTTTTACGGACTGTGATTCATTTACTTTGAAACGTCTTGTGTACGAACTGGGCTATACAAAAAAACATGCCTTGCCATGACTATTTTCAGTCAAAAACATGTGCGACGGCTCCAAAAGGCCCGGGGACATTGGTTTAGAATACTTCCACAAGATTTTTTCTCTCAGTTTGAACTCAGAGCCTCACAGAACGAGGCTGCGTCCTCTAGCCTCTACAGCGCTGCTAAACACAGTAGCATGTTAGCATAAGTGGCTATAACTCCTCTGGCTGTAACTGCAGACACAGCAAAACAGCCCAAACAACACAACAGTGAGGAAGAGAAGAGGAACTAAAGCCAAAACATGATCAAAGAAGAAACCAAGCCCTGAACATAGCTAGCTTACATCGTATCCTCTGGAGAGACTGGTCTATGGGAGAGACCTGCGGGACCGCCTCGGACTATCTACGCTCGGACTATCTACGCTCAGACTATCTACGTTCGGACTATCTACGCTCGGACTATCTACGCTCGGACTATCTACGCTCGGACTATCTACGCTCGGACTATCTACGCTCGGACTATCTACGCTCGGACTATCTACGCTCGGACTATCTACGCTCGGACTATCTACGCTCGGACTATCTACGTTCGGTCTATCTACGCTCGGACAACATTTGGACTCAGAACTAGCGGTAATCTTTCAGTTATATATTTTGTTAGCAGTGCGTTGCTTTCGTACCATTTCATCAGTGATTATTGTACAGCTTACAAGAAGTTGCGCTAATGCTAATGTTTGCATATGTATCAGATTGCAAATACAACTAGATGGCTCCGTGGGATGAGAACGTAGGGGAAATGAGAAGCCTGTGAGCGAGTTGGAGGGCGGGGCTAAACATTCAAACCTTGCAGAAACTGGTATAGCTCCTTTAATTTAATTGAAATGATAAAACATGAAATAGGTGTTAAAAATATATTATAACATTGGGATTCTTACATCTGTACTTATCCTCCAGATGGGCTTTGCAGAGTGAGATGATCCCTGTTTTGAAAGACAGCGTTCGTATCTTCCCGGTGCGAGTTCTGCAAAAGCAAAAGCAAAACAAATACTTCAACGCCTGACGCTTTGGTTTTTGGGAGATGCGGTTGTGTCCGTGGACGCAGACGTACGTGTCGTAGACGTTGAGAAGCCAGTTGAGGCACATGTCCACGCACAGAGGAACGTTGACCAGGTGGGAGTGCGTCTGCTCCAGCCGCTGGTACAGACTGGTCAGACACGTGACCAGCTGGGAGATGTCCAGGAGCTGCTCGTTCTGCTTCAGTCCGTGCTGGTCGAACACCTCGCAGGCCGTGGGCATTCCCAGGAGGTCCACTGGGGGCCGAAAAGGCAAACACACACATATATTATTAGTGTGAGGAGGTTTTTTTTCTCATTTCCCATAACAGTTAAATCAAGTTTAGACTGTCAGCTGTGAGTTTTATTCAGACCAGCGCAGTAAATAGAAGAACAATTGTACATTTCGCCATTGTGAGTAGGGCTGGGAACCTCAGGGTACCTCACGATACGATACGATACCCGATACAGAGCTCACAATAACGATTATATCACGATATGACAATTATCAATATATTGGTTAGAAATTTTCTGTTATAGAAATCTTTAAGTAAATCAATCTGAATAAACACGAAATAGTTATAAGTGTAAGTTATTAACTAATTCTCAACTTTGGATTCAAATACAGCACATAATGGCATAAATAAAAGAAAAATGTTAAGTGAAAAAATAGACTTTATTTCATGATAAATGGAATGGAGATGAGTAATATAGCCATATATTAAGTATTGGTACTAATGGAAAAAATATATATATTAAATAAATAAATAAATATATATATTTTTTTTAAACTCAATACTTGGCAAAAGCATATTGATAATCAATCGCGTGAGAAAGTGTCACGATACATCACGATATCGATATATCGTCACACTCCTAATTGTGAGATCAATAAAGTTTGTCTTATTAATGTGAACTATTTGATGAAAATAGAAAATAACAAGATTTGCCAATAGGCGATGCTACATTTCATTGATTTAAAAAGAGATGTCTCCCTTGGAATGAGAAAAAAGGCTGCTGTTCTTGAAATTAGACCACCGGTAAATGGCTTTGTCCCTATAGCAAGTCTGAAGACACTCGGAATGCACTCAAATTAAGATTAAAACCACTTTCTTGAGCAATTTTGACCTCATATTTTATCATTATTTGCAGTGTGTAAAGTGGCACCCTGAGCCCCCCCCCCCCCCCCCTCAATGTGGGCCTCCCTTAGGTTTCTGGTGTTCTCCCACTGGGATCTTGGAGTTGTTCGTTGCCAGGGAGAGAGGGTCTAAGGACCGAGGCAAGGATCCAGGACTCTCCACATTCAACAATGTTCATGGACTTTTATGGACAACATTTGTGTGTCTGTTTTGTCATTTAGCATTTCATGAGTTTGATTCTCTGATCTGTGTTGGCAAATTCAACGGTTTTGTGAAGTTCTCAAAGTTAACTACGGCTTTGATTTAAGGCTGTATAAAAATAAATGTCATATTAATAATGTAATAAATCAATACATTTAGGAGCTAAAACTGTGCGTCTATGTGTGCGACTGTGTGTGTTGCTGTGTGTGCTGCTGTGTGTGCTGCTGTGTGTGCGACTGTGTGTGAGGCTGTGTGTGCGACTGTGTGTGCGACTGTGTGTGCTGCTGTGTGTGCGACTGTGTGTGAGGCTTTGTGTGAGGCTGTGTGTGTTGCTGTGTGTGAGGCTTTGTGTGAGGCTGTGTGTGTTGCTGTGTGTGAGGCTTTGTGTGAGGCTGTGTGTGTTGCTGCGTGTGAGGCTGTGTGTGCGGCTGTGTGTGCTGCTGTGTGTGAGACTGTGTGTGTTGCTGTGTGTGCGACTGTGTGTGAGGCTGTGTGTGAGGCTGTGTGTGTTGCTGTGTGTGAGGCTGTGTGTGCTGCTGTGTGTGAGGCTGTGTGTGTGGCTGTTTGTGTGGCTGTGTGTGTTGCTGAGTGTGTTGCTGTGTGTGAGGCTGTGTGTGCGGCTGTGTGTGCGGCTGTGTGTGCTGCTGTTTGTGTGGCTGTGTGTGTTGCTGAGTGTGTTGCTGTGTGTGAGGCTGTGTGTGCTGCTGTGTGTGCGGCTGTGTGTGTTGCTGTGTGTGTTGCTGCTTCCAGTGCGTCTGATTCGAGCCAACTTCAGAGTGTTAATGCCTCCTCTCTGACCGTCACCTGTCATTATTCTCACAAACAGGGTTCACTGCTCATGTGACCACAGCGGCACCGAGAGGCAGACCGCAGTGACCCCGACCCCCCCTCGGGCCCTGGCCACGTGTAACGAGCAGACACACACAAACATCTGAACAGGATTGTCTGAACAAGATCTATTTTAACATTGATTGATATGTGTCACAAAGTAGTTTTCATATCGTTAGCTGAGATGCTAGTCGACATGCTAACAGCTTCTTCCCACACTAAAGTCTGAACAAAGCACTTTAACGATTTCACAGTGACGATTGTTTTTTGTACTTTTCGGCTCGTTTTATTGTATACATTTGTCTGGTGCACCCTGGGGGACTGTTGCACATGTATTCCAATGTGGTTTTACTGCAAATGGCAAATACAATGAATCTGAATCTGATTATTGATTCATAACAATAGGCCATAAATGTGTATGTTTCACTGGGTTTTTCGAGTTTTTCTTTGCTGATGCAGTAAGGTTTGCAGACAGTGGTGATGATTCACTCAGACACTCGACGATCAACGACTTTTATGGACTTTATCAACATTTACGGACATCGGTTTTCTGCCCCTTATGAACCAAAAGCTCTATGTGTTTTTTATCATTGCATTTCTTGTGTTTGGCGATTTCGACGGGTTTGCAACATCCTCCGAGATAGGTCCAGCACCATAGGTCCAGCACCATTAAAATTGTGTACTAATATGTTTTATTTTTACATAGCAAGCAGCATCTAGTTAGAAAATCAATGTGCCCAATGATTTTGTTTATTGAGACCCATTGAAGTCACTGCTAGCATAAACACAAAGCCTCTTTCATTTCCCTAAACATCATCAATAAAGCGTAAGATTGAATTGATTACAGGGACTTGTTTTTCAAGGCGTTTGTTGAGCTCAGTCCAGTGTCCTTCAGCTCAGGACGGAGCAGCGAAGACGCCTTCACACCAGAGATCAATAAAGAGCGCCATTATTCATCTTTATCTCTCATTAAGTCGACTAAAGGACGCGGCCAAAGGACAGCGGTGCGTTAAGTCTGCTGAAAGGCCACGCCGTGCTCTGGCTCTGGCACCCCAAGCACAAATCAGGCAATTCAAGAAATGGCAAAGCACTTCTTGACTATTTACTTAAAATATGAATTCCGACTGGAGATGGGGTAATGAGGACAGGGTCATCGCTGTGGCTCAACATTGTGCGAGGCAAAATAAAGAAATGTTCAGCTCAACTTAAATAACGAGGAAAGGTTTTGTGGAACAGACTGTGGAAAGTCATTAGTCTTAATAACTGACAATTTAAAGGATTGGAAATGATGATTTAAAAGTTGAATTATGACTAATGGCACTATTCAAATCAGCAGTTTGACGTTTCACTAATTGCCTCGTTTTAGTATCTGTTATGAACAGTATTTAGCTGTGCAGCGAGGTGTAGAAGAATATCAGATGAAATGTTGGTGCTGCATCAGAATATATATAATTGTCTCACGATGGTTTGATAATGGTTCATAATGTGGAGCTCTTGTACTTTAGCTCAGTCTTTACTAAACTGGAAATATTCAAAATTTGATTAATGTATTTATATATATTTATGTTTTACTGTGATATTTCTTTTCAACATTAAATTAAAATACTAAGGATTAAGATGAAGAGATCCTTTATTGGTCCCACAGTGAGGAAATGTCAGTGTTGCATCACTGATTACAGCAGAGTAGGAATGAGGAGCACACAACACAAGATAAATGAACAATAAACGATAAATAAACTTGATTGATTGATTAATAACTATCTATCCATCCATCTTCTTTCCCTTTGTCCATTCCTGGGTCAGGGCGGTGACAATCAGCTGCACCAAATGCACAGAGCCCCAGTCCCTCCCTGATCCTCCTGCAGGTGGGCGGCTGCTCTGTCAGTGAGAGCACAGCCTCGATAACAAGTAACAAGCAAGAATTAAGTATAAGATCTTTAACTTGCTTAACTAGAAGTATGTATAAAAGTTCTATCTTTAGCATAATCAAGAAGCAAGAACAAAGTATAAAATCTCAGACTTTAGCATAATAAAGAAGCTAGTATAAAATATTCTAGTGTAAGAAATGTATACTTTATCTCTTGATTTACCGTTCAGTCTTCGTTCCATCCCTCACCTCTGGTCATAAGCTTTGGGTAATGACCGAAAGAAGGAGATCGCGGATACAAGCGGTCGAAATGAGCTTCCTCCGCAGAGTGGCTGCTCCCTTAAGAGGAGTCCCTGGGGAAGACCCAGGACTATGTCTCTCAGCTGGCCTGGAGGAAGTGTGGATAGGGAAGTCTGGGTGTCTCTACTTAAACTGCTGCCCCTGCGACCCGGCAACGGATGAAGCGGAAGAAAATGGATGGATGGATGTTTGCACCTGTACGTGTTAGCAGATGTGCACATGTGAGATCAGGTCGGCGGTGTTTGCTAATCCTAGTTCAAGATCCTAAAGTCTTCTCATAGTGAAACTCCCATGTCCACATAATGTGTTTGGGTCCACACTAAATCAACCAGTTAATCATGTTGTGGCCACCCCTTTTAATGAATCCAATTACTACGAGCCAAACAAACCAACAATAGTAGAACGATTGGCAATGAGTCAGAGCGACACATGAGCTACTTGCGCTCACTTAACCCGGGTTAATAACTAAACCTCTGCACATCCCTGCTCGGCTGCCTTTTGCAATCGTAAACACGGCCGCCGCTCTCGCACATCAAACAAACATGAAGAAGCTGAGTTTGTGGGCGTTTCGACACGTTTCAGTCGGGCGATACGACACGCCACGGCTGAGTAAACACACACATACGGAGAGAAGCTGGGACGCGCTCCGAGGAGGAAGTGGAGGGTATAGAACAAGCACCCTACAAGCAAATGAGGTGAGTAAAGAGGAGACGGAACAAAGGCGCAGAGTGGGAGTGCGCTGGAACACAATCAAAACCCCAGCACTTGAAAGGAGTGGAGAGCGCAGACGCTAATACAGGTATATGTACTTACAGCAGAGGGCTTTTTGGAGCCTCCGGAGTTTCATGGCCGTGCGGTATGCCGAGAAGCGAACGTTGTTGAGGTCGGCTGGAGGGAGAGAAATAGAAAGAGGGTAAGGGGAGATCAAACCAGGCAGGACGAGACTGTGTGTTAGCCTAGGTGCTGCTGAGCAATACAAAAGTGAAGGCGGGGTGGCTCCTCTGAAGGCTTTATCCAAGTAGGCCATGGGAAAAGAAAGAGCAGATCAATAACAGCAGTGGGCGATGGCTGCCGGAGCCGGAGCTGGAGCTGGAGCCGAGCGTGCGTCACAAGTGCACTATATTTAAGGCTGACGCAGAGCCGGTAACAAGCTAAAACATTTGGATAAACTTTTTGGGTAGATTTGGACTTGAATGTCTTGCATAGCTGAGATTACCAATGGGAAAAGGTTAAGTTATTGTAATTAACATTGTAACAGAACCATTAAAGTCAATGCAAAAGTGTTCTTAGGGCTGTAACGAGTGCATCGATCTGTGAAGTGACTGGTTACTGAATTGATACAGATTTAAAAATGGATTAATGGTGTTTTGAGCCTTACATCCAACAGACTGAAACATGCAGAGAGGTTTTATGACACAGATAATGCTATAATGACTGCAGAATGAAGGCTAAATGTGTTTTCATCTCACATCTCTTACTTCACTTAAGTAGTTATCTTTTGGTCAAATGGTATGAAAAGATCCTATAATCACTGACCTTTTGAAATATGAACAACCCATCAATAGTTTTGATAATCCATGAGTTGGATTATCAAGCCCTAGTCAATATTTGGCTTAGACAGATCTGAAAACACTGTGCCTTCATTCGAACATAAGAATCGTACCAACATTGTTGTGCATGCTTTTATTTCCAGTCGTCTGGACTACTGCAACGCACTTTATGCTGGTGTCAATCAGAAAACCCTCTCCCGGTTGCAGTTGGTCCAGAACGCAGCAGCACGACTTTTAACGGGGGCCAGAAAGTGCGAACACATCACCCCTGAACTCAAGTCTTTGCACTGGCTCCCTGTTCATTTTAGAATTGATTTTAAAATTTTACTGTTTGTTTTTAAATCTTTGCATGGACAGGCCCCTGATTACATCAAGTAACGCAGAAAGAACACATCTAAAAAGGCTCAATATTTACTGAAATGTGAAAATAAAGCAGTGATTGGCTTTTTAGGCACACATTTGACCAAATGAGCATCTGTCCTTCTCTAATTGTAATGCATGTAAAAAGAAAAAGGACGATAATACAAAAAAGCATATCTTCAAATTGACTTTCACGATATTATTGTCTATGATATATTTTGCCCACCCCTACCTTTCATAACGCAGCAAAACCTTCAACATTTTTCTGAGACTCAAAACAAAAAGTAGACGGCCTCGTTCACATTCAGACAGCTCTGTTTTGGCTGCCCTCTCCAGTTATGTTTTGCCTGTGTTCACATGAGGTCGTCTTACCCAGAGACTGGTAGAGCTCTGCCATCTTGGGGTGGTCCCAGCATGTTGTCTGGGTCTGGTGACTGCGGAGAGAAGACACAGACTTTAGACACGGGTCAGAGGAGCTGTCAGCTTGCATCATCTCCATCTTTTGTCATGTTCTTCCAAAATACACCTTTGACATCGCGCAGGGAAGGAAGCTTTCATAATACGCCCACATTTGCTTTTTAATCTTTGCTTTTTTATTACCACGGGATAGATGGATTTGAAAGTTAAACAGCAAGAAGATGATCGTGATTTCAGCATACAAAATATATTCGACATCTGCCTCTCAGCAGTGGAGGAAAAATATACAAAGTTATGGTTTTTTTGCGACGAAAATGAGATCTGTCACCCAAATTCTGACACTGTGACATTAATCCTGCTGTTTGTGGATTCGGGGGGGCCTCCATCTCATAATCTCAGAGAATAACAAGTGGCTTTAGCGTTCCAGTTTGCCAGTCCTGGGATGATGGGAAAATGACTGCGGGTTAGGCCCATGCTGCGTCATTGTGGAATCAGACGTTTTTTGGCTTCTCGTGACTGCCGCGTGCCACTCCAGAGACAAAACACCGACAGCATATTTTTTTTCTTTTTCATTTGCAACACTATCGAAGTGATGAAAATATTGGGTTGGCTTGGTTCAAGTGCGAGCGCTGTTTTTGTGCGTTTGGAAATGGGCATATTGTGGGCATGTCTGCGGGGGGATTGGCACTAATTAAGCGAGATAACCTCAATTTGGCCTTTAGCGGGAGGAATAACACATTTTCTGAAAACAAAACCAAAAAAATATGCTTTTATTTACAAAGAAAGACAATGAAACCAGTAAGGCCTCCAGCCACTAAGCCCCAATTAACCTCCTGTGGCACCGTTTAATGTACAGAAATGTGTTGTATGTCCATTATAGACTGTCATGTATTTATTGACTGCACGCTGAGCAGTTGCAGAAGCACTCTTTTTCTTCTTTTTAATTATCTTTGCCCATTCAAAACGGCAATAGTAATTTATGCTTTGCTAAATGTCTATTGCATGTGATTAGTGCACTCTTATATAGCAGTAACTTTGAGAAACGTCACATAGATATATTGTTTTACTTAATGCATACTTTATTCTATTTTCACTTATATAACTTTGCACCGAGAGCCAAAGTAAATTCCTACTTTGTGACTTCCTGTTCATCACAATGGCAATCAAAATAATTCAGATTTATTTGGTTCATGTTTTACCTAATATCTTTAGTTGAAATAACGGGTAAAAAAAATCTATCACCTGTACTTCCGTGTCCTACCACCAGAGGGAGGCGCTACATTTGTTTCTGTTTTGTTTCCGAATTTGAAAACTACCATGTGCAAACACGGCTAAGCGATTTTAAGCGGCACGGTGGCTGAGTGGATAGCACTCTCGCCTCTCAGCAAGAAGGTCCTGGGTTTGAATCCCGGTCGGACCAGGGCCTTTCTGAGTGGAGTTTGCATGTTCTCCCCGTGTCTGCGTAGGTTTCCTCCGGGTACTCCGGTTTCCCCTACCACTAAAAATATGTCCAATAGTTCTGGCATGCGCCTCCTGTACTGGCGACCCCGCTCCCATCTCTGTGTGGAGTGAGAGACAAATGCCCAAAAATAACAATTGTAAACCGCTTTGAGACTCAGATCTGCAGTGAAAAGGCGGTATATAAATAAAAACTTACTTACTTACTTAAGCTTTTAAGTCATTGCCTAGTTATTTAGACTTCCTGTTAATCACAATGGCAATAATAATAATTCTGATGTATTTGGTTCATGTTTTACCTTGTGAAATAATATCTTTAGTTGAAAATATTGGGTAAAAAATCTACCACCTGTACCTCCCTGTTCTACCACCAGAGGGAGGTGTTACATTTGTTTTGGCTTTGTTTCCGAATTTGAAAAGCGCAAACGCTGCCATATAAGCTACATTATTCCATCGTTGCCCATTCAAAAGGATAGTGATTTATGCACTGCTAAATGTCTATTGTGTAGCAGTAACTTTAATAAACGTCATGTAGATGTATAATTTTCCTTAATGCATGATTTTTTTCTATTTTTAAGTAAATAGAGTAAAGTAATTTCCTAGTTAGTTAGACTTCCTGTCAATAACAATGGCAAAAAAATAATTCTGATTTAATTGGTTCATGTTTTACCTTGGGAAATACCAACTTTAGCTGAAAAAAATCTACCGCCTGTAACTCCCTATGCTACCACCAGAGGGAGGTATTACTTTTTTTCACTTGTTTTGTTTTCAAAATTTGAAAACTACCATGTGCAAACACTGCCATGTGATTGAAAGCTACGTTATTCCAATTCAGAAATGACCAAAACTAATTTAGGGGCGATATTTCTAATCCTAGTATTAGCGTTGATCCATCTAACAACTAAAAACAACTCCAGGTCTGTTTTTTATGAGGAACAATATTGCAGTATGTTTATAAAAATTACTTCAGAACAGATCTTTTATAACCAACGCGTCATCATCATTCTCATCATGTCGATCAAAAAAACAACTTGAAGAGATCTTAGTGGAAAAATAAACTCGATATTGCATTGTGTGCCCATGAACGGGTATGGCACTAAAATATAACCAAGAACAACTGAGCAATTTCACTTCAAATGCACATGCTTCTGTTACCATGACGGCCACGCAACTTGTCAGAGGCCAATTTGCCGCTTACTTTTCTCATAAACACACAACAGTCTGTTCGGATGGCCTCAGAGGACCGAGCCCCCGAGGCACGCGCTCAGAAGAGTGGACCGAAGACACGCACATTTCCTCCACTCGACCAACCTGCTTCAAGGGCCGCACAATGTCAGCTCAAGCCGGGCACGACGGCCAACATATTCTCAATTAAATTAGCACAAACCAGTTCACAAAGCTGCTTTACGGTTGGCTGCTATAGCTCCTGTCCAATGGCAAAGTGAAGCCTTGACCTTGAAGCCAATATAAAAAGCCTTATAACGTCAAATTATATCCTCTATATAATTTTTTTTTTCTAAGATGACTGCATGATAGCTTGGAGTTACAGGTATATAGGAGATTTTCCAAAATTTGAGCAAAGAACCGCTTTTTCCACTTTTTGAACAAAGCTCTCTGATCTTATTTGACAAGCAGGTATCACCAGAATGATTGACAATTGTGTGAACCAATAGTTTTGATGATCCACCTGGAAGTAGAAAATCCTGCTGTAAACCTTTAAATAGTGTTTATCTAACTAGGGCTATGATCGAAGGGCACAACTTGCTTTTCAGGGCATCTTCAACGACGCCCACGGAAAAGCTATCAAGAAAATATTAAAAAGTCTGTTAATATCTGACCATGGCTAATTGAGTTACTGCAGAGAAGTGCTGATTTTTTCCTCGCCATTAGCGGTACTTAGCCTCCTTAGAGATAATCATGGTATGGACAGTTAATTTGTGCAGCATTCATAACAAAACATAACCACGTAAAGAAGTGAAGGGAGTGAGATTTAATGAGTTGAGAGGCTGCAGAGAAATGGTGGTGGGCCAGATGTCAGTTTACATAAAGCTAATGGGAGACTGCAGTCGTACTAAAGAGGCAATTAGAGTTTTCTGCTAAGATCAAGTGTATGAAAAGAGCGTCACAGCAAACGGCGCCTGCAGTTCAATGACTTTACAGTCGGGGTGGTAAAAATGGAACTTTGGGAACAGGGCAGGAGTTCAGACGTGGAGATATGAACATGACATCGCTGTTTGGGCTGGAGTTTAAGTATGGAGTGGTCTGCAGAGACAGCAGCAGCATCACAGAGAGGGACAGATGGACAAGGTCATCAGGAAGTCCAGCTCTGTCCTGGGCTGTTCCCTGGACACAGTGCAGCAAGTGGGGGCTCCTGGACAAACTAACATCCATGCTGGACCATGACTGTCGCCCCCTGCAGGACACTCTGGCTGCTCTGGAGAGTAGCTTCAGAGACAGACTGATCTCCCCTTGCTGTGAAGAAGAGGTTCCGCCCGTCTCTCTTTCCTGGTGCTTCCTTATGTGCAATACTACAATGTCAGAATGTGCAATATAGTACTACAAGTGTCCATCCATTTGTCACTATCAATTCCGTTTCCCCATTTTCTATTGTATATACTATATAGTCATTGCAGGTATTTATATGCATATACTTTGGTTGGAAAATACAAATAAGCATTTAGAGCTACTTATCTATGTGCGTTCCTAATGTGCTCTTACTGCACCACCTGTGTGTGCGCTGCAACACAGAAATGTCCCCACTGTGCGACAGATAAAGGTTCTCTTATCTTAAACATGACGAGGCGTTATATCGCGGATACATGACGCTATATCCATGCAAGAAAACAGAAACGTCTGGCTATTGGCAGGCAGATCCCAGTGGTCCAGATATGAATGACTTTTTGCCACTTTTAATGTTTGTTTGATTCTTACAGCTTTGTGTTCTCTACTCGTGGCTGTGATGTCTGTTCTGCTGGATTTAAATCTCTAGAAGAGCTGCCAAAACTAAACAGACAAACAGAAATAACACTCAAACCGTCCAATAACTTCTGTAATTCAACTTACAATGTGACACAACATACAAATATATTAAGCTTTTATTTGTTATGATGTTGATAATTATGGCTCACTTGTAAAAACCTCAAATAAAACATCTCAGAAATTGTGAATACTTTTGATACAGGACTGTAAATCATCATGGCATATGTTACTTTGCTTGTAATGAGAACTGTTAAATGATATAGTATCTAGAGTTCAGTTCCTAGCTAAAGCATTGATGACCTTTAACCCTAGCCCTTTGACTTTTACCTGGGTTTTCATCTCTAAATCAAACTTAATTACATAATAGTAATATCAGCAAATCTAAAATGACCTTGAGTTTGTGAGACAATTAGGACATTAGCAATGCAGCGTGGCACTATGCATTTTCAATTTTAAGATAATGAATCTCTTAATGAACAATTGGCACCATCGAAAAGTTGTTTTTGTTTCTACAGACTCACTCAGCCTGAAACATGCCATGCTGACACGAGAGTGGTGAAATTGAATAATACATGTTTTT